GGATTCATGTGTGTGGGGAGGACACCAGACGGCACCCCCTTCCTAGAAGTCCTAGGCACGATCCATGTTAGCCGGCAGCAGATCTTGCAGCATTTCAAAGCTGAACACATTTAGAATGGCTTGTGAGCTACAATCCACTGCAACGTTATCCTGAATTAAAGGCACGCGCAGAGAGACTCTGCGTGACTCCGCAGATTCTTGCTCCGATCTCCCTCAGTCGGTTCATTTCTCGAAACTGGCCATTTGAAGGTCTGTCACCCTGCGATGACAGATAATTAATTAGTGCCTACATTTCTATGCCACACCCAGAACTGTGCGCCTCTCTGGGAAGCTTACAGTATGCCATGGTAGCAACAATTAACCTTATTTGCATGGGTTTTGCCGGAGTGATAGATCCCGGCCAGTGCTCTCCTTCATTTGCTCTCCAGGGTTGTCTTGCAGTTAATTAGTCCCGGAAACCAGTCTGACCTCGTCAAGCTGCTGCTTTTAGTTCTTATCATTGCATAAACTCCTTAAGTGACAGTCTGCCTGACAAGTCTGAACAGACACTCGTATTGTTGGGCTTGGCTGCAGACAATGGGTTTTGTGGAGTCTTGTGGGTGGAAGCTGGAAGCGTGTTGAGTGGTCAGTAGACTCCCATTGAAATCCAGCACTCACACAACTCACACAACCCAACTCACACAACCCACTCTATCCAGAAAGCAAACCTGCTGCGTGGACCATTCGAGGCTCAGGGGGATGGTAGAAGAGACTGCGGTGTTTGGAGAGAAGCGCCGAGAAAGCTCAAGGGAGCGTCCAGCGCTGACAGGACGGCGGATGAGTCCAGAGCGGCCGAGTTCAGTCATGGCCCGTGCTGCTCTTTCTGACGGCATACAGTCCATCATGGTTGTGGGCGAGGGGATGTTATAGGGTGCAGCCTCCACAGAAGCGTGGACAGCATTCTCTGGGTGAGGTCAATAGCTTATTACTTCCTCAGGAAATGAGTCCTGTTACATTGCTTGGAATATTGATGGCTTTTGGGCTGAGAATGGAGTTTCTACCAGGCCATGGAACATCCAGGATTGCCAGTCTGTATGTTTCAGGTACCGGAAAGAAGTCTGGCCTGCACTTTTCATTCCTCAGTGGAGTCCGAGCATAAAAGCCCATAAAAGGCACTTTTGGCCAGCGGCTGCTCACCTTCTTGGACAGAAGATCCTGCAGAATATCATCCTCATCCTCATCTTCATCCTCATCTACTTAATTAATTTCTATGCCATCCAACAGCCAAAGCCCTCTGGGTGCTTCACAAGGGCATATTTGAAATCAATATAAAATAGACCAATTACAACATAGAAATTGTAAGCCGCCCCGAGGCTTCAGTGAATGGGGCGGCATAAAAATGTCTTAACAAATAAATAAATAAATAGAAATTACCAGCACTCAGTAAGATTTACTCCACCCCCACCCCATTCTGAGCCAATACCAGTTCAGGAATCCATTTCTGGATACTAATACTAATACTTTTTTTGTAAGCCATCCAGAGACATCTAGTATTGGGTGGCATATAAGAACTTTAAATCATTAAATAGTAAAAGGTAAAGGTTTCCCCTTGACTTTAAAGTCCAGTCATGCCTGACTCTTGGGGCAGTGCTCATCTCCGTTTCCTAGCCGAGGGAGCCAGCGCTTGTCCGCAGACAGTCTCTGTGGTCGTGTGGCTGGCATGACTAGACACCAAATACACAGAACTCTGTTTCCTGCCCACTGAAGTGGTCCCTTTTTATCCACTTGCATTTGCATGCTTTCGAACTGCAAGGCCGGCAGGAGCTGGGATGGAAATAGATAGTACTCAACCCCTTAACGGACATTCAAGTGGCACTTGCGATCAGAAACCCAGGACTCCAAAACAACCCCCCGAACGGATTACCAAATGCATTGTCTGCAGCCAAACGTGGCAACACCATCACCCCTCTTTGGGGATGCCGGGCAGAGATTCCCAACTGCACGATTTATAGTGTGGAGCACCCACCAAACTACAGTGCCCATCCTCAGAACTGCCAAACCAAAGAAAACTGGTTGACACGGTCACAGTGGTGCCCCTGGAACAACTGATCGCAGGACAGCCCTGGAGGAGAGAACAGAAGAGCAAAGAACTGGAAGAGAACGGAAGGGCTTCTCTTCCCTGGAAGAGAAGAACTGGAAGAGAGAACGGAAGGGCTTCTCTTCCCTGGAAGAGAAGAACTGGAAGAGAGAACGGAAGGGCTTGTCCATCAGCTGCAGACCCCTCCAAAGAATGATGGTAGGTAGGTAGGCCTTTGCTCAAATGCAGACAGCAGACTCACAAGCAACCATAAACCACATAAAAAGAGGCAAGCGCAGAAACCCCTCCTAGCAATGCCTCTCGGCACCCGGGAAGCAGCAGAGCCGTCTGCAACCGCAGGGACATTTATTTCCCAGTGGGATGCAGGCCCCCATCCCATCCCAATGCCCTCCTGCGTTTTATGTGAGACAAACAGGCGAAAGAGTAAAGAGACACACGTCTGACATCACTGGAAACCAGTGGGAGAAAAAATCTACCTTCCAAGGCCTCCTGCCCTCCAACAGAGCAAAGCTCAGGGAACCAAGGTTCAGTTTGGATGCCAGGAAGCACTTCCTGACGGTTAAGACCCCCAGGGTGTGGAATGGGCTTCCACGGGAGGTCGTTGAGGTCCCATCGGTGCGGGTGTTCAGAGATAGGCTGGACATGCACATGGTGGGCATGTCGTGAGTGGACCCAGCTGGAGCCGGGGGTCAGACTAGATGGCCCGGGAGACCCTTTCTGACTTGCTCTGTTTCTATGTTTCTATGTAAAGTGACAGTTATGGAGCAAAGGCACTGCAAAGGCAAAGTGGAATGAGAAACTGCTGAGTTACGATTTCTCAGGAGGGCTAATTCTATCTCCTACAGCTTGGATCAGGACAACGGTATTTACTGCACCCCTCGTGAGTCTTGTGAATTGTATAGACATGATCCTCATGGTATGAACAGCATTTCCCTTCGAACCCCCTCTCCACAACTGGGGAGATGTGCTTGGATATCATTAAGTCATCAGATAAAGTGACCACAGTCCAGGAAAGCTTACACCATAATTTAAGTTACCTTTCCCACATCCCCCTTTTCAGAGTTACTAATTCAGCAAATTGTGCAACACTGCCAACATTTCGGTGGTGCAAAACACACGCGTGTTCCCATTTCTGCCAACATGTTTCTCTGTTCCACAGCAAGGGGAAAACAGCGACACACTGGCATGACTTAGCTTTGAACCCTCTACACACACATCTCTTCTGCTCCACGGTATCATTATTATTATTTCGTCGCACTTGTGTCCCACCAATTCTCCCGATGAAGAAACCAAGCTGCTTGCATGGCTCTATTTTATCCTCACAACAACAACCCTGCGAGGTACACTGGGCCGAGAGTCCATGACTGGCCCAATGTCATCAGTCAGTGGCCAAAGGACCGATGCCCCCCAGGTCCCTGGGCGAGCCGAAAAAACCTTCTCTCGGCATCCACATACTTCTGCAAGGAAATGGCCTTGAGCGATTTCCGGGGCAGAGGGGGCTTGATATTTTCCGACGCCTGATATTAGCGTCTGATTGCAAAAGGCTGGGGTGGAGTGGGGATTTGGCTAAAATGGGGGGGGGCATCGAGGGAAGAGTCTTGCAAACTTCTTTTAAGCGTGCCCCATTCTCTCCTCTCCGCATAGTTTGACTCCTGGAGCAGCACCAGGCCATGCCGCCCTCGCAGCCGCCCACCCCGCATGTTCTCCAGTCTGGGGGGGGGGGGGTGAGCCCCCGGCTGCTGAGGCCACGAGCGGGACGGCGAGCGCTTCGCCCCGTGCCTTTTGCAGGCGCTTCAGAAGGCAAGCGGTGCTCGCCAGCGCAGAGATCTCTGCGTTTCGGGTTTCTGGGAAGGCTCTTTTGTAGATCGAGAGATCTGAGCTCTTTTCAGAAAACAAGAAGCCACACGCTGCCCCGACGCGTGGCGGGGTCGCGCCGCGCCCCGCCGCAGCCTGCCGCGTGGGGCACCGCGGAGTCAGTCCCTGCGGCCAGTGCAGCCGGGAGCCGTGCCCGGGGCCGGCGGCCGCGAAGCCCCGGCGTGACGCCCTCCCTTGCCCTCCCGCGGAGCCTGGAGCGGGCCGGCCGCGGGGCCGTTTCCCGGCGGGGCGGGCGGGCGGGCGGCTCGGCGCGTGGATTTCCTCTGCGCGGGCGTGCAAGGAAAGGGTGCACCCCGCGCCCCTCCCCGCACCGGCGCAGCTCCTCCCGAAGAGGAAGCAGGTCGCCGAGCTCGCTCGGCGCGCACGGAGAGCGCCGCAGCGCGTCGGAGGAGGCGCACGCTGCCGTCGCTCCCGCCTGTCCGGAGGCTCCGGAGCGCGCCGGGGGCCCGATCCGCGCGGCTGGAGGGCGGTGAGGCGCTTCGCGGGCGGGCGCACGTGCTCCGGCAGAACGGGCGCCCGCGCGCAGGCGGACGCGGCCGGCGAGCCTCGCTGGGGCGCGGGCGGGAGGGGGGACTGGACGGGACGGGACGGGACGCGCCGCGCAGGGGCTCCGCCGCGGCCCGGCCTGATCCTGCGCCGGCCGCCTTCCGCAGGCCGCCCGGGGCGGGGGGGGGGGCGCAGGGGAAGGGGCCCCGAGGTGCGCCCTCCTCTCCCCGCGCACGGGAAGGAGAGCCGGCAAGACAGCCCGGGACCTGTCAGGGCAGCGCTGGACTGCAGCTCCTGTCATCCTGGCGGGATTCCCAGGATGGGCGTTTCGGGCAGCTCATCCGCGGGGGCGCGCGCTGGGAGGGCTGTTCCGGGGACCCTCGGGACGGGGGTCGTGGGGCGGCCCCGCTGGTGGCACGGCTGGCCCCAGGCGTGGGGCGCCGGCAGTGCCTGCTCCCCCCGGGAGACCCTGGTGGCGAGAATCGCGGAGGTGCCCTGGCTGCCTACTCGCCGGCCCTCTGCTGGGAGCCAGCCAGTGCACCTAGTGGTTGGAGCATCAGGCTGGGATGCGGACGGTCCGGGGTCGAGTCAGGAGGCCTACTGGGCAGCCCTGGACCGATCGCTGAGGCTCAACCTGACCTGCCTCAGAGGGTTGTTGTGAGAGGCATTGTGGTATGCTGGTTGGCGTGCCAGACTGGGATTCAGCAGGTCCAGGTTCTAGTCCTCACCCCGCCATGAGGCTCGCTGGCTGACTTTGGGCCAGTTGCAGTCTTTCAGCCTTAGCTACCTCACAGGGTTGTTGTGAGGAAGTTTCCAGGTTGGGAAAGACTGCCCAAAAACCTGTCAGCCATTTAGCTGCTTCTGCCTCTGCATGGAGTGCTCTTCTTCAGACTCCTCTGGAATAAAGGGGATTTTCCTGGCCAAAAATCCAAGCTGCCAAGCCCTGCCTGCTACTTGCTGGCCCTAAGAGTTGCTGCAGGACCAGAGCTGCTTCCTTTTCAAAAGAAGCATGCTTCTAGTCCTCATTGTGGCTCCAAAGCCAATTACCAGGCGAATTTCCGAGCACAGGAAGAAGTCAAACTAAAACTCTGCTCAGCACCAGAGACAGATATTAATAAGCCATTTCCGAGGCCCACACCCACTTTGGCAGTATTTAAGGGAACCCGCCCAGCAGGGCTTCCCGCTCAGCCTTCCTGCAAGCTGTGTCCCATGCAAAGAGTGGGAAGGGGTCTCTAGGACTGCTCCCGGGGCCACGTCCAGGCCCCCACAACCCAATCCCCTCCCCGCAAGAAGGGCAGGGAATGAGGAAAGCAGAGCCAAGCACATTCCATCTCTGGACTCAAGGCGGTGCTGTGATCTAAATGAACTTAGGGTGCAAACTGCACATACACAGAGGCTTGACTGCCACGGTTGGTGTCATGTATCAGGAATGCAGGCAGTGGGGGGAGGGGGCATGAAGAGAAGTGCTTTGCAACCGAAGGAGCTTGGGTGGGTTTATAACGGGGCAGGGGAAGTGTTCCCAAGTACAGTAATAGCTAATAAGAAGACTTTTCCCTCAGTGCACCCAGGGGCTCGAAATCACCCCCTTTTTCTTTTGGAAAGGGCCACAGAGATGAAGCTCAAGGCATTCTGGGGGCTGCAGGTGCTCTGCAAGGGCCTGGACAGAGTTTTCTGCCTTGGCAAGGATCCAGCAACAGGTGAGGAGCCCTATGGACATTTAGTGGTACCTTTCGAATCGCAGGCGCCCCACAAGCAGATGACCGGAATGCAGGTAGCTGCACAGGTACACCTGCTTGCTGATACTTGTCCGCAAACCTTTGTGCAGGTTTTCCCCTCCATCTTTTGCAAAGCCAGCGTGTCCCGTGGCCCCTGGGCAGCACCGACCATGCCGTGGAATACTTCGGAAACGTCCCAGACTTAATGGCAGGATCCGTGATCCTCCCCCGCTTCTTGCAGGTGGCGCAGAGCAGCACCAGCTGCCTCTCCGAAGTCAGGACTGGGAAGCAGGGGGAAAGGGGGTGTTTTGGTGGGCCAGGAGGAGAGGAGCCGTAAGAGGAGCCTGGGCTCCTCAGGAGGCTCCCCAGAAATGCTTTGGCTAGACAGGCCAAAAAGCCTACCTGGCAAAAATGCAGGGTGCCAGGACACGCAGGTGCGGGGTGCCTCCACTGCTCCTGCACAAGGTGAGTTTGCTCACTCACAGCCAAGCCCCCTCCCCAAAATTACAGCACAGGGGGGGCCCGGCAAAACCTGGAGCAGCAGGCTTCCCGGGGGACTCTGCGTTGTAATTCTGCCTCAAATATAGATTTTGGGTGTCGTTTTGCTTCTGTAAACCTCCCACTTCTTCTGGGTTGGATCCACAATTTGCCTTCAGCAAAGGTTCAGCCGCAGCAGATGCCTGGCACAGCTTCCAGGGACCCCTTCTCTCCCCACACCCCACCCCACAGCTTACCCCTTTCAGCAGAGTTTCTGACCCTTCGTTTTGCCTTTACTGTGGGGCTCCCATGGGGAACTTTTTCAGCTCACCTGGCTGCATGATGCGGCCTGTCTTTCTTTTTTCTTTTTTACTCACTCAAGAAAGTCTGTTAAGGCGGAAGAGACGGTGCCTTTTCTGGAAGCACCTCGGAGGGAGGGGGACATGTAAATCGTGCCACTTTGCTTTCCATCTAAAACGTTGAAAACAAACGGAACCAAAGTTCAATTATTTCCAGCAAACGTAAGAAGAGGCTGACGAACTTTTCGGTGTCCTGTTTCCCTAAAGCAGAAGGCCCCAATGATTGATTTGCTTTCCTTATCCTTTGTTTTCATTTTCAAAGAATGAAATGGCAAGATTGCACTGTATTAACGAATGAGAAGGAAAAATAGCAGAGGAGGAGTGCAGTCTTTCAAAGACAGGACCCAGATGCTCCCTGGGGCACAGAGGGCTTCTCCTCCCCTCCCTCCTTTCCACCCTTCTGCCCCAAATCCAGCCAGGCTTGGGTAAGGCAGTTCCCCGTGGAAGGAGGCAAAGCGGAGAGGCTGCTTGTGGGGCGATTAAGCAGCCTTTCCTCAGGAAACAAGAAATGAAGCCGGCAGGGCCGCTACCTAAGCAGACGCTTTTCATGCATGGCTTCCTATCAGAAAGGACCTTCTGGATGGTACCTTCTCACGGGTCAAAGCGACGGAGGCGTCTTTGCTGTGGAGAAGCAGCATTGCCAAATAACCGTCGCACCGCTTTTCCCACCCAACAGCCCCCAGGTGGGTGGGACGACAGAAAGGCCGTGTGCCAGCAGGTGCGCCGGGGTTTCTGTGTGTGCACAGCTACGAAGTGCCACATTTACTGTTTGCGGCATGGTTCCTGGGTCAGAAGGTCAGGGCTTAGCTGCAGGGAGCAGTCAAGCAAGCTCTCGAGCCGAGCCGGGGTTTCTTCCTGCTGTACAATGTGTGGAAAGACCCCTCTGGTCTTGCTTTTGAATCAGTGCGTTCAGTGTTTCCCCTCATCAGGAAACATTCACCAGATTAAGGAGTTGCCAAAACAACAGCTTGTTTCCACAGCATACAACGGCCTGCACTGGAAAAAGGGACTTTTCCTTGGAAGTTGGTCCCAGAACCAAGTCAACCCCACGAGGACTCGCAGATTCTGCAAACTTGGGGGAGGGTTTCCTGGACTCCAGAACAGACCCTCCTGCTTGCAGGATGAACTGCAGGTAATCTTGTCTTTCTGGAATGGCTGGTGCATCCTTGGAACGAGCGGCTTAAAATTAAATCCAGGGGAGGGCTGCTTCTGGGAACTGGCCTCTTGACCCAGACTTCTGGCCCTTCAGCAGTTTCTTTTCCTTCCCCTGATATGGAGCAAAGAGTTCAGGACTGGGATGAAAAGCTCAGCTGTCAAAGAACAAAAGGTGGATGGATTGATGCATTACAGATCCTTCACTAGACAGGGAGCTGCATGAGAGAAAACCTCTAAGCTTCCTTCCAGTTCAATAATCCTATGATTTGCTCTTTTAATCGTACCTTTGTGTGCATTTTCAGCTGCTGACATCACTGCTAGAGTTCTGGTTTCATGCAGTTCAGAAGCACCAAATTAGTCTTTGCCTCCGGGCCTGTTTCTGTTAATCTACGAAAGGCATTTTTACTTGCCTGTTCAGGCAAACTTTACAAGGTCAATAAAAACAAGACACCCCCCCCCCCCATTGCTTCTCTCAGGTTCAGAGTCTTTAAAAAGACACAGCATAAAAGGAAAAAGGCATGGGGAGGGTAGAGGAATATAAGGCAAACCCAGCACCAGTTCTTCACATTTCAGAGACTTTATAGCAACCACCAGGGGTGGAAACTGCTCAGGGAGGAGGTCAATAGAACTGGTTTCCCAGGTTGTTCCCCCCTCGCCAAAGGCCGTGGCAAACGTGTCTGCTTGCCACGTAGTGCATGCAACTTTTAAAAATTTATTTATTAAAAATGTTTTAATAAATAAATATAAGTGCATGCAACTTTTGCAAGAGCAGATGAATGTCAAAGCCAGCAGAATTTGCCCCACAGGAGTGAGTGTGTGGGGGGAGGGACTGTTTAGATTTTCCATCCCAGGCGCCCCAAAGGTATTTGCCAGCCTTGCTTTATGGGTTGCATCACAGCACAAACCAAGGCACTTCACGTGCGACTCTGGTGTTCTCTGTCATGCAGCCCAGAACAGCTTCCGGCCCCCTGCTATCTCTCGCCATCTGGTGAAAACCTCCAGCCGGGCAAGCTTTTCTCTCTCACTCAGAACGTCCTTCTGCTTTTATCTTTAGCCTCCGAAGAAGAGTCACGCAAAGAGCTCGTGCAGAAGCCAAACTGGATCTGGGGCTGAGGCTGGCCCTGCAGCTTCTTACAAAGTCCAAGTGGCCACTGGGAAGTCCTGGGGCTCGGGGACCTTTGATGCCATCTCCATCTCCTTGGTGGGCACGAGGGGCGAAAGCCCCAAGCAGCTGTTGAACAAGATGGGGAGGGACTTCACCCCCGGAGCGGTGAGCGGATCTGCAGGGTCCTGGGGGCCAGGAAAGCCGGTTGGTGGCGGGAGGAAGGGGATTCCGCAGGGCAGCCGTGGGCCAAGTTAGATGTACCGAGCTGATGTTGGTGCTTTTGCGCTACCACGCAATTACATTCCCTGGGCAAGGTCAAAAACGAAAAGAAAAGAAAAGAAAAGAAAAGAAAAGAAAAGAAAAGAAAAGAAAAGAAAAGGCATAATTAAAATACAATTGCAAAAACTGCTTCTACAGCAGCAGCAGCATCAAGAATGTGATACACAAAAAATCATAACCGTTGGATTAAAATGCATCTGCATTGTAGTTAAAGCCCCCTTCCAATTAATAAAATTAACTAAATGAAGGCCTTCAGCCAGTTCATACAATAAAATTGGGGCTCGCACCCAATTATTGCAAGTCCTGCGATCGGCACTTGCACCAAATATTGCGTTGCGAGGTAGTCAGAAGGAAATGCCACTGGATTCAGTGGTAGATGGGCATTGGATTGCAGCCTAAGCCCTTTCCCAACGGTGAATCCTTGCTGTTGCTGGACTACAGCTCCCATCATCCCTGACCACAGGACACGCTGGCTGGGAAGCATGGGAGTTACAGTCCAGCCATGGAGAGGGAGCAGCCGGGCCTCCCCCACCCTGTCCGGTGACAGGGTCACTGCCGAGGATTGGCAGCTGCCTTGTCCAGCCGGCTGGGCCACACACTCAGTCCCCGGGGCCAAATCCTGCTCTCTCTGCTCTTCCTGGAGAATTCCTGGCGGACTGAAACGAAGCAGGTGCTGCTGCTGCCGGCCCCCTGGCTGGGGCGTGCCTAAGACCTTTCTTTCGGGACAGGTGGATGAGTACGAGGTGTCCAGCGACCAGGAGCTGGGCCAGGTGCTGCTTGTCCGACTCCACAAGGAGCCCTACCGGTTCTTCCCGGACGACAGCTGGTACTGCAGCTTTGTCCGGCTGACCACGCCGCGAGGAGAGACCTTACACTTCCCCTGCTACCAGTGGATTGAGGGCTACCAAACCCTGGAGCTGAGGGAGGGGGCAGGTGAGGAGGCACCAGGCCTAGCGTCAAGGCTGGGCACCTGCCGAGGGGCCGCGCTTCAGCGGGGGCCGGCTCGGTGGAGGACTGGGCTCAGTTTCCAGCTTCCGCGGGCGGTGGCCGGGCAGCCAGAAACCCAGTAGGGGCAGGCCAAGCCTGCCAGGGGGCACAACAGAGGGCATTCTGCCCAAGGCCCACCTTGCTGGAGCCCGGCATGGCGGGATGCGCTGTGGCAACCTGGGCAGGGGTGCGGCCAGGTGGGATTAGATCAGGTGTGTCACACTGACTTTGCTCCTGTGGGGCAAATTCCCTGCTAGAGAAACTCGACCTTTCTAAATGAGGGGCCTCAAAAGCTGGAAAGCCAGTGGATGGCTGCTAGATGGGAGAGGGGTGGGCTCGGGAAGGGGGACCCTAGGCGGCCTGATCAGGACCCTGGAAGGAGCAGGTTTGCCAAGCAGAGCCGGAATCCCACACCTCGGTTGCAGATGTGTTACGTATTATTTTGCTTGTTTCAAAATGTTGTACACACACCCTGGCATGTGTGTCTGCAGCAGGACAGGGGGTGCTCTGGCTCATCTTGCTGAGTGGAGCCCGGGACCCTGCCCCAAAGTCCTACCCTGAGCCCACCACCACGTATTTTGAATTCAAAGCTGAGCAGGCAGACCCCATCTCTGGATTCTCCCTGCAGGCAAACTGCTGTGTGAGGACGCCGATCACCCTTTGCTCCTGCATCACCGGAGGGAGCAGGTGAAGGCAAGGCAGGACTGCTACAGGTGAGGGACGCTGCCCGAAGCCTTCACACCCCCATCTTCCTCCTCGCTCCTAGTGCAAGGCCTTTGCCCTCTTTGCAAACTATTTGCACAGTCGATCCGGCTCAGATCTCTCTGGCCAGCAAGCCGAGGAAAGCAGGCCCAGTTCCCCGCTACTGCGTTTTAGATTCTTTTAAACAGCTCCTGAACAGGAAACACTTGGGCACGGAGTGCTATAATATATTACATATCTTGATAAAGAAAGTATACCAAGGTACTTTTTCCATATACTTGATTGTTCCAGAACCTGATAAACCACGTTCCAATTTTATATCCTCCCAACACCAGTTTTCTTTTGCAGCCACTCCAGGTGGTGGATGTGGCAGGATTTGAGAGGTTCAAAAAACAAAAACAGTTTTCCGTTTTGTAAGGGCAATACTATCTTAAGCATGGCATAGTTCTCCCCCAAAGGGAGACCCCCTTGGTGTCTGGGCTGCCCCTCTTCCACCCCAGGCAATCCCTTCTCTGATTCCTTGGGAGAAGGAAACATTTTCCCAAAGACAGCGTCTTCTACAGGGGCTGCAGGTAGAAATCCTGCACTTGGAAATAAGGCATGTGAAGCAGGAGATCCCAGCCTGGCCAGCTCCTTCTTCCTAACATGCTTGCTTTCCATGTGCAGGGTTCTCATTCCCTTTAATTCACACTCTTGGGCCGTGGCTGCAGGCATTTCTGTATCAGCCATGCAGAAAAGGGAGATGTGCCCCAAAATTTGTATATTTACAAAAAAGGGGGGGGTATGGCCAGGTGCCTCAGTCCTAGGTTCCCCAACAGCACCTGAGACCTCAGATTCCCAGATGCAAGGTTGGGAGCAGCCTTCCAAACTCAGGGCTGGCAATTTGCCTGCGACTCCCTTCCTGTATGCCACGCAGCTGGCACGGACCCCGGCTGCTCCGGCTGCTTCTCCGGGTTCCTGAAAGTGACCTCAGGGCAGGGGGAAAGGGGCATTTCAGAGACAAGCTGGGGCTGCCAGGATACAGGTCCTGCCCTCTGCTTCCGAAGCACCTTAGCCAGGCAGCAAAAATTGGCCATCGGGCAGGCGCAACGGGGTGGAGGTCGGCTCCAGCACACCCCCAGAGCTGCCGTGTGGGGAGGGGGCGCTCATATGCCTCTTGCTTTGCAGCCTGTTGGGCACTGTGGGAGCAGTCGACCCCCCCCCCCCCAGTGTTACTCTCGCTCCAGTCTCATTCATTTCAGTAGGTCTACTCTACACGGCCTTCTAGCTGGCACTCCCAAGGGCAGGGGGTCAGGCATAAGGAAAACAAAAAGAATACAAACAGCGACGGCACACAACAAAAGCAGGGAATGATTTAAGAACCATGCTTAAACTGTTTTAAGGAAAATAATTTTAAGGGAAGTTGTATTGTGCCAGCTCTACCTGCAACTAGAAATGGCAGAACGCAGGTGCAGGTTGGCCACACCTGGCTGGACAAGCGAGTTTATTATTTATTTTATTTATTGAAACATTTCTATGCCGCCCCACTCGCCGAAGCCTCGGGGCGGCTCACAACATTAAGTTAAAAATACAAACATTAAGTTAAATCATTAACTTAACATAACATTAAGTTAAAGTGTTTGCAAAATACAAACATTAAGTTAAAATACAAAAAATAACAATATAAAATAAGTCGCCCTGGCCAGATAAAATCAAATAATATTAACAATTAAAATGACACTTAAATAAAAAGGTCTTCGCCTGGCACCGAAAAACAAATTATTATTATTATTATTATTATTATTATTATTATTATTACATTTCTATGCCGCCCCTTGCCGAAGCCTCAGGGCAGCTTACAACACGGGACGATCCAGCTTACAACACGGGGACGAAGCCTCGGGGCGGCTTACAAATAACGACGGCGCCAGGCAGAGCTCTCTGGGGAGCGCATTCCATAGATTAGGCGCCACCGCAGAGAAGGCCCTCCTCCGAGTTGTGCTGGGCGTTTTAAGGTGGAAGCGTCCGTCAGGATATCCTTTCTCAAACCAGGTGGGCTGAGTTTGCTCCTGGGATGCCCCGGTGCCTGGCTGTGGAGAACCTCGAGGAGATGGACACCAACATCAAGTTCTCCTTTGTCAAGCTCAGCAGCTTCCTTCTGCGTTCGAAACTCACGTGAGTCTTGCAAGGCCGAAGCCAGAGAGCCAGCCCTCCGTGGCCCCAGCTGGCCAGTTCGTCTCACTCCTCTGGTCGTGCTTCTGCCGTGCATCTGTGTTCTGATCATCCACTCGGTGGAACCCGATTTTCTTAGGGGTACATTAATGCTCACGGGGACAGGTGCGTACGTGCAGCAGCGCACAGCAGCACAAAAGTGATTCAGTGCAAGTGCGACTTTATGCACCCCCCTCCCCAAAAAGTAAAAACCGGATCTCCAAGTTCATGAAATCTGAGTGACTTCTAAAAAGCAGACTGGCTCTGAAATCCACAGGTTGGATTTATAGAAATGCAAAGTTGTTTGCGCCTGTTGGGGATTCCTCCCAGCATCCCTCGCCGGGGACCCCCGATCCTTCCAGGCCAACACTGGTTTGCTCACCCCGTTTCCTTTCCGTCCCCAGGGTGCTGGAGGTGAAGTTAAAAGGGTTGATGAGGTGCCAAGAGTCTTGGAAGAACCTGGAAGACATCCGCAGAGTTTTCTGGTTCAACAGGACACCTGTTTCAGGTAGGTGTCCCTTCACTCATGCACACTGATAATAAACAATAAAGAGGGATCGTTTCAAAGAATAAAAACACTGCATCCGGGATAGAGCTGCAGCATTTTGTTTTATTTTAGATTTTGGCCGGGTTTTTGGGGGCTTTCCCAGCGTAGCGATAGGCACTGATTCACCCGATGTGACTTTCCTTGGCATAGAGAAAACCTGGAGTAGAAAGCCCTTCCATTCGCCCTTTTCCCTGCTGTGTAGCTGGAGAAACTCTGGGAGCTTTGAAACATTGACCAGTAAATGTGGTTTGCGATATTCATGCCTCAGAAGGCTTCTGGGTAAAGCTGAGGCCATGGCTGGTTTCTTCCAGTTATTGGGGTTCCCGCCCTCCTGGGCCAGTGGGCATATTTTATTTATTTTTTATTTATTTAAAACTTTTATATGCCGTCCCCCTCATGCCTCGGCATGAGATATTGGAGATTTTGGGAGACTTCTGCAGATGCAAAATGGCTGCCATGGCGGGCCTGGCCAGCCACAGTTTATTCGCTTCCCAGAAAGCAAACTAACAGGGTTAAATTAAAGCGCGATGCCCACAAACTTGCAGGCAAGGCAGGGGTGTGACCCGTGCTCTTGAATAAAGCAAAGCTGGAAAACAGCAGTTTGTTTGGCAGTTCCCCAGATTTTACTCAAAAGAATAATCGGGGGGTTTCAATCCTAAGAAATAAAATAAAAATAGGAGTGGCAGGGAGCCTGGAAGAGCCAAAAGAAACACTGGCGCCTGCATGCACCATTTTAGGGTCCCTGGAGAATTTTTGCTCTCTTGGGGGTGGGGTATCCACTCCAGGTTTTAACCTGAGCTCACTCACCTCCCATGCCTGTTCAGAACCACAGTTGGCTCCTTTAGGGTGCAAACGGAGGTCCAGGCCCCAAATTCTTCTGCTTTAACCCACCATACCACACTTCCATCCAACAATGAGTGCCTTGGATCCAAGACTCTGGGATCCCAGATCATATTTCACCATTACAATGTGGTGATTTGGTTTTCATTCTTCCTCCTATAAGGCAGTAAGATCACTGGTGGAGACATGCATGCACACACGCAAACACGCCCCGTCCCTGCATGTCCAGGACTCCCAAACTGACCAAGAGCCATTTTATAGGCTAGACATACACATGGTGGGCATGTTGTGAGCGGAGCCAGCTGGAGCCAGGGGTCAGACTAGATGACCCGGGAGGCCCCTTCTGACTCACTCTGCTTCTATGCTTATGCCTTTAGAGTACGTTGCCAACCACTGGCAAGAGGACGTGTTCTTTGGCTACCAGTACCTAAACGGCGTCAACCCTGTGGTGATCGAGAAATGCTCCAAGATCCCGTCCAACTTCCCCGTGACCCACGAGATGGTATCGGGATCCCTGGGGAAGTCCACCACACTCCCGGAGGAAGTAGAGGTGACTCCATGGGGTGGGGTTGTCCCTCAATAGGTGAACAGCCATGGCGTGCTCCATGGGAGCAAGAGGTCTTCTGAGCTCCCCGGGGGTCTCACCCCCGGGGGTGCTGCACCTCTGCAGCTGGTGGATGCTCTTTCCAATGGCTCTAACTCTCTCCTTCTGGCACTTAAAGAAAGGGAGCATTTTCATTGTGGACTACAAGATCCTGCAAGACATTCCAACCAACACGATTGACGGCCAGCCTCAGTACATGGCGGCCCCGCTCTGCCTCCTCTACCAGACGCCTTCTGGGGACCTTGTTCCCATCGCGATCCAGGTGAGCACACACACCAACCCAGAAAGGCCGGAGTCCAGCCTGTCAGCTACCCATTGATGGCCCTCCCCCACAGCTCTCCCTCTCCAGGGTCCCAGGCAGAAAACTTTCCCAGGGCTGCTTCCACGAGCAAGGCAAGGGCTTGGCCACCGAGCTGTGGCCCCTCCCTAAACCTGCCTGTGGCCGTGGGGCTACTTGTGAGGGGCTCTTTGGCTTCTGGAATCCTCCCCGTAGCTTCTCCTTCCATGTCGGCAACTGGCATCCTCTGCCAGGTTCACTCTCTCTGCTTCCAACCTCGTGCCAGAAGTAAGAGAGAGAGAGGGAGCCAGTCATAATAGGGGAAAGCACATGGTCCCCAAGCCCCCTTTTTTCTCCCATTGGATTGTATCCAGTATGTCAGTCCGCCAGGAGAAGGGAACTGTTGGTGGGCTGGATTTCTGCTTTCCCCTCCCACAGTTCACCCCATCTGATCAGGAGGAGCTGGGACCCCAGGGGGCAGACTAGTGGTGACGGTGGGGGCTGAAGGCAGAAGGAGGGGATGGGGCAGGGGTCCCACCGTGTGAGCAGCTGCCCACTCACGTAAGGGTTGGATCCAGCCCTCTGCCTGAGGTCATTGGTGTGGGGGGCGCGATCTGTCCCAGCACTGCCAGGAAAGCACCTCCCCTTCCTCTCCTCAGCTCAGCCAAATCCCCGGCCCCGAGAGCCCCATCTTCCTTCCCAGCGACCCCATGTGGGACTGGACCCTGGCGAAAATGTGGGTGCGGAACGCCGACTTCCACGTCCACCAGAACATCTCCCACCTTCTCCGGACGCACCTGATGGCCGAAGTCTTCACTATGGCTACCCTGAGGCACCTGCCCATGTGCCACCCGCTCTTCAAGGTAGGGGGATTGCACAGAAGGCCACAGGGGTGGCAGTGTCCAGCTGAGGACCAGAACTGGATGCATAGGACTGCCTGAGTACACAAGTTCTCATGGCAGCTGATCAGGCAAAGGAACATTACAATTCAATGCTAACGATAATCAGCACTGAAAACGAAGCACGAAATAAGCCTGGATGTGCTGGCGAGAGTGACCCCCAAGGGAACGGGGAGAGAGGAGTTTAATGAGCTGCTTTGCGCTGTTCAGTTCTTTTATTCGTATGTTGTTGATTGGTTTGATTTTTTTTTGTTGTTCCTTTTAATCAACAGCCTGGTTTTTCACCCTGGATTTTATCATTAGCTACCCTGTTTCCCTGAAAATAAGATCTACCCCGAAAATAAGACCTAGTACTATTTTTGGTATTTGCTAAAATATAAGACCTACGCCAAAAATAAGACCTAGCTGTGTTTTTTCCCAGGGCCAGTGGGGAACTTAAAGAGCCTTTTTAAACCTTATTTTTAAACTTAACTTTAACTTAATGCAGTGTGTGGAGGAAACATGCTTATGCAGCTCGGAGGGAGCAGAGCCACATGACCCGATGCTTCCTGTATAGCGCCGGCTCCTTTCACAGGCAGAGTGATACCAAATCTAACAAATGCACATGTATTCATGCTGTTGTACATGAATAAGTGTGGATTATTGTACACATTAAAAAAGACCTACCCCAAAAATAAGACCTAGTGTGTTTTTGGGAGCCTATATATATATATATATATATATATATATATATATATATATATATATATAAGACAGTGTCTTATTTTTGGGGAAACACGGTACCTTGAGTGCCAGTTTTGGGTGAAAAAGCAAGTTATAAAGTACACGCAGAAGGGAAAAGGAAAGAATGAGAAAGAGAGAGGACAAAGGCAGGAAGATTCCCCCGATCTGCCCCACCAGCTGCAGCCCCATTCAGAATAGTCAAGCCCACCGTGGTGCCATGTCCGTCAACATCCTTCTAGAACTATGGAAGCGAAATCTTTGGGTGGAAGCAAAAGAACAGCAGACACCTATCCTGCCAAAGGATTTTGAATGCTGCAGAGCGCAGGTGGGCAAGCTTCATCCTGTGGAGCTTGCCCACCTGGCCAGAGAGGGTGGGTGAAAGAAGCCCGGTGCTCCCTTTCGTGTCTCGTGGCCTGTGGGGGCATCGCGTGGCTGGGCTGAAAAGCAGGTTCACTGAGTTCGCCGTGCGCCACAATCCTCGCCCGCTATGCCCTGCTTGACCACGTGGGCCATCGCCAAGCTGGAGGGGTCAGTAAGGCCGTCTGGGGGAAGACGGGGCCGAGGGTGCAAGGCCTGAGCCTGTTTCCTTCCCACTCCGCAGCTCCTGATTCCTCACTTGCGCTACACCCTCCAGATCAACGCGTTGGCCCGGGTGCGGCTCATCCGAGAAGGCGGCATGATGGATCTGGTAAGAAGGGGGCGGCTCCCCGTGAGATCTGTCCAGCACATTTCATCGCCCCATTGCTTCGGTGCTGGATGCCAAGACCCACCCCAGGCAGTGGGCAGCGCCCTGGCCCTGGGTTCCAAACTCAGCCCTCCTTGGGTACCAGTCCAGCCTGACCTGGTTCCCCAGACAGCCACGCCTATTCCCTGGCTCCGCCTCTTTCTCCCAACCCCATAATTCGGCTGTGCCCCAACTTCCGTACGATTTTTCTCCTATGTAAAAGGTCACACTATTGTTTCTTGTCTCGAGACAAATAATTTAAGGCAGCTTGGCCTTGAACTGATCAACGAGTCCGTTAGATGTAGAAAGACCTCTTGCTGGCAGCAGAACTGCTCGTCTTGACTTGTTGGTTCCACAGGGATGCCTGAATATTTGTGGGTGCGACTACAAATAGACTACAAACAGTGGAGCCCACACTTTAATGTGCCACGGGGCCCCTGCTTCTGCCCCATGCGCTCTCATGCTGCATAAGCATTAGCGGACCGTGTGACCCAAGCCCATGGCTGGCCTTTCTTGCAGGCCACCTCTGCAGGCTTCGAGGGCATTGTGCCCCTCGTGGGGAAGGGCACGCAGAACCTGACCTACTCTTCCCTCTGCCTGCCGGATGACATTGAGGCCCGCGGAGTCGGTTCCGTCGCCAACTACTACTACCGGGACGATGCAATGAAGATCTGGGCCGCCATACAAAGGTGAAGCTAGACCTGGAGTTCAGGGGATGGGGGGCTTTAAGGTCAGCTTCATGGTCAGGAGGGTGAAACCAAGACCTTTGTCAACCCAAGGGCCAAATCCAGTTTGGAGCTATTCCACGGGCCGCAGTTCAATAGTGGTGGTGAAACCCCAAAGATACCAGCCTCTTTTACAGAGAGGATTCACTAGGAGAGGCAATTCAGCTTTGTAGAGTGGGGGAAAACACACGCTCCCACAGCTCAGGGCTGGCCTGGGCATGACTCGTGGAGAAAATCACAGGGGTAGCTCTTACGTCAGAGGGGTCCCTCCTCCTGTGCAGCTTTTCTTTTCAGCTTTATGGGAGCTGTTTTTGATATGGAGTTCAGCACCATGAGTAGCTCTCATAAAGCTCCTCAGAAGAAGAGCTCCAACGGATGAGGTGCCCCGTTGTCGGGGAGGCAGCTGACAGGTGTCCAGGATGTGAGCCGTGTGTGTTGCAGCCTGCTCTTCACCCGTTAAGGTTGCCCATTGCCCTCGAGTGCAATGGAGGATGTTGTCTCAGTAACAGTGCTGAGGACTGTGGAGGATGTTGTCTCAGTAACAGTGCTGAGGACTGTGGAGGATGTTGTCTCAGCAGCAGTGCTGAGGACAGGCATATGTTGTGCATGGAATGGCAGGGGACCCCGTCCAGTCATTTGCCTCAATGCCCCCAGCCGGTTTTGACACAAAGCCTTGCTGGACAAGCTCAAGGTCTGGAGGATCTTCCATCCAGTGGGATCTTGTGTTCCAGCTTTGTGACCAGCATCATCAAATTCTACTACCGGAGCGATGACCGTGTCCGAGAGGATCCTGAGCTCCAGGCCTGGATTCAGGAGATCTTTGTGGAAGCCTTCCAGAGCAGAAAAATGTCTGGGGCTCCCTCATCTCTGCAGACAATGGAGGATCTCATAAAGTTCCTGACAATGGTGATCTTCACCTGCTCGGCCCAACACGCTGCCGTCAACAGTGGCCAGGTGAGAACCTACAAATGTGTACACACACACACACACTAATTCCCCACCCCATCAACAGAAATCTTGTCTCTTCACTGGCATAAGAGTACATGTGTCTCTAGGGCACAACCAATCCATGTTTAGAAATGAAGACATCCTGCAGTTCTGAGCATTTTTCCTGTTCAGACATCAAAAACATTGGATCCTTAATCCAATGAATCATGGATCTTAACAGCCAACCAAAAAAGTTAACTCGACTTATCCCTTTCATTCCAATGGGTCTCCTCTAGGTATGACAAAGTCCACAGAAAATGGGGAACCTATTTTTACAGCTCCCTTCTTTTCCATGGGTCCTGCACCAGAGAGCTTTTTGGCAAATCGAAACCATGGCCAGGTTGGGTTTCATGGTTTCATGGTTGGGTTTCCTCTCCACCTGAAGGGTGGGTTTAACCTGGTGCTGCTTCCGTTGCCCACAGTTTGACTATGGGGCATGGATCCCCAACATCCCACCCACCATGAGAAGACCCCCACCTACTGTGAAGGGCACAGCGACCTTGGAGAACATCCTGGAGACCATTCCTCAGGTGAACATCACCTGCCTTGCCCTCTGTTCCCTGTGGCTGCTAAGCAACGAGGTGGGAGACACGGTGAGTATTTGGCAAGATGTCGTTAGGTACTAGAAACCACACGGGCTGGGAGGGACGCCCCGTGGCTCTGTGACATTAAATGGGGTCCAAAGCTACCAGAGCATGGACTCCGAACGGAGATGCTGCAGAACGGTTGATCTTGGTGATGCTTGGAGTGCAAAAGGCGAAGGCCGCACTTTACTGCAAACCATTCCAGCGTTCCCCAACCTGGCACCCTCCAGGTGTTCTGGACTGCAGCTCCAAACAGCCCGAGTCAGTGAGGCCAATGGTGAGGGATCGTAGGAGCTGCAGGTTGAAACACCAGTCCAGTTTTAGGAGCTCAGGAGTGAGAAACCAGGAGTGAGAATCAAGCTGGACCTTCTCAACCACGCTGTCTCCACAATCCTTTCCAGAGACCTCTGGGGTCCTTTCCAGACGAACATTTCACCGAGGAAGAGCCCAGGCGGCTTATCGAAGCCTTCCAGAATCATCTAGCTGAGATTTCCAGAAGAATCGACGAGAGGAACAAAACCCTTCCCCTCCCGTACACCTACATCAGCCCCCCGCAGGTCGAGAACAGTGTTTCCATCTAGGTCTCAGGCGACGACCAGCCCTGGCACCAAACCTCGCCACATACCCGGCCCCAAGGGAGAACTTGTCCGCCTTCTCATCCTCAGCTGTTCAAGTCAAGCCCGGTTCCTCTCCAGTGGTCTTCTCTGACTCAGAACATCCAAGGAGGTTTTGGAGGCCCTGCTCGGCCGAGCTGAGCATTAAGTAGGCCTGGTGTGGAGCCGGCAATTAATGCTCTTTAACTGCTGTGGAACTGCGTGAATGAGAAGCCAGCCGCTCGATGGACTGGCCAAGTTGCCTGCAGCTTCTCCCTCGCTTTTTCTTGCTGCAAGACCTGCTGATTCCGTGAATTGAGGGTCCAGGGAATCCTCCCTCTTTGGCCCCGTGCTCTCCATTGTCTGTTGCTTTATGTGGCTTTTGTCCCTCGTCCACACGACTAATCCCTGTCTCCAGTCCGTGTGTCTTCTTTGGGCAAGGCTGGTTAGTTCTGCAAGCAGAGCAAACCCACGGGACCTTCTCCCACAAGCACACAAACACTGAGCAGAGTCTAAACGGAGCTGAGCGCTCACCCTCGTTATCTGTTGCAGCTCCACTGTGAATTCTTAAAACCTCTTGTGGTAGAGCGAGCAGTATTTTCGATCACCATTTCTGGCCCCAGGATCATTCTAAGCTGCACTGAGTATTTGCTCAGTTAGTGAAGGCGATTGGTGTTGCTTTTATTTGCCAGTGGGACAGTCTGCTTTGAAATAATGAAGTTATGCGATATATTACAATTCCAAATAACGTAATATACATTTTGCACAACTTTCGAGACAGGGCAATTGCTGTAGCATCTGACATTTTTCAGACTGTGCATATAATTTGAAGGTAAGAGATATTTTAGACCAGGCTTTCGTAACCTAGCACTCTCCAGATGAGATGGACTACAAGTCCATTATTCCCAGCATAGCCACACTGGCTGGGAAAGATGGGAGGTGTTGTCCTGAACATCCAGACTGTGACAGGTTGGGGGAAGGCAACTTTAGATAGATTATAATCAATAATGATGGTTTATTGGTGATTATGTACATGGTTATTTTGATGGTTTAATTGTTTGGAGTTGTTCCTGATATGTATTGTAACCCACCATGAGGACTTTTTATATATGGAAAAGCAGAATGTATCCTTTAAAAACAAGTTACCCCCCCAAATGTACAGTGTACCTATAGTGATCCAACACCTTCTCTAACTAGAAAATGCTATAAGCCAAAACCTGAATGATTTGAAATAAGCACCTGAATTTTTGCAAGCTGAGTGATTCAAAATGTTCTCTTTCCACGTTAAGAGTGCCACCCTCAAAGGCACCCAAATTTACTGTCACTTCCGTTCAAGTTAGAGTGCAGCCCTACAGAAGTTTTGAGAATGGAAGGTGGAAGGTGAAGAATGGGCAGAACTGGTTTATAATTTGGATCAACACCCTGGGCTGCAGCTTTTGGAATTTCCTTCCGGGACACCTCTTGAAGTGCCCAGAGGTGTGCCAGAACTTCCAGAACTAACCCCGCATTTCTGGATGGGGGCGGGGGGAGCATCTTGTACAGTCATCCAAAAGACTTCCAAGTTCTTCCTTAAGAGATTTTTTTGTGGTGAGACCAAGACAGAAGAGGTAATAGGAAAACATGGGGGCACTGCAAATGGAAGATACTCCCTGTCCCAGCCCATCCCCAATAAAACCCCATGAATGGGGCAGGGCCCTGGTGGGAGCAAAGCCTTCTCGGGATGCTTCCCCTCTTTTCTCTCCTCTGGCTCATCTCAGGTGGAGCAAAGATGGTGACCGACCCCCCTCCCAAACCAGACCGCTGTGGCACTCCTGCACAATTTTGTGCTTTTGTCGCTTTTGTAGCTGCAGCTGCTTATCAGTGCATCTTCCTATGCTTGACAAACCGCAGTAGCCGAAAATAGCCATTTTTGAGATTAGTGGAAAAGGAAGTTGCGTGCGTGCTTGTTTTTTAAGCTCCTGGTGCAAAATGAAATGATGGGACTTTCCAGAGAGAAAGAAAAGTGTTATTTGACTTGGAGTATCAAATAAGCCTTAAAAGAAATCAGGGCGGGAATATAAAATATTAGCTTTCTCCAACCTGCTCACCCCCCAGGTGTCCTAGACTGCCACCCCCATCTTAGACTGCAACACCACCCTGGCTGCAGCTCCCAGCCAGCAGGGTCAATGTAATTGTATCTGGAGGGCACCACGTTGGAGAAAGAGGAGCCTAGCCCCCCCTCCCCACTGCATTACTGTTTCTGGCCTCCAGGTGGTAGCAGCACACTCCCCATGTGCATGAATGGGGGTTACGGGTTGCAGTTTTTTTCAGTTTGCAAGTCCTTTGGGTTGGATGCCCAGATGAGCAGTTGGGCATCAGGGCAAAGCTGGGAATCGCAGGTGGGGTAAATGATCGCACAGGGAAATGATCGTTCCTGCCCCAGTGCAGTGAAGGTGGCCTGGATAGAACAAGGCAGGCTGAGTGGCTGGCAAAGCCCAACCCTCGGACCCTTCAAGCTTCGGCTCTGCTGCACCACCAGGTGCACAGCACCTGCCTGGCAGGTGTTCAGCCTCTGCTGGGCAGGGCGACAGGTTTTTCTGCGAGGCCTCTCATGGAAACAGTGCTGGGCAAAGGGAAAATGAGGAAGCAGGGCCAATGTGCAGGCTGTCAGAGATTTCAAAAGTGAAACGGCCGAGAGTGCGAAGGTGTTGCTAAATCCTTTCCAGAGGTGTTTGGAGGAGTGTCGGTGACCTTCCATTCCTCCATCTGCTCCCTGACAGAATCAGAGTTTTGAATCCTGGGTTTCACCTGCTTGCACAAAGGTGTGTTCTGTCCCTGGGGCCTGACCCTGACAAGGTCCGAGGATACTTAAGAAGACGCAGGACCACCTGTGCCAAAGATGAAATGCACTTTATCGAACACAGTGACAAAAATAATAGATGCAGTTCATGATTACACAAGCTGAAGAAAGCGTGAAACCCCCCCCCCCCTTCCCGGGGGCTCCCCGAATAGGCCAAGGGATGCTCCAGGGGCCTGCAAAGGTGCCCAGGTGAGTGACGCATCCGTTCCCCCCGCAAGCCCCAGAGCAAAAGGTACGGCCGCTTGCCTTTTGTAAGGCTCCTGGGAGTGAGGCTGCTCAGCAAGGGAAATGGCTTCGTTGCCGCTGCAGAGACGGCCGCTCTGGACAGAAAGGCCGGGGGAGGCAGCAGCTGCACGAAGCTCACCAGGAATGGGGCCGGTGTGGCTACTGGCCAAGCAGGGTCCCTCGCCCAGCTCATCACACAGGTAGATTCTGCAGGCGAATTGGCAAAGAGGCGCCGCTTGTGCCATGCTGGGCACACGCACAGGGACTCCGTTGCTGCGCTGTCAGAATCCCGGAATCTCAATTTGAGAAGAGGGAATAAAACTTGGGTCCGTGGGAAAGATCAAGCATCCAGACCATCTAGGCTTTCTTGTATTACCCAGGTTCCCCGCGGGTGCGTACTCACGATAATGCATTACTGGGCGGGCAGAGTGAACTCTGCTGCAAAGCTTCAGTACCATTACAGGGCATTTATAGGTACCCAGGTACAGGGCAATTGATGACAGAATGCAGACATTACAATAAGATTCTGAGGTCATCGCATACAGAACAGATAAAGGAATGTCAGTCAATCACACAGTAACAATGGGATTACAATATTTCTAATTGCCTGTATTGACACTTTAGTTCAGTAGCTTGAACCCATCTCTAGGTCTGCTTAAGACGTGTAAATTCAAGCCACTGAAAGTATGCATGAGCTCAAGACTCTTCTCTAGACTCTAGACATTCTGAATTGGCCAAGGCACATGGAGCCCTGGGCTAGGAAGATACTTCCTTGAATTCTAGCAATGACTATTTACAATGTATATTTGGACTGAATGGCCTGTCTACTGTAGCCCACAGCTAAAGGTGAGAGAAAGGAGCGGGGGGGGGGGGAGGAATGCCATTTTAAACAGTGACAGCTTGGTTTTGAGAAGGAAGACAGGATTTGTTCCCACAGTGCAAAGGCACACAGAAGTAATGCTTTTCTGACAGGATTTATCCAAATTTTCCCAACAGCGGCAAAGCAGGCAGGTGTCTGGGGAGCGGTGCCCCAAGAAAGCGAGGCGTTCCAGCCACTGAGCAAATGCCGCACATGGGCACAAATCACGCCCCCCAAGTGGCAAAACCGGCAGCGGGTTTGCAAAACCCACCGTGTGCAGGAAAACCTGGCCTGCTGCAGCTTTCCCGCCCGTCCCTGCTGAACGCTCGTGCGGAGAGGGGTGGCCTGGGATGCCAGGCATGGAGACGAGGAGAGAGAGCAGGGCTGGGCTGGATGCATCCAGTGCCCTCTTCAGACACAACCTTTTGTGGAACAACTTCTCTGTGTGTGTGTGTGTGTGAGAGAGAGAGAGAGAGAGAGAGAGAGGATGCTGTGACTCGCAATGGGTTGGTGCATTTTGCATCTATGTGGGAGAGTATCATCTCTGTAATAAGAAATTGTGTAAAACTGTTCTCGTCCAGCAGAAAGCACATTTCTCTTTAGCCTAGGCAAGCAACAGGTTCGTGCAACACCAGTTCAACAAAGGATTTCTTTTGTGTGCATTTTGGCATTGGTTGGATTGATTTCAGCAACCCAAACATTTTCTTCTTGAGACTGTGCTAAAGAGACTCAAAAAAAAGGACATAGACTTTACACTTTATGTTGTGAGCCGCCCCGGGGCGGCATAGACATGTTTTAATAAATAAATAAATAAATAAATAAGAAAGAAGCTGCACTGGCCCCGCAATCAGCAGTTTCCAAGAGGCAGGGCCAGGCTCAGCTGCGTCGCCGGTGTGGTTTCCCAGGAGCAGCGTGCCGAGGCGCATGGTTCTCTTTGTGGGGAGCGAAGGGGCTGGGCAGAACCTGCATGCACAAGCCCCAGCGCTCTTCCCATGGCAGAGCCTCCAGGCCTCCAGGCACCAGGGAAGGCCGAATCAGCTAGCTCCGGCCGGGGGTGGAGTGCGTACCTTCGGGGAGGAGCAGGGAAGACGGTGCAAACCTGCCGGAAAGTCGGCGGCACGGCACAAATCTGCCCTCCTTCCCGGGGATCAGAGCTCTCCCCCGCTCTCTCAGTCTCTCCCTCGTCCTCCCGCAATTTCTGCAATGTACAAGGTTCTGGTAGCCACCGGAGACGTCCTCCTGGCCGGGACCTACAGCAGCATTTCCATCACCCTGATCGGGGCCCGAGGGGAAAGCCCCAAGCAGCGCCTGGATCACCTGGGAAGGGACTTTATTCGCGGGGCTGTGAGTATGAGCCGGGTCTCTCTGGGAAGCCGAGACATTTTCAGGGAATCCACTGAACGCCCCTCGCTGCAGCCTTCCTCCGTCCGGGACTCTCCAGATGTGCGGCTGCAGGTCCCTGCTCCGTCAGGGTTATAGTGCTCCACATCTGGAGAATGCGAATTGAAGGAGGCCGTTTTACTGGGTTACCTTTGCTTCTGGGCATCTGTGAAAAGTTGAGAAACTTCACTGGATATGGGTTTATCTCAACAAATGCACTTAAGGGCTCGTGGGGGTGTGGGGAACAGTCTATGATAATTTTCTTCCTCTTTGAGCTTGCTAAGATTTCACATTTGTGAATTTTGCTATGAGCTGGGAACCTGGAGGAAAGAACCAGGGTTACGTGGTGGGTGCTTGAATCGGACTCATTTATATCCTAGCCTGAAGCTACTTCCACAAAGCGTCAACAAAGTCCATTCTCTCCATTTCAAAGCCTAAAAACTAGAGTCTTAGATTTTAGAAAACCTGTGCGTGTTTCAAAAAGGTAGATGTTAATTTTGGATTTCAGTGTGCATAGCCCAGGGGGTTGCGGGATGAAAGGGCCCTGCGTGTGAATGATGCTGGTTTGGTTTCTTTTGGATAAAAGAGAGCACCAGAGGTCAACACGATGGTTTTATGAACAAATATGCAAGCAGAGCAAAGATGCAGATGATTCCCAGATTTCCTTGAACAATGCACAAGTTTAAGTGAAACCCTCCCCATTCCGGATCTATTTGGGCAATCTTGACCCAGAAAGCTGACCTGGATAAGCCTTTGCCCCAATCCAGCATGGCTTTTCAAACATGGCACATTCTTAAGGAAAAGAGGCAGACTGACCTCCAGTTGCTTAGATTTTATTTTATTTTATTTTTATTTTTTTTATTTATTTAGAAAATTTCTATGCCGCCCCATTCGCAGAAGCCTTGGGGCGGCTCACAACATGAATCAATTAAAATAATATTAACAATATAAAATAAGTTAACAATATAAAATAAGATTTATGCTGGATCAATGGGTACTGTGAAAAAGATGTGTTCAGGAGAACCTCCCATGTTAAAAGTAACTGGCACACAAAGCTACCGGTGCCTATTCTGAGGTTAATCAAGCTCCAGTCTTTCCAAGGCTTTGGAAAGAGAGGCAAAGCACGGCATTGGCCCCAGCGTCCAAGTGGAGGCAGCCTCCCTGCCAAGCCATGAAGCTCTACCTGCAACCGTTAGCAATCGTTCGCTCTACATGGGACTTCAACTTCCTCAGAAACAAGCCCCCCCATCTCATTTGGGGCTCCTGTGGGTGGACACGCAACCAGCAACAAGCCACTTCCAAGCTCTCCATCCCTTTCGGATCTCCTGCACCCAGACGCAACCTTCTTGCATCTCTAGGGCTGCCCTCCAGGGCCTCAGCTCCCCGCATAGCCCTTCGCCTGCCTGCCTGGTGCAGCTGGTGATCCTGAGGGCACGGGGTGCGATTGGAGCTGCCTTCTCACAGCACCAGGCAGGCAAGTGGGACAACGGGCCCTGCTCCACCTTCAGGAACAGACTCACGAGACAGCTTCTTCTTCTTTTAACTTGCTTTTGTTATGACGTTATAACTTGCAAAGGTGGCTTTTCTGATTTGGTTTCATTCTGCTTTTATGTGCTGAAACCTTCACAAGCCATCTAGGTCGACTTCAGAAAGTCAACACAGAAAAACAGAAACTCCCTGAATTATCGGCTCTCAAATTCACACCTGCCAAAGCTGTTTCTCAGACTATCTCCCACTGAGATCTTGGGGTTCTTCAAACTCTTACTAATAAACCTTGCACAGTAATTGAGACTAAGAAGGATGAGGTAAGCGTGTGGATGGTCCGTTGACTCATCATTATTGAATGCCAAGATGTGCTAAGAAAGCCTTCGGTTATCTGCCCACACACCAAAAAGGAGGTTAGTCACCTGCAAGAGATCAGGATTCGTGAAACTGGGTCAGTGGGCTGGACTTGATGCACTAAAGGACCCCTTCCAATTTTACGGCTCGAAAGACTGTGGCTCTGCTGGCCCACCTTGGAATATACCAGGCAAAAGAGAGGAAGGGTAAACGGGATAATGCAGCCATAAAGCCTCCAAGGCCAGGAGCAAAAGTCGCAATGGGCTTCAGCCTTCGGTGGAAGCCACGCAAGGGCCTATGAAGGCGGAAGATAAAAAGCGGCCAAGGAGCGGCATTCGGGATGGATCAGGGCCATGAATGGTCAGGGCAGTGCAATTCTGGACCAGAATCGGTGGGCGGAAGATAAAAAGCGGCCAAGGAGCGGCATTCGGGATGGATCAGGACCATGAATGAGAGCCAGTGTGGGGTAGTGGTTAAGAGCATGGGACTGGGACTCAGAGGATCCGGGTTCGAGTCCCCACTCGGCCATGGAGCCAACTGGGTGACTTTGGGCAAGTCACAGACTCTCAGCCCAACCTACCTCACAGGGTTGTTGTTGTGGGGATAAGATGGCAGAGGAGATGTAAGCTGCCTTGAGCCCTTTGTAGGAAAAAGGCAGGATATAAATCAAAAAAAAAAATGAATGGTCAGGGCAGTGTACTTCTGGAGAAAGGTGAGCGAATGCCACTGTGCCGGTGGAGAACTGGTCAAGAGACAGTTGAGGGATCGAAAGGAAGCATCCAAGATGCCGTCTGATTTTTAGGGAGCAGTTTGAATGGAGTCCCAGGCAATGATGCAAGGGGTAAGGCCTTCAAATTAATGTGAAAACCCTGCCTTCTTAAAAACAAAATGAAAAAGCAGCTAAAGGGTCTGCAGGTAGGACAGGCTGCGCAATCTGGCCTTCATCTCTCTGGCCACCACCAGCCGGGGGCCGGCTGTGTCGGCCGGATCCTTTTCTGCGTCTGCCGCGAGGCCGTTGGGAGACTTCTCCTGCAGGCAGGTTCTCCTCTGTGTGTCCAGGTCGACGAGTACGAGGTGTCATGCGAGCAAGACCTGGGTCCCCTCCTGATGGTCCGCCTCCACAAGGATCCCTACCTGTACTTCCCCTCGGACAACTGGTTCTGCAGATTCGTCAGGGTGAAGACCCCCCAGGACGAGACCTACCACTTCCCCTCATACCAGTGGATGGAGGGCTATGGTACTCTGACCCTCAGGGAGGGGACAGGTATGGTTCCCCCTCCTTCCTGGGATTTAGGGTGCAGCGGGGCTGACCCCAGCCCCTGCTCAGTGAGTCACAGGGGCCCAGATCTCTACAGGGTTGCTGACCCTGGCCCACTGAGGGTCCAGCTCCAGCCCTCCTGCACTCACCGGAGAAAGCTGCCCCCCCCCCGCCCCCTGCAGCTCCCAGCCCCACTTCCCCACTTCTGTGCCAGTCTGCCCCCATTGTCAAGGCTGAAATTCATACGGCTTATTTCCTGGCAGGAAGGCCTTTGAGCAGAAATGGGTGGGTGTTGCTGCACCGCCCCCTCCCCCAGCTCTGAATTGCAGCCCCCCAAAAGCATCCCTGACATGGGGTTTGGTCCACGGGCTGAAAGGTCTCAGCAGTGCTGGGCTAGAGACATCCCGGTCTCAGTGGGTGGAAGCAGTTCATATACCGGCTCCCTCCCATCTTCCCCTTTGGGTAATTTAACTAATTACTCAGTTATCCACCTTATGGATCTCCGCTTCTCCCCTTCTCGCCCTCTAGCCAAATTGCTTGGAGACGACTCCGGAAGCCCCCTCCTCCTGCAGCATCGCGAGGAAGAGCTGAGAAAGAGGCAGGAATGCTACGGGTGAGCCGGTGGTGGGTGGCCAGCTGGTCGCAGGAAGACAGTCCTTCTTCCAGCCTTCGCCTTGACAAGCTGGTCTTCTCGGTGCAGGGAATTTTTGCTGTGTGGGGAGGAGGTCGCGTCCTGCGTCCACCTGGGCCGAGCCTGCGCACTCGCAGGAGCTGTAGCCCAGACGCAGGCCTGGTGGGAAGAGCTTAGTGCGTGGTCTCAAATAGGTTTGCCCTGGACGGTCATCTGGGCAGGACGCAACGAGGCGGCTTGGTGTAGCAGGGAGCGTGGGACTGGGGCGCCGGCAGAGAGGACCCTACTTCTGGGTCACCCGGCCACGCAGCTGCAACTTCGACTGAACTGCAGGGAGTTGGAGGAGGACGTTAAAACATGAAATGCAGGGTTGTTGTGTGTCGCATCCAGTAGGTACAGGAGCCCTGGCCTCTTGCCACGGGCGGGAAGGGTGGAATCCCGAGGGGAGCCCTGTGGGTTGTCCACAGAACAAGCCACGAGCAACGATGGATGCCAGCCTACGCTGCTCCTTTCGTATTTTTGGATTTTTAGCCTGACCCCCTTTTGCCTTCAGCGCCCCCTCCCCATGGCCTGAGGCCGACAAGACGCTTTGCCCTGCTCTGAGCATCGCTTTGCTTTTCTCCTCCGACCAAACGCCCTCACCGCCTCCTGCGGCCAGGGGCTCCTCCAGGCACGCGGGTGGGCTTTCAGAGAGGGGCTTACTTGTGGGTAAGGGCTTGCTTTCTCATTGCTGCAGCTGGACAGAGTACGCCCCCGGCTGGCCCAGGTGTCTCAACGTGGGGAGCACCGAAGAGCTGAATTCCAACTCCAAGTACTTGTTCACCATGACCACCGTCTTCGCCATGCGCACGGCCAAGTCGTGAGTTCCTTCAGCCGCGTGGCTTGTCGGGGCTGCGATTGGCGGGTGGGGGGGTCGCCAACGTGGCCGGCACATGCCCTTTCCTCCTAATGGGAAAAGGGATACCCAGGCTTTAAGTCTGGTCCCTGGCAGCTCTGCACAGGGAATGTGGGTGGTTGTTGTGCTGTATAGTAGAATTACTACAGATTTACTACAGATGTGTAATTACTGTAAGATTTGGCAGGTCTTGACCAGGACATTCTGGGTAATGTGTTTGCTTGATTTTTAGATTCATATAAATCCAGTGATACTTGTGGCAGCTTACAAAACAAATGTTAAGCAATAAATTCAGGAATGCAATAGGATGCAATCTAATATACAAGGATAAAATCCCATCAGCAGCAACAGAGTCCAAAGAGGGAAGACTTTTTAAAGAGGGCAGGTAAAAACAGGAGTCAAACCAGTAAAACAGACTTGCATGCAGGCCAGATTTAAGCATTCCTCCTCCTCACTGTGTAGAAGATTTTCAGAGACGGGGGCTATTGGGCAAGCAGTTCCGAAGCAGAGACAGTCCCGGGAAGCTTTGGAACGGCACAAGGAGAGCATCCAAGGCCTGCCTGATATAAAAAGGTCTGCTCCAGGAGGCAAACAGCTGGGAATTCCGGGAATTGCAGCCCCCAAGATGCAAGGTTGGCCAACAACCTTTTGCTGCCTGCGCAAAAGCCAACTGGGGGACCAGCAGAGCAGTAAGCGGGGTGGGGGGGAGCTAATCAGGATCTCTGGGGAGGGGAGCTTTGTCAAAAGGCAGAAGTCAAGGTCAATCATGCCCAAAGCATTGCACCAGGGAGGTCACCCGCTCAAAAACTCAGATCAGTCTGGCAGGATCTTTTCCTGGGCTCCTCCACATTGGCTCCCAGTGTGCTCTGCTGGGTTCGGCGATGTTTGCACATTAATGTGCTCCAGACGCCTCCCAGGGATGGGTGTCAGACTGACGGGGCTGTCGCCCAGGTCCTTCCTTCTCCCCCACTTGAGGACAGGGACAATTTCGCCCTCCCCAGTCATCTGGTGCTTCGCCCATGCTCTGTGACTCCTGGCAGCGGTTTGGGGGCTCTTCTGCCAGCTCCTCTGTTATCCGAGGATGCGGCTCGTCAGGTTCTGCAGACGTGGCGCACGTCCTGAACACCGCCAGGCAGCCGATCAGCAGGAACATGGGCAGCCCGCCTCCCACGAGCGCCCCTTTCGCAATCCCAGCCAGGGCTGTGAGCCCCGACCGACCACACACGTGGGCGCACCTGCCTCGCCATGCGATCCTTCCCAGGCAGGTGTTGCGCAGCACACTTCCTGTCTAACCTGCTCGCCTGGATTGCGGAGGCCAGGGAGGCAAGCAGCGATTTTGCCACCCATCAGGCAAAGGTTTGGAACTGAGGGCCCCACATGTCTAGGGAGACACCCTGCCTCTGCTTTCCCTGCATTGCTTCTTCATCTCCATGCTCCTGGGAGAGCAAGGGAATTGCTGCACTGGGGCGGGCATGAGAAACAGACCTCTGTGGGGAGCTGCCACAGACTCACCCCAGCGCTGCCGCCTCGCTTTTGAGTGCGCTTGGGCAAGAGTGCTTAATAAAAGTACAACTGATTGTTCAAAGGCAGCTGTGGTTATAAAAAGCCAATTTGGTCTCGATTCCACTGTAGCTGCCAGATGAATAACATAAGGACTAGAAACTTGATGGTGGCAGAGGCAGCTCGGCAATGAAAAGGTCTGGGGCTCAGGACCAAAGGATGAAGTAAATGCCCATATTTCTTATCAGACAGACAGACAGACAGAGCCCCCCACATGGTTCAGTGGCACAAAGAACTGATCCAGAGTGACCAGGAGGCCCTTAGGTCCTGGTGGGTGTCCGCACCTAGGAGCTCAGTCATATAGGGGATGAGATGGGGCTGATGGGAGTTGTTGGCTGCTTGGCTAAGCTGCTCCCACAGCCCTTGCGGTTTTTGCCCACAGGGAGTTCGAGCTGAGGCTGAAGGGCCTCTCCAACCTCCGGGAATCATGGCAGAGCCTGGAGGACATCCAGAAACTCTTCTGGTTCAACAAAACTCCAGTCACAGGTGAGTCTCCCTTTCCAGAGCAGTAAGTAGCTGGTAGGAACCACCTGGGAGAGTAGATGGCTGCACCCCCCCCCCCTTTGTCCCACTGGGATTCCTAAAAGCAGGACCTGACGGAAATAGCTTCCACCCAAAGATGGGGCCAGTAGATGGTGCCAAGAAGGAGACAACCTGTGATCCAAGAGGTAGCACAGAGTCTTGAGGACTAGCAGCCTTGCAAAGCCTGGTCCTCTGTGAATCTGGATAACTTTTCCAAGCTGTCACAGCACCTTGTTTGTGGTAGCCACTTCCCCAGTTTGGGGATGCTTGGTGTTCCTTTTATTGTCCAGAATCTCCCACTAAGCCTCACCAGACACTACTGGGGTCTTGTATTGTGAGAAAGGGAGAAATTCATTCCCCCAGCCTTGCGCCATAAATGCACCATAAATAACTGGCTAGACCTCTGCCATCTCCTCCCTCGTGTGCCCTTCCTCTGAACGGGCAAACCATGACACTTTCCTAGGCAAGCCATTTCAACCCACTACTCAGTCTGGCTGATTTTTTCTGCAACTGCCGTAGCTCTCGAGAACCCTTTTTGAGATGAAAGAATGGGGGACATGCATCTTAGGAGCACCTCGTGGGTATGTGTACATGTCCCCCTATATTTTCATCATGCATTCTCATAAAATCCACTATTTAATCATTATCAGTCCCAGAAGAATTGCAAATATTTCTCACCCAGGAACAAAGCAATAACTCCCCAGTCCAAGAATTAACATCATGCTCAATAGAAAAAAAAAAGCAGTAATCATGGGCATTTTTTATCATCAGAATATGTCACTGAACACTGGGTAGATGACGATTTCTTTGGCTACCAATATCTTAATGGAGTCAACCCCGTTATCATCCGAAAATGCACCAAGATCCCGGAAAACTTCCCTGTGACCCAGGAGATGGTGGCTGGCAGCTTAGCAGAAGGCACCAGCCTCCAGAAAGAGCTGGAGGTAAGCTGCACAACTGTCCAACAGCCTCTGCGGGCAGCCCAGACAGCTGCAACGCAGCAGGTAGAAAACAAATTTACTCATTGCTTGGCACATCCGTCCCCTTCAGCCTCCCTTTTCCTTACTGCTAAGCCTGGCAGCTTAGGGTTCGTGGAAGAACTCCTGGCTTAGGGTTCGTGGAAGAACAAACGCAAGTCCATTTTAAATTGGAAAGACGTCACATTCTGGGGAAATTTTGTACTTGAGGTGCTGCATTCGGTTTTAACCATTTTAATTTGGTTTGATTTCATAGACCGATTGAACATGAACAGATACATAGCTCTGAATTGTCTGCGTTTCACTTGGCTTGACTGCGCCTTCTCTCTCCCCTCCCATGCCCAGAATGGGAACATGTTTATCACAGACTACAAGATTCTGGAGGGCATCCCCACCTGCGAACTGGACGGGAAGCCCCAGTACATCTCGGCCCCGCTCTGCCTGCTGTACCTGAACCCACAGGGGCAAATGATGCCGGTGGCTATCCAGGTAGCCCAAAGGTTGTGTGTGTGTGGGTGTGTGTGTGGTCGGTCTCATCTCTCGCACTTTTCACGCCCAGCCCGCCCACCACGGGCAGTTGCTCACACCTTCCAGCAACTGCTCTCCAGGTGCTCCTGGAGGAACAAGCAAAATTCACTCGGAAAAGGCCACACCTCAGCCGCTGCACACCTCTGCGTGCCAGGCCCAAAGCAGGTGCCAGCCAACCAGGCAGCGAGACCTGCGTTGTTTTCCACAAAGTCCAGTCCGAAAACACAGACGAATATTCCCAGGGTCTGTTCTTGCCTCTCTGCTTACCGAGTCAAAATATTTGATCTGGGCCTGCGGATGCGCCTGATTCGCATGTTTTAGGTGGCCAGGTGTGACTTCATATGGCGGCCGGCATTCAAAAATCTCAGCTTTAAGTATTAAAAAACTACAAGTTTGTAGTCTGTGGAAGCTGTTGGGCCCTGTTTGAAAATATTCAAGTGGTGAATTCAAGGCCAGATGGGAGCTGAGCAAGATGATCCGCTCAACTCCTGTTCTTGCCTCTCTGCTTACCGAGTCAAAATATTTGATCTGGGCCTGCGGATGCACCTGCTTCGCATGTTTTAGGTGGCCAGGTGTGACTTCTTTTGGGGTGGAGTCCGGATTTGCTGGGCTGTGCAAAGTGCAAATAGCCTACACAGGAGGATGAGCTTTGTCTGAGGAGGGATTAACTTGAAAAAGATTTTTTCTAGCTTGACTAGCGTGAGGTCTGGGTTTCAAACCATGCCCTGAATCAGTCAGAAGGAGCCATCCTCCTCCTCTTTAAGCCAGAGACTGGCTCGCTGCCGTCTTTTTATGGTCAACCACTGTGGTCTTTCTTTTTCGCATGGTTCCTGTGACTTATAGATACATTTCAAATTTAAAAACGTAAGCGTCCCGCTGGATTAGACCACGACCTGCTTTGGTGGGCGGTGACACGGTCTTAGGCGGAGGAAGATCTTTTCCCTCACCTGCACCTGCAGATGCCCAAGGACTGAACTTGGGGCTTTGCAGCTATTTTGTGGTTGTTAAGCACCCTCAAGTCATCGGGCAACCCCATGAGCGGAAGCCCTCTGAGTCATGCTCAGCTCCTGCAGCTGCAAGACCGGGCCTTCTGTATGGTGCCAATCCGTCTCCTCACTTGCCCTCCTCCTCTTCTGCCTTCGACCTTCCCTGGCATGACTGTCTTCTTCAGGGAATGTGGACTTCTCATGACGTGTCCCAAGTATAGCACCTTCAGGTTTTGCCGGTTTTGCTTCTAGGGAAAGTTCTGGCTTAATTTGCTCTTGTCCTGTCCCCCCGTCATTTGCCTTTCTGTCAGTCCAGAGAATTTACAAAGCCCCCCTCCAGCGCCAGCCTTCGAGTGCCTCCAACGCTCCACAAACCTCTTGCAATCTGCCCCCGCCTTCCTTATACTCCTTTTGGTGCCAGGCAAAGCCCTACCTTTTAAAAAAAAACCTTTTAATATTTACTAGAAGCCACTGAACCTCTATTTGTATCTTAATGGATGCAGTTTATTTATTGGATTTTTTTATACCTATTAGTGTGTGGTCGTTGTTTTAGTTTTCTCAATGGCTTTTAAGTGTTAATTGTGAGCCGCCTAGAGATGCTATGGAGCAATAGGCAGAATAGAAATGCTTTAAATAGATAAATAAATAAAACAGTCTGAACAGCTGAGCGTCCTGTACTTCCTTCCCGGCAGATCAGCCAAACCCCAGGGCCCGAGAACCCCATCTTTCTGCCCTCGGACTCCACATGGGACTGGATGCTTGCCAAGATCTGGGTGAGGCTGGCCAACTTCCACGTCCACGAAGTCAATACCCACCTCCTGGAGGCTCACTTTCTGGGCGAGGTCTACACCATGGCCACCCTCCGCCAGCTACCCATGTGCCACCCGATTTACAAGGTAATATGATGTTCCCAGAGTGTGCTCAGCCTCATGGCTCCACCCAGCAACGGGGCGAGTTAACAGGCAAGCAAGCCACCAAGTTGGTCTGAGCTGAAGATTTCTCTTCAGTGCTAGCAGTGCACCTGGATTCTATTTGCTTGCTTCTTTAAAAAGGAGGATTCTAGTCCTCATTGCCCTTAGAATGGACCTGAGATGCAACAAGAAAGCTGCAGAAGCAGCAGAACCCTCCGTATTTTTCTATTTCTATCATGATTCTGAATGTTTGTGCGTCAGATGCAAAATGTAGCACCACGTTCAGAAATGTCGAGAGAAGGGCTGACTCCGCAATGTTTGCATTTCTCACAGGGTGGGGAAGAAGGTAGGAGAAAGTGAATTTTGAAGACCCAGCCCATCCTTAGCCTGGGGTGTTTTTCTCTTCTCTCCCTCCTGCAGCTCCTGATTCCCCACACCCGCTATATATTCCACATCAATACTCTTGCGCGTACCAGTCTTCTCCAAGCAGGAGGTTTATTGGATAAGGTAAGACACAATCACCAAAGGAAGAGAGCCAGTGTGGTGTAGTGGTTAAGAGCGTGGGACTGGGACTCAGACGATCTGGGTTCGAGTCCCTGCTCAGCCATGGAGCCAACTGGGCGACTTTGGGCCAGTCACAGACTCCCAGCCCAGCCTACCTCACAGGGTTGTTGTTGTGGGGATAAGATAGAGGAGGAGCATGATGTAAGCTGCCTTGAGCCCTTTGTAGGAAAAAGGCAGCATATAAATCAGAAAATAAATAAATAAAATAAATAATTTGAAAGTGAGGATTCAGCGTTTCTAATCCTGCTTCAGGTGAGTCGCCATCAATTATTTTATATTGTTAATTCGTTTTATATTTTTAATGTATTATATTTTAATTGATGTTTTGTGAGCCGCCCCAAGGCTTCGGCGAATGGGGCGGCATAGAAATTTTCTAAATAAAATTAAAAAATAATAAATAAATAAAACAAAGCCCCACATAAGTAGGCCCAGCGCTGAAGCAGTGGTCTTGTGCCAGGTTGAAAACCGTTTACACACCTACAAAGGCTACAAAACAACCTTGCATGAGCAGAAGAGGCATGTAGAGTAACTAAAGTCAGCAAGAATGAGTGAGTTCTGCTGGACAGGAAGTGCCGCCATGCTGGCAGGAAGTCAGCAGAATGTTCAGGTCTGCAGAGATGGGAGTCTGGCCTGAGGCTCACAGCCAGCCAGGAGGCCAGGTGGGAAATCCATCATGAAAAGGACAGTGTCGGGTGCCCAGAATATCCAGTTCTAACTGGGTTTGTCAGCCATGGATGGGTGCTTGAGGTTGCTGAAGAAGGTCTTTAGATTTCTGCATTCCTGCAACATGGGAGCATAAGAAGGGCTTTTCTAGATGGCAGCTGCCCAAGTCCGTCTTCCCGGCTGCACTGCAGCCCCCTTTTGCAAGAGGAAGTGCAAAAGCGGGACATGAGCAAAATAGCCCCTTCCCCTTGGGATCCCCAGCCACTGGTCCTAGAGGGACACACAGCCCCCGTGAGTCATGGGATCCGTTTGACTAAAGCAGAACGGACCGGATCCGTCGATTCCATTGGACTGATTCATGCCCCTACTGAGTTTCACCTCCTTGGCCCCCGACATCTTCTCTCTCACCCTGCAGGCGACTTCGACGGGCCGTGAGGGGATGTTGAAACTGCTAGCCAGAGGCTTGCAAGCCACCAGCTACACTTCCCTTTGCCTCCCGGACGACCTGGAGGACCGTGGAGTCACCTCGTTGCCCAATTACTACTACAGGGATGACGGGATGAAGATCTGGGCAGCCATCGAGAAGTGAGCCTCAGGATCGGGCCCCAGAGTGGCTCCTTGGGTCCCTCCAGGGTGCAGAACAAGTGCAGCTACACAGCTCTGCAGCCCCCAATGTGCAAAGTTGCTATTATTTCCGCACGTGTGAAAGCTTCGCGCGTTTGGAGGCTGAAAGAGGCATCACCCCTCTTCCCTACCTCCTTGGTTTTCCACACACGGTTGTGCACAGCCAGGCCCAGAGCATATCCGTGGCTAAACTACCTGCAAGTTAAAGGGGAACATGTAGCCAATCCTCTCATTCTTTTTTTTTTACTTAAGAGTAGGTGTGCAGGGCCCTGATCCGGATCGGGCCCACTGTGTGCAGATGGGGAGGCTAAATTTCCCACCCAGTTATTGTCTCCACCCTGCCCTGCCACTTAGTCAGATTGGCCTCCGTTGGTGCCGTTGGACTTCTGATTCCTTCACCCTCTTTGCTGTGGGGAGGAGAAGAATTCAGTGGGAGGTGGACAACCGGATGGGAAGATATGATGCTCAGTGGTCCTGATCCAAACCAGGGTGCAGTTAACTAAAGTTTTGGTTTTTTTAAAGCCTAAGAACTTCTCTCGCTTGGTTCCCCAAAGAACTCCAAGGCAGGAAAGGTTTGCTGTCATTATCTCAGCACTGGGGGGAAAAGGAGTTAATTGCAGAAACCAAATGCTGTTATAGGATCACATAGCTGAGCTTAAGCAATAGCCTCCAGCCAAAGCTCCAACTCAGTTCCCCTCTCTGTTAATTAACAAAGGTGGTGATTAAGGGAGAGTTTGTTAGGCTCAAAGAAAAAAGAAATCTCAAACCTCAAACCAGTTTTAGGAGGCTTTGTGCTAGTGCTTTTCTCCCAAGGTACCCCTACCGGAATTGTAGCTTAGTGAGAAGTTGCTCTGGGGGTCCTTTGAGGGTGTCACTGCATATGCTGCCTCCATGATAGAAGTCCCGGGCCTTTTCCTACCACGCGAAAAGCAAAACACTAACACAGAACCCTCAGAGGAAGCCAGATTTCTGCTTCCCAGTGCACAGACGCAATCAAACTTCTGTTCAGGATGCGGCCATTAGACCCCTGTCCCCACGCTGGCCCCCACCTGTGTGTTGGGCCAGCTGGGTGCCAGGTGGCTTTACATTCCCCGTCCCTCCAGCAGGTGTCTCCCCATTACTAGAATCAAGAGCGATTCATCTCCTTTCCTCCCATCCAGGTACGTCTCTGGCATCGTCGGCTTCTACTATAAATCTGACGCGGCTGTGAAAGGCGACTCTGAGCTGCAAGCTTGGATTCATGAGATCTTCACAGAAGGCTTCCTGAGCAGAAAATCTTCAGGTAACACCTGAGCATCTCTCATCAGCTTCATCCATCCCAGCTGTGTGGCCTTTGGCCTGCAAAGCGGCAAATAAGGATAATTGGTGCCAGATAATTGGTGCCAGATGGGGCGCTGCTCCCGTTGAAAAGTCAAGTTTGTGCTTTGGGTGCGCTTCTCCGTTCAGCTGTGAACTCTGAGTCCTTGAATCAAAAGATGACAGGTCTGGCCAGGATGTCACAGGTCTTCCTGAGCCCTCTCCAGCCTGTTGCCCTCCAGGTACTTGACTTCAGCTCCCACCAGGCAGCATCTGAAGCACCCACACCAAGATGACCAGAAAGCTGACACGGGGCATGAGACGTGGGCATTTCCCAGCGGTTTTGCTCTGGCTGCCAGTAATTTGCTGGGCCTTGTTTGTAATGCCTGAAGCCCTAAACGGTTCACTTTCCAGATACACTGTTCACCAATACCCTGGTTTTAAGATCCGCCCCAGAGGTTTTGCTTGTGGTGCCCTTGAAAAACGTGGCCTGTGGATCTGCCTGATGTGGCAGGACCTTCGTTGTGGTGGCCCCAGGTTGCGGTGCCTTAGCATCCTCCAGGTATAGGCAATTTTGTGCGGATTACTCGATGGCACTTGAACACGTGTGACTTCAGGGCCATGACTCTGATGTTGCTTATGCAGCGTGCCGTGTGTTCTATAGGTGGTTAGCCGCTTTGGGGGCTTGATGAGGCAAGGAGGGATATAAAGGAAGCCCATGAATAAACTTCCCATCTGATCGCGACAGGTGTGCCTTCCAGCCTGGAAACTGCCCCGGAGCTGATCCGGTTCCTCACCATGGTCATCTACTGCTGCTCGGCACGACACTCAGCTGTCAACAGCGGGCAGGTAGGTAGAGGGGGAAATGGAGAGGTGGTCCCAGGCCCTCCCTCTGCCTCTGGTCCCTGGTCCCTGGACTGTCCTGGTTGATTCCCAGTGCTGATGACCCCACACAGGTGAGAGGGCAGCACCTGTTGCCAAGGAGAGCAGTAGCCCAGGACCTAAGATGGCCATGGCTTGGTGCCTGGACTATTTTTCCTTTTCAAGTGGAACTTGCTCCAGTGCAGAGGCCTGGAAGAGACATGATTTTATAGTCCGACACACCTACACACATGAAGACTTTTTACCACTAGGAAATGTCATAGAGCAGTGGTGGCGAACCAATGGCACACGTGCCACAGCGGGCACGCAGTTATATTAGGGTTAGGGGTGTGCTCCAGGGTAGGGTTAGGGTTAGGAAAACGAGGCGTCCTGGCAGGATTTTGATGCTTGGAATGCATTTAGCATGGACAGAAATGATGAGCTGCGCAGAAAAAGCTACTCAAGGAAGGCTTTTTCAAAATCGCCCTCTTTTCCATGGAACTTTAGCCCTCTATTAGGGTTAGGGGTGTGCACCAGGGTAGGGTTAGGGTTAGGAAAACGAGGTGTCCTGGCAGGATTTGGATGTTTGGAATGCCTTTAGCATGGGCAGAAAGGATGAGCTGCGCAGAAAAAGCTACTCAAGGAAGGCTTTTTCAAAATCGCATTATTTTCAATGGAACTCTAGCCCTGTATTAGGGTTAGGGGTGGGCCCCAGGGTAGGGTCAGGGTTAGGAAAACGAGGTGTCCTGGCAGGATTTTGATGCTTGGAATGCCTTTAGCATGGGCAGACATGATGAGCTGCGCAGAAAAAGCTACTCAAGGAAGGCTTTTTCAAAATCGCCCTATTCTCAATGGACCTTTAGCCCTCTATTAGGGTTAGGGGTGTGCACCAGGGTAGGGTTAGGGTTAGGAAAACGAGGTGTCCTGGCAGGATTTTGATGCTTGGAATGCCTTTAGCATGGGCAGAAATGATGAGCTGCGCAGAAACAGCTACTCAAGGAAGGCTTTTTCAAAATCACATTATTTTCAATGGAACTCTAGCCCTGTTTTAGGGTTAGGGGTGGGCCCCAGGGTAGGGTTAGGGTTAGGAAAAGGAGGTGTCCTGGCATGATTTTGATGGTTGGAATGTGTTTAGCATGGGCAGAAATGATGAGCTGCGCAGAAAAAGCTACTCAAGGACAGCTTTTTCAAAATCGCCCTCTTTTCAGTGGAACTTTAGCCCTGTATTAGGGTTAAGGGTGGGCCCCAGGGTAGGGTTAGGGTTAGGAAAACGAGGTGTCCTGGCATGGTTTTGATGGTTGGAATGTGTTTAGCATGGGCAGACATGATGAGCTGTGCAGAAAAAGCTACTCAAGGAAGGCTTTTTCAAAATCACCCTCTTTTCCATGGAACTTTAGCTCTCTATTAGGGTTAGGGGTGTGCACCAGGGTAGGGTTAGGGTTTGGAAAAGGAGGTCTCCTGGCATGAGCGTTTGAATGTGTTTAGCATGGGCAGAAATGATGAGCTGCGCAGAAAAAGCTACTCAAGGAAGGCTTTTTCAAAATCGCATTATTTTCAATGGAACTCTAGCCCTGTTTTAGGGTTAGGGGTGGGCTCCAGGGTAGGGTTAGGGTTAGGAAAACGAGGTGTCCTGGCAGGATTTTGATGCTTGGAATGCCTTTAGCATGGGCAGACATGATGAGCTGCGCAGAAAAAGCTACTCAAGGAAGGCTTTTTCAAAATCGCCCTCTTTTCCATGGAACTTTAGCCCTCTATTAGGGTTAGGGGTGGGCCCCAGGGTAGGGTTAGGGTTAGGAAAACGAGGTGTCCTGGCATGGTTTTGATGGTTGGAATGTGTTTAGCATGGGCAGAAATGATGAGCTGCGCAGAAACAGCTACTCAAGGAAGGCTTTTTCAAAATCGCATTATTTTCAATGGAACTCTAGCCCTGTATTAGGGTTAGGGGTGGGCCCCAGGGTAGGGTTAGGGTTAGGAAAACGAGGTGTCCTGGCATGACTTTGATGGTTGGAATGTGTTTAGCATGGGCAGAAATGATGAGCTGCGCAGAAAAAGCTACTCAAGGAAGGCTTTTTCAAAATCACCCTATTCTCAATGGACCTTTAGCCCTCTATTAGGGTTAGGGGTGTGCACCAGGGTAGGGTTAGGCCAGTGGTGGCGAACCTGTGGCACACAGGCCAAATGGGGGACGCAGAGCGCTCTCTGGCAGCGCACTAGCCGAGTCGGCCCAGCAGCCGAGCATCAGGTAACAGTGCACACATGGGCTATGCGCAGGGTCAGAATGGAGTAGCGACGCCAGGCCATGACCTCACTTGCCGCGACTCATTTGCCGCCACTCATCTCTAAAGATTTGCTATTACTGTCACAGAGTCATAGAATAGTTGAGTTGGAAGGGGCCACGAAGGCCATCAAGTCCACCCCTCTGCTCTCGCAGGACACCACATTACACTGTCCCACTCGGCGGGCTGCCCAGTTTCTGTTTGCACGTCTCTAGTGTGGGAGAGCCACCACCTCTCCGGGCAACTGCTCCTAGTATGTCATACATGTTGTGCAGGGCCACACAACACAACAAGCCATTGTGGTTTCCTCTGCAGGATGGCTCGTTGTGATGTCTGAATCTTGCCGTGGTATTTCAGCATGCTACATTTGGCTTCTAGAAACCATGATACGAAACAGTGATCTATTCTACCGTTTTCACACTCCACCATGGTTTCTTTGGGTGTCCGTCACTGTGGGTTGCAGCTACTACAGAGTTCCCTGGAAGGAGCGGCAGCTGAAAGAGCTGCTTCAAACATCTGGTGTGGAATTGAATTTCAGGCACGATGGTTGATGGGATACATGCCCAACAGCAAGAGGACTGAACCACGCTAGCTTAGAAGCCGCTTGATCACCTGTCAAGCACATCCGGGCAAAAAACCAACATCACACTTGTTATGATTATACGTGGACCCAGCAGTGGTCTCAAATGGGGATCATGCATTTTGCATTGAGTTTCTCCCCTCCTGTTGTCTAAATTTCAGGCGGTTGTCCCTCCACACACTTTCTAAACTTTAAGAATTCTGCAAAGCCCGCTTCATAGGGAGCTACACCTGAGGAATGCCCAGCTGCTCCAACTGGTGCAAAATTCAGCAGCCAGACTGGTACCCAGCATCAGGATGAATTCCACGCACAAGTCCTGAAAGACCAGCCCTGCTTACTAATTCCTTTCCAGGCTCAATTCAAGGTGTTCATTCCCACTGAAGCCCCAAACATGATGCAAACAGGATGTCCACACACTTCTGGATTTGTGCTTGAATGTCTGAAAATTGTGTATTTTGAAATATGTGCACCATAAAATTAATTAAAAGGAAAGATAGGCACTTTAAAATGCAGTGGGGGCAGTTAAATATATACCTTCATGCTTTAGTCAGTGAGGGAAAAGGACAAACTTTTTCCATTCAAAATGCACATTTTTTGCATTTGAATGGCCTGAAAAATGGTTAAAAACAAAAATAGGAATGAGCAGAAATAAAATTCAAATTGAACTTCAGAGTTTTTAGACTCAAATATCACTGACTCTTCCATTCCGACCGACCAATTCTGTGGGTGTTTCAGAATGGTATACCAAGTCATCCTTTTCATTCACCCTTCTAAAATAATTTCAGGGAGCAACGTTAGTGTATTTAGTGCAAATAAATGGGCTTTGTTCTGTCCAAATATGCATAGAATTGCACCTTTCATGCTCGAATCGTGCTGCTGGGTTTCAGAGTTATTTTACTTGTTCGTAAACTGTTGGACACAGTTGGATGTTTTTCTCAGCAGAGAAGCTGGTACAAGCATGATACTCAAACTGACAGTAACGATGTCCCTTTGTGTTTGCAACAGTTTGACTTTGCTGCCTGGATACCCAACACGCCGCCCACCCTGAGGCAGCCCCCTCCCAAGGTCAAGGGCGCCACCACCCTGCAAAGCGTCCTGGATACGCTCCCGGACGTGAGCTCCACGTGTTCGCTCTTGGTGGTCCTTTCTGTGGTTAGCAATGAACTGGGCGACCTGGTGAGTATTCTGGGGGTCCAGGAGAAGCAGCACAAGGGTGACTCGTTTAGCAGAGCAGCGATGCTCTTTAGGCTTGAACAAGAAACCTAAAGGCGACCTCTGAAAAGCTGCATGTGTCAACTGCAGGATAATGTGCAGAAGGACCCGTTAGCTTTGCTCAGGTGTTGCTTTCCTGCTGTCGGGTGCATGCTGAGTTAAAACAGTGGCTGCATGTAACTCTTAGTTTAGCAATGCATTATCTAGCACTGCTCACCCCTGACCAAGAGCTTGTTTCACAAGTAAGGCCTGTTCAACAAAGGTCCCCTGGAATGTTCGCTGCAAGCTTCCTTCTCATAGCTTCTGCCCCTCATTGCTTCCTGGCAATTCTCATGGCTTCTCCCCTGACATTGCTTCCTGGTTACCAACAAATAGCCTGAATTGGCTCCTGATCCCTCATAAGGGTTGGGGAAAGTTTAATTATTGATTCTCTTTCACTTTTCTTTTCTGATTAATGGCCAGTTAAAGGGCAGTTGATCAATAATGTCCTAGCACTGAGCAGGAAGTAGTTAGAATAGCTTTCCTCAACCCATCATCTTCCAGAGGTAACGAATGATAACTCCCAAGATCTCCAGCTGACATGAACTGCAAAAAGGAAGCTTCTAATAAAAGGTGCAGTAGCCTTGTTCATGTTGGCTAGTTCATGTTGGGCAAGATGGCACCACAATGGCATTGTAAGTGGCATTTACCAGAGAGGGTGTTTTGAGAGGACCAGTAGCCCAGAAAACCCTGGAATGCAGTATGTGCAAAAAAAAAAAAAAAATCCAGATTAAACTTCTCGTGAGCAAACCAGCTGAGCCAAGCTGACCAGTGACATTTGCAGAAGAGTGTGTTCCAGCTATACAAGAGGCCAAGGTAGTTTTAGATACTCTGTGTACTCAGAAATATTTCAGTGACTGACTGCAGTTCATCTGTGGCAGGGGGAAGCCTGGGGCAGCCTGCGATGGGGCCTCTTGCCATCGTTGCTTTCCCCATGGTGCCCAGACCGCAGCCCCAACCTACGGCCAAAATGTGGTGGCCCAGCACCAGTGAAGCAGCCATTTCCTTTCAGTCAGATGCAGACGGAGCTGAATTTGAAAAGCAAGATGTGGGCATTGTCAAAATATAAGGAACATGCCAGCCTCTAAAACATTGCCGGATGTAGAACGACACACACACACACACACACACACACACACACACACGTGCTTCCAGTCCAGAGTTTTTGCACGCCGTTGTTCACAGCAGGGCATGGGACAGATGGCAAACTCTTTCCTTCCTTCCTTCCTTCCTTCCTTCATGTGTCCTACTGTTTCTCCTATCCTATTCTTTGCACACACAACCATTAAGCGGGGAAAATCCAGAACAGCTCACAACCATAAAGCCCTCAACGGCTTGGGGTCCGGCTCTCTAAAGGACCATCTGCACCCATATATACCTACCTGCCCCCTTAGATCAGCTCAGAAGCCCTTCTACAAGAACCAGCCCGCAGGGGGGGGGGGGGGGGGGGGGGGGGGCTAGGCAAAGGGTCTTTTCCACTGCTGCTCCCCATCTATGGATCTCCCTCCCTGGGGAAACTCACCTGGCACCATCTTTATTTTCCTTTCAGCGCCAGGCAAAGACATACCTTTCTGGGATTTTTTTTAAGACTTAGCCTGAATGCTGTGGCCCTTTTTCTATTGCTTTTATAGATGTTTTAATTCATTGTGTTTTAATTGGTTTTAATGTGTTTTACTTGGTTAATATGTTTTATGTATTGTAAGCCGCCTAGGAAGGCCTCAGCAGTTAGTTATAGGCAGCCTATACATACATGTATAAATAAATAAAATAAAATATCTTTTGACTGGCATCACCAGAAGCTCCCCCATCTGGGAGGACTTGCCTTCAACCTGCATTGCTAGGTGACCGGTGCCTCCCCTTCCCCTCTTCCAGAGACGGCTGGGCAATTACCCTGACGAGCATTTCACAGAGGACGAGCCGAAAAGACACATCGCAGCCTTCCAGGCACAACTGGCGGAGATCTCTAAGGAAATCAAAGAAAGGAACCAGATGTTACCTCTCAGCTACTCCTACATGGACCCCGCTGTCGTCGAGAACAGTGTCACTGTATAGCCTCAGACAGCAGCTGCTTCTCCGACTTGTCTCTCTGCAGTACAAGCTGCCACAGCTCCTACAGAAGCCTGGAGACTCTTCCACTTTATGACTGTGGACCTGGACTGAATATTTTCCACTTATTTATTTTAATCTGCGTTCGGCCATTTTCCAGCTTGATTTCATGAGGGCTAGGCACTTGCTTTCTTTTTTAAACACACAAGTCCTATGGGTCAGGGCTTAGAACATGACATCCCGCTTTGCACAGGCTAAATTATGGGATGGCATCTAGGAGGCTCTGTCACAGGCCTGCTTTAACATTCTGCATATTGTATCCTTTGGGTAACAATGTGGGTCTTTTTGGCTGAATTTAATTCAAAGTCACCAGCAGGATATCTCGTAAGAACAGGAAACAGAAGCGAAATGCAATGAGAAAAAAGAAATGGCTTGATGTGTGTTTTTTCTGATCCCCGTACTATCTTCTTTCAGAGGTGAGGAGTGGGAAATATTTGATAGAAATCTTTGTTAATTTCTTCTCAGATAAAATCACGGCTAATGCTTGTGTTTCCATCCCTTCTCTTTGTTTGCTCGTTTGATTGTGAGAATGACTCGCATGGGAACGGTGGAGAAAGTGGGGAGGGGCATTTCCCCCCTCCCATAAAAACAGGCCCCGATGTCCTCATGCAGGGCTGCCAAGCCATCCGCATGGGGTCCAACTCTGGCCCCACCGGAGTCCCGCCCCTGCTTTCCAGTTTTCCTCAGGTGGTCCTGCAATGCATTCCTGCGCTACCCAGGTACCATCAGGACCAGCATCCTGCCATGCAGTTGGTTGCTCACGTGGGCTATGTAGTCTGCACATTCAGGAAGGAACCTCGTGCAAATGTGGAATATGCTGCGGGGCAATTTCTCTCGTGCCACACTTGAGTGTTGCTTGTTTTCAGAGCACACCTGTTTTCAGAGCACACCTACTCCCAGCCACCACCACCGGCCTGAGAGCCCCGTGGCCTCGACTGGGGCCAATCGATCAGCAAGCCACGCCCCTCTGTAGGGCGAGCACTTCCTAAGACCCCTCTCTGTGAAAGGGGGATCGCAGAAATTGTGTGTGCGGAGGGTGTCTCGCGTTGCAGCGTCTGTGAAAGCATGCATGCCCAGTGGCTCTGAGCAAAGGATCCCGTCTTCACACAGCTCGCCCGTGTCAGGATGGTCTTGCACGTGCAGCGTAAGATGAACGGCAAAGAGACGGAGGGACATTTTTGGTGCCGGCACCCTGGCTGCAGATAGCTCTCCTCAGGGCAATCATTCGCGACACATATGTAGAGCAGGCACATTGAGATCAGTGGGAATTAAGTTAGCTGTGACGAGTGTAATTCCCATTGATTTTAATAAACCTAAATATGTCTGGATCCAACCCAGTACTTACCTAGGAGCAAGCCCTCCCAGCTGAGCTTTCCTGGGGGCTCCCTTCAGCACCTGATGTATGGCTGAATGTTCCCCCACCCCTCCTCACCCCCCCGCTTTGAGGCTCAGCAGATATGAAAGGGCTGCAGGACCTTCTCAGTGGAGGCCCCTCCTGTGGAATACCTCCATAAGGAAGCCTGTTGTGGGCACTGCCCGGCTCACTGCTAACACACAGCTCCTCAGGCAAGTGTTTGGCCTGACTTAATTGCTGTTACACCTCCCAAAGTCTAGCCTGACAGCGTTCGGTGGGTACTCGGGAGAGGAAACGGGAGCAGTGCGGTCGGAAAGACCCTCCCCGACTGCCTTGCTCCAATGGCATCATTCTGAGCAATTTCTCCAGCAGAGGGTTTTGCAAGTCCATTCCTGGGCAGCAACATTGCAACCTGTGTACTGAAAGGGTTTGCACAAGATCGGTGTCACAATCGGTGTCACAAGCCTCAGGGTGCTAGAAAACCCACTGCTTTCCGCGGGTGAAGCTATTGGACCATATTTCAGATCCCTGGACAAGCAGAAATACCCTGATGGTCCTGCTATGCCCATGAGTTAATCAAGGACCGCATTCCGGCAGTGAGTTTGCTTGTCGAACGGCGGTTTCTTGCTGAACCAAGGGTTTTCTGAACCAGCCGCACTGACAACCCAAGGCTTGAGAACCACAAGCAACCCATGGTTTGTCGCTGGATTGTGAACAGTGGGTTGTTCCATGTTTTATTGGGACAACCCAATAATGGGTTCAGACACTACGATAAGCCACATTTCCACAACAGACCGCAGTTCAACAGCATCTCACACTCAACCCCTCCTCACGTTTGGCTTATTGTGCTGTCTGAACCCAGTCTAGGAATCCAATCCATCCTTAGCTATATCGCCTACAGTTCTCCGCTTCCCCGAGAGAGTTTTGATCTGAGAGATTTCCTGATGGTGCATTTTGCAGGATTCACACACAGACGGCCCGGGTGCATAAAGGGGGCTTCACTCGGCAGACTCCAAGCCGCTCCAGGAGCGCATCACCCCAGGCCAGCTGCAAAACTTCAGACCTGTGTTTCCTTGCCAGCTACAGGCTGCTCCAGATGGCCAGGCACTGATCTCAGACTCCTACCTGGCCAGCACATTTCAGGGCAGCCGTGTGTCCTCTTCTACAGGGGACAGTTCTCGGCGGAAGGACTGCAACCGGGCCATCGTCTGCTTAAAATGTCGATTTCAGGGGTTTGGGACCTCTTTTGACCAATCCCAATTCAGAGAAGCTCCTGGGGGCTGGAACTCAGCAGTGGGCAGAGCAAGGTCAAAAGGGACAGGGCCAAATGCCACCCTGCTTTAGCTTTAAGCCAGTAACGCAGCCTTGGGAAAGAAATTTCAATCTTTCTGAACGAGAGAAAAAGACGCCACCAAGAAACCACCAAGTAATTGGCCATTGGCAGGGAGGCCCAACGACTTGGGCACGGCCTACAGGGGACCCTTGGAAGGCCGGATCGGGACCCCGAGTCTGAGGTGCCACGCCCGATCGGTCTGATCAATTTGGTGCCTTGTCCAATTCCTATCTAAAGAGCAAGAACTCCCACAAGAGACCCACTGGGAGCAAAACATCCACTTCGGTGCTTTAGTTAGAGATAGACAGATTTAATCAGCTGAAGGCATACACTTCTGAGAAAATAATTCACCCAACACCCCAATTTTTAAGAGCCCAGCATGCCTCTACTCAAGGTGTGTTTTGCCCCTCACGGACTCCCATCCCCACCGCTTATATGGAGACACTGTTTTCTACCAGAGGCGGGAAAAGATACAGGTAGATGCGAGGAAGCGGTTCCTTCCTGTTGGCGAGGAGCTTGTTCCGCGCCTCAATTTCCTTCGAGATCTGCTGCAGTTGGCCCTGGAAGTCCGCAATGAGCCTTTTCGGCATCTCCTCCGTGAAATGCTCGTTCGGGTAATTCCCGAGGAGGATCTGTCGAAGCAGAGCAGAGGAACCGAGCATTGACCTGGCAAAAGGTTGGCTCAGTGGGGGCAGAGGGAACTCCTTTGCTGCTAGCATGGGCCAGCCTCTGCAGCCCTCTCGGCTCCCGGCCAGGACCCCTCCCGCCCCGTCCGAGCGCTCACCATGTCTCCCGGGTCAGCACTGAGCAGCCAGAGGGTGCTCAGGATGGTGGCGGTGGTGTTGATTGCCGGGAGGGTGTCCTTGTAGCTCTCCAGGGTCGCTGTGCCCTTGGTCGTCGGTGGGGGCTTCCTCATGGAGGAGGGAAGGTTGGGCATCCAGGCGCCGATGTCAAACTGCCATCAAAAATCCCGAAGGGGCGCAGATGAGGCAGCCAATGGCCCATTCAACACCCTCTTCTTCCATCTGAAAGTAACACACCCCACCTTCCCTCCCTCTCTCTCTCCCCCTCCATGAAGCAAGACAGCCTTCTTGCTATGGGTCATGTCTATTATTGGTGGTTCATTACAGCTCCATTTCCTGTGCTTACATTCCCTAAACTGAAGCAGCACTAAACGCCTTTGCTAGCGGCCTTTGGCCCTTCCCCGTCTTTCCTGACTATTGTATCTCAGGTATTGCCTGGCAACATTCAAAAACTGCCCAGGCCCTGCATCCCTGCCTTATGGCGGTTGCTAGGCAACAGCATCCACAGTGCGCTGTCTTTCCCTTAGTTGTCCTGCAACTGAGCAGGCCACAAAGACTCGGTGCGCTTCCCCTCTTCCCACCGCAGGGGCAGGTATGAGCACCTGGCCTGTAGCCCCATGGAGGTCATCTTGAAGGGGTCTCCTCTTGACACCTTGACTGGCCACTCGGAGACCACAGTCAGGGCCAAGGTCTGCTACAGGGCTCACCCAGGATCATTTTTAAGCACCTTAAAAATCAGCAGGAATCTGCGTGCAGGCTTCACATGACCCACTGGCTGCGAGTTGCACATTCATCCAAAGCTCACCATTTCAGGCTGCTTGGATCACTTCCTAAAATTTGTTAGGGGCTCCGGAAGATGGCAGGCTGGGGAGCATGGGCCGCCTGCATCTAAGCTATGGTGTTTCTGTGCATGTGCTGAATGGGATTGTTTAACCGTTTTCGCTCAAGACAAAATGTGATAATGACCCTTTTAAGTTTTGGGGGAAAGGTTAGCCTTTCACTCTTCCCACAAAGCAATCCTATTTGAAGAAACAGCTGACTGGGTCAGTAAATAAACTGTGACAAGAAAGCCACGTGGAAACATGGCATCAGGAGGGGGGGGGGCTTCCGTGATCACAAACTACAGCTCCCATGATGCTTGATGCACCAAAAGATTTTGAATTAAACAAAATCTGAGAAGAGACAAATTAACTTGTTATCTCAGCCCTTGGTTCAGAGAGAGGCTGCAGCCAAGAAATTCAAAGAAGATGGAGACTTGGAAGGGAAGCAATGAGGAAACCAGACAAGATCATAAAGTGTAGGGAGGGACCATTTCCGCCACGGGGTTGCCATAAATCAGAGGCAACTTGAGAGCACACAAGAGCAACTGGTCTGCTTGAAGCGACCTTTGAACCGAGGGGCCCCTTGCGCTTACCTGTCCGCTGTTGACAGCAGAGTGCTGAGCTGAGCAGGTATAAATCAGCATGGTCAGGAACTTTTTGAGCTCCTTCACAGCACTGAATGAAGAAGGGATGCCTGCAAGGGATGCAAAGGGTTAAATTTACACCATATATTAATCAGGAGCGCGTCTTCTATAGGATCCCAGGAAGGCTGCAATCCTCGGACACACACATTCATTTTATCACAGGTCTGCAACCGTTCAGTGTCCGTGGGACTCATCAAGTTTCCAGTATCTGCCCTTTGTAAAAGTATCTAGCCCTCAGTTAAAAGCATCAGCTCTAAACCATAAGGGAAATCACTGTGACTAGGAGCATCGATTCTTTCTCAGCCCAAGGACCAAACTCCAATCCCAGGATGGGCTGAAGGCAAAAGGGGCAGAGCCAAAAAGCCAAAATGCAAGCAAATTTTAGCTCGAAGCTCTTATTGGGCTTTAGAAGAGGCATTTCGATCTTTTCCAACTGCGGAAAAATGCAGCCGAGCTGGAAAACCAGCCAGTGGGGGGGGGGGGGGGGGGGAGACACAGCCTGGCAAATTCATTTCCCAGGGACATGGTTCTGCAGCCCTGTCCAAGGTTCTCCAGGCCTCCAAGGCTGGCTGGTGCTGTCCCCACCTCTTGCTGTTTCTTCTCTGTGGGGCCCAGTCGCCATCTCCCTGCCCTTACTTAGACCCAGTTCCCATTCCCTTGTGGTTTAGAACTAATTTGACAGCTTCAAGGTGCGCTGCAGAGCATGGCCTCGTCATTCCCTCTGCCGTCACTGGCGGATTCTTGGCTTCCTCCCCTTCTGTGCAATTCTGACTGTACCTGCATGCAAACCCTACCGGAAGATTTTTGTCCCAGGAACCCTCTGGAGAAGATTTCCTCTATCCAAAGCTGCAATTCAGAATCTGCCTGCACCGCAGAATCATTCTGGTAGTACAGATCGACAATGCCTGAGACGAAGCTGAAGGAAGAGGGAGGGGGAGAAGCAATGGCTATCCAGCAACTGGGATCTCAAGGACCTGAGCCCTGATCTTTTCAGAGCCTCCATTCAACAGACAGTTGCCGCCAACCCATCTGCAGGATGGGTGCCAGGTTGCGGGAGCCGCACAAAGTCCCCTGCAGCTCAGAACCGGAGGTGCAGGTTTAAGAAACGCCATTGCAGGAAGAAAACTTATTTGGGCCTCAAGAAATTCCCACAGAGCAGCTCAGCAGCCCCACACCAAACCGGGCCTTCTTAAATTCCCACCCACTCCTTCCCGGCCTGACCTCTCGACGGCTGCCCAGATCTTCAAACCATCCTCTCGGTAGTAAAAATTGGGCAATGAGGACACCCCACGAGCCTCGAGATCCTCCGGGAGGCAGAGGGAGGAATAGGTCATCATCGCCGTGCCCTTTTGCAGCAGCTTCACCAAGCCCTGGTAAGCCGTGCCGGTTGCCTGGAAACAGGGAGGAAAACGGGGAACCATCCATCCATCCCTCCAGGGGACCCTCATTCCGCCACCCCAGGGGAGCAGGGAACCTCCAGGTTGGCTCACCTTATCAAAGACACCGCCCTTCGATATGAGGAGGTCACGGGCCAGCGTGTTGATGTGAAAGGTGAAGCGCATGTGTGGAATCAGGAGCTGCCAAGCAGAAGATGAGAAGGAGGAAGCAGGATTTCCCAGTGTTATTTGTTTATTTGTTTGTTTAAAACATTTCTATGCCACCCCCATCGCGACAAAGCCTCGGGGCGGCTCACAAAGGATAAGTAGAATCCAATATGGTGCCCAGACATCTTTCTTTTGCCCCCCACCTGATTTTTTTAGATTTAGTTATTTCTTTAACTGGCTGGCTGGCAAGTTGCTGAGCAAAGGGCTGGCCTCTGGTGCCATCTTTGTTTCCCAGAAAGCCCCTGGGCCCCACAAAGCATATTGCCCTGAGCCTTTCCGGTCTGTGCAGAAAGCTACGGGTACAAAAGGACAGCTTTGGGTTTGGCAGCCCAAGCCTGCCTCTGCCTCCTATGTGTTCTTGCCTGCCTGACTTTTATTGTCAGACTCCCAACTTTGCCTTCTGGGAAATGGGTACCAAATCGCAACCGTTTTGTAAGAGGCCATGTCCTAAAAGACATTTTAGGAAAGACCAATCCTGTGGCAGCCATTTGTGAAAGCACCCATAATACTCCTAACATTCTCAGTGTTCCCACCAACTCAGAAGTGGGGAGTGGGGGGGTGCCCTACCAAACAGCCCAGTCCAAAGCATCTCCCAAGAAGGAAGGCCTGCCCCGTCTTCTCCCCCGAACCTGATTTGCATGCTCAAAACCTCACCACAGCAGGACACGGAAAGGAGTACTCAGAATGTGAGCAGAAACGGTAGCCCTTTTAGTCCCCTGGTCCCAAGCCTTGTAGGTTCTTAAAAGCTGAAAACAACACCTTGAAAAGTGGGTGGCACATGGGCAGCTGGCGGAGGATGGCCATGGCAAACACCTCGGCTAACAGGTGCGTCTTGAGCAGGTGAGTGAGAATCTGGTGAACATGGAAGTCGGAGTTGCGCACCCAAGTCTTGGCCAGAATCCAGTCCCATTCGGAGTCACTCGGTAGGAAGATGGGGGCCTCGGGGCCTGGGGTTTGGCTGAGCTGTGGGAGGGAGGGGGGAACGCCATTGAATGTGGCTGCGGGAGCCGGGCAGGCTAAAACCGGAGACACCCCAGCCCCACCTGGTCAGGCAAAGCAAGCTCCGTGCTTCCTCTGAGGGCGCGGCAGAGCTCAGGTTCCTTTCCGAAATGGCGGCGAGCAAGAAGGCAGACTGGTCTCACTTTCAGCAGCCACTTTGCTGCAGCCGAGGCACGGAGCTCACGGCACTGTCACTTGACCCAGAGAAGTCCCCTGCATCACGGCAGGCGGGCCTTCTGCAGAAGAAGGCGCCGCTCGGGCTAGGGATGTGGAGGAATCCATCCTGGGGCTGGGAATCCAGCGGATCCCCTGGGCTCAGCTCCTGGGCTTCGGCCCGCTTTGCCACAGCCCTGCGTCTCCGTTCCCAGCAAGCGTTTGTGGGGCGCTTGCTAGCAATCGAGCCCCAGGTGCCTAAGCCCTTTCCGTGCCGTGTGCAGCAGGCCGTGCGGCCGCCCGAGATGAGGAAGAAAGCGGCCAGTTGTGCCAACTCAGTTCTGCAACCCCTGGCAAGCTGCCCCTCAGCTTGGCCACTTTCCAGAGCCGGGCAGGAGGGGAAGTCTGCCGATGCCGCAGCCTCGAACACTTTTCAGTCATCTAGGCCTGGTGGAAACGTGAGCCGTGTCCATGTGCCGAGGAGGCGATTCACACCCGGCCTTGAGAGGAGCTGGGATGCAGAAAGCCACCCAGGTGCACCTGCTGCCTTGGCCCCAGAGCAAGCCTGGCCCTGCGCTGAATCAACCTCGAGGCAAACGGACAAGGGCATGGGTGGTGAACTGGGGCGTTCGCCTCCTGCTTGCAGGCGTTACCGGCCCTGCTTCCATGGTGGAGTGCCCCTTCTCCCATGCCCTCCCTCCTCTTCCTCCTCCCTAAGACGCCCGTTACCTGGATGGCCAGGGGCATGAGATACCCTGCTGCCGAGAGGTGCAGCAGGCAGAGCGGGGCAGCGATGTACTGCTGGCGGCCGTTATTCAGCCCCGCTGGGACCCCCTCCAGGATGCGATAGTCCACCAGGAAAATGTTCCCCTTCTGTGGAGACAAAGAGCGTAACATTCCCTCTGAAGGCGGGCACCGAAGCCGGGAGGAAATGGGCCAGGGCAGCCCCTTCCTCCTCCACACTAGGGGCTGCCCCAAAAGCCCCCTTCGGCACACATCGTCCTCCGCCCGCTCACCTCCAGTTCTCCCTGCAGTGTGGTGGAATCCCCAAGGGACGCGGCCACCATCTCCTGGGTCACGGGGAAATTGGGCGGGATCTCTGTGCATTTCCGGATCATGGTCGGGTTCAGTCCGTTCAGGAACAGGTACCCAAAGAGGACGTCTTCCTTCCAGTGTTCCATGATGCTCACTGGGAGAGGAAGGGCAAAGAGCGATTCGATGGAGCAGGATCGATGTCGAGGAGGAAGGCAGTCCCAGCCCCTTGGGACTCCGATCTACGGTGCCACCTCCAGGATTGCAGAGGGATCGTGTAGGTTACAAGCAAGAGTTCCTCTATGTTACTAAAACAAGGGGAAGCTGCAGGTTTCTGGAACATTCCCCACTACAATTTTTTAGATTATTCAGAGGGAATTTCAAAACTTCCAGTGAAGTTTTAGCACGGCTGCTAATCTTACCCGAAACATCTGTCTTGGTGAACCAGAAAACCTTCTTGATGTCATCCAGGTTTTCCCAGGATTCTTGGCTATTGGAGTAACCTCTCAGCCTATGTTCCACCTGCCTGAAGGCAATGGAAAGGGACAGGACAGGGGGCAGGTGACAACGTCTCCGTATGAGCGCTGTCGCTTGCAGATGCAGCGCCAGGATGTCCGAGACAAGCACAGAACACCCCCCCCACCCCCAAATTCACTTGGCCAAGCTGACACTTGTGCAACCCAAACGGCGAACAACAACAGGGTGCGGTAGCTTAAATTTCCTCACGGCTTTGTCAGTTCAGTGCGGGAAAGGCTTACTTCAGGCAGTCCTTTCAACAGGAAGGGAACTCCCTCTTCCCCTTGTGTCAGGTACCCATTTTCCCCGAAAATAAGACCTAACAGGAAAATAAGCACTAGCACCATTTTTCAGGATGTTCATAATATAAGCCCCACCCCCCAAATAAGCCCCAGTTAAGATCTTTAGCCAGAGGGATGCATTTAGTACATCTGTTACAACACAGTTCAGGGTTTGGAGAGTTATAATGACGTTCCAGAAAAAGATGACATGACTGTATTTGAATAAATGTAGGTTTTTGTACATGAATAAATGTGGATTGTTGTACATGGAAAAAACAAGACATCACCTGAAAATAAGCCCTAGGGCATCTTTTGGAGCAAAAATTAATATAAGACTCGGTCTTATTTTGGGGGAAATACAGTAAGAGCGGCTTGGGCTTTTTCCGCTCCCCCCCTCCCCGCACACACCCCAATTCCTTTTTCCTTGTTGGTCCCATCTGTAAGGCTGCATGCAGGGACCGTCTTGTTCAATTACTTGCTTGAGGAACTTTTCAGGCTGAGGAGTAGGGGAGCAATACAGCAGTAAAAACATCCAGAGACACCTAAATGGGCGAGTTAGTCCTGAACCTGGGCCTTGCTAGCTGTGAGAGAAGAAGAGCTCCATTCACACCAATGGAGAGACAAAGCGAGTCAGTGGAGGCTGGGGCCTCGTTCGCCCGCAGCTCCTGCTTCTCGCGTCAGCCTCCGCTGCACCTGGAATTCTGCTCGGCGGCTTTGCAGACCCTTGGCAGATTTCTGCGAGACGGTTTGCCCTCTGCTCCAGCCACGCCAGCCACTCCCTGGCTTCCCTGCCCCTAAAGGCAACCCAAAGCCACCCTCCACGCAACTCACTTGACTGCCGCACGTTTGATAAACAGGGCTGCTTTTGCAAAAGAAAACTTGACGTCCTTTTCCAGTTCGAGGCTGGAGCCAACGTCAAGGCAGTAGGGGACGCCCGTCTCAAAGACCTTCCAGCTGTGTGGAGGAAAAGAACTTGAGAAGCCAGAATGAAACCCTCAGAGGAGATGCTTCAGAGAACAATTTTGAAGGCTTTCTCTCCTCTTCCCTTTCTTGCCCACTTGCAACGAAAGTTTTGACTGTGCAACAGCTATCACTTTTCCTGCACAAGGCCTCAGGGTTGGGCATCCTTAGGTGCTGGTCATGGGAAGCCATTTCTCTTCTCGTCCTTTCCAGACAGCCCTCCCACAAAAGATTTGGCAAAAGGATTCCTCGATTTTTTTCTCTCTGCTTTGAAGGTCGAGAAACCGTTTCCAGTCACCTGGGGAGGCCGTAGTCCTGCTGAATTATGAGGTTCCACTCAGGCAGTGCCAAACCCTTCGGCTGGCATTAAGCACTCTGCCTTCCACCTCTGTGATCGGTCTCCGCAGCTGCCCCTCCGCTGCTTTCTCATCCCAGTGGGAAAACTCGCCAGGGCAGCTCAGAAGCGAGGCTCATTCAGTTCAATGGAACGCCAGAGAATGCATCCGATTGCCACCTGGGGTCTCACCCGAGGCGTGAGCGGCCACAGCTGCCCATGTTCCCCAGCAAGTGGGGTGCATAGGAATCCTGCCTCCAATCCCAGATTTTGGCATGGGTGTGGGGGGGGGGTCTTCCAAAGCCCCACACACTGCCTGCCCTGTTCCATAAAGACCCATCAAACAGATTCAGACGCTTTCTGTCCCCCAGTGAACGTCCGCAAACCAAATACAACGCCAACCCGGGAAGCGATCTTCCTTTGTGTCTTGACATGGCCCCACATGCATCAGAACCCCCTGGGCAGGCCTGGTGGGCCCCCGAAAGCAGGGCTGGGCAGACATAGCTTTATGCACATGGAGGGGCCATGGGGAGCACACCGGCCAGGAGCTGTTTTGCAGGGTTGCGCCATTAAATCTGATTTTCCTTGTCCTGAAACCCTGGCAGAGTGGTGGATGTTCCTGGAAAACGATTGCATTTTACTGACAGGGAGAGGCAGGTTTCAGAATCACTTTTTTGGTCTCATACACACACCCTCAACAGATAGACAGTTTCTCGGAAGTTACACTTACTCGAAGGAAGCCTGCCTCTTCAAAATTTCCTCCTTCCGATGGTTTTGGAGCAAGGGAATTATATCCATGGCTGGTGTTTTTGCTGGTGGGGCAGACACAAAGACTCATGTTTATACTCGAGCCGTGAACAAGTAACTCTAGGCATTCCCCATCCCAGGGACCCCGATCCTTTTGAGACAGGTGGGCTTATCTGGGTATATGAAAAACTGTTCTGGGCAGCAACACAAGATGCCTAATCCACGGATCGCTGCTTCGGTGTTTCCCCATCACAGCTCTGGATTTCCTGTTGCATCTTATTTAGCAGAAACTTTGGTTTTGAGACAGGTGGGCGCCATTGGATAAGAGTTTGTTTACGTTGGCTAATTGCTGCTGGTGGTGCAATGCAGTTAATGTTTCTTTCATGCACAGGCTTTGGCAATGCTCCATAGCAGCTTCTTTTGGGAAGGAGTTTCTTGCACAGATAAATCTTCTCCTGGAATGGTCGTGAACATGTAGCTCTGTGCATCCCCTTTAAAATCATTTCCCTGCTTCTTAGAAAAACTTGGAAGCAAACCTGGGTTCTCTGTACCCTTTTAATATCAGAAAGACTGATATTTGTGGGCAGAAAAATGGGGGGGGCAATTTCATCCAATTTCTCCAGTGGGGGAGAAAGTCCCCAACAATTTCTCAAGGCAGAGCTCATCTTTCGCAAGGACTGTGGCAGTTTCGGCCTGTCTTTTTTTCACGGTGGGGGGCATCGTACTGAGTCTGCCAAGGACCAATTTCGCCTTTTCCACAACACCACAAAGCAGGCATTGTTGCAGGGCATAGGTGAGCAGAAGAGGGGAAATGAAGCCCACCAAAAACGAGGAGGAAAATGTGGTGAAGTTCTGCAAAGTGGTCTTTTTTCCAGAGAGGTTCAAACGAACAATCTCAGGGCATCTCCAAGAAAAACATCTCTCTAGACATCTTGACTGTTCTGGTTGGCACTCCTTCAGGGGTTATCACCTTCCCCAGAGAACTTCCAAAGGAATAAATTTTCTGAGAGGTGATTGTGAGCCGGGGATGATGGACCTTTGCATGCACAGAGATGACTGAGCAATGTACAATGCACAGTGCCAAAGGCAATTCAAGTGCAGCTTCCATAGTGATTAAAGGGCTGCACTATGAGCCAAAGCGACTCCAGTCTTCCTGGACTCACCAGGTGGCCTTAGCTGAGGACATGGAACTGTCCTACCTTACAGGGTTCTTGTTCAGATTGCCATTATGTCAGTAGCTGCTACAGGAATCTGCTACGTATTTGCTCGTTATCTCACGGAAGGGGAAATGTCAGACCACCTAGAATAAGCAGTCCAAAAGCCAGGGGTCATTGGCCTTGAAGAGCTTTCTAAAAGTTCACACCTAGCGGTTGCTGACAGGATGGTTCAGTGGTTACAGCCTGAGGCTTAGATCTGAGATCAGAGAAATACCAGGAGGTGATGCATCAAAGCATTTCTTCTGAAGAAACTTACACCCAACACTTACACCCAACTTAGGTAAGGGCAACAGGAATTTACTGTATCTTTTTCAAGAAGTAGACTTAAATGAAAAAATTCACAAGGCCATTTGTCTGATGCAGCCATGGCTGGGGAATGCCACACACATTTCTCTGCACGGCAAATTGTAACTGTTACCCAGCAGATTAAACATGGTCTCCAAAAAATAAACACTGTAAAGATTACTAGTGTTTCTTGATTTTTGGAAAGTCAGCAGGAACCTGAGAAATGAGACCTTAGCCACATTTCTGTCTCTCTTTCAGCAGCCAACTTACCTGTCCCTTCCCTGAGTTCCAGAACCTGGCGGCCTTCCAGCCACTGGTAGCAGGGGAAATGGTAGGTTCGCCCATCCGGGCCCATCACTTTGATAAAATCACAGTACCAGCTATTGGAAAAGATTTCAATTAAATATTCTTTGTGGAGACGGAGCAGAATAATTTCTCCCAGGTCATGTTCACTGGTGACCCTGTATTCATTCACCTGCAAGAGAAAAGTTGGAGGATCCAAAAGCATCCTCAGGACATCGAGGGACCGATTAAGAGCTACCGTTAAAGCTGAGATGTTTCCAAAAGAAGATCTCCAGCCGAACAGCCAGCCAGGCAGACACATCTTGGAAATTTCGGTTGTGATTAGCCAAGGGGGATGCATGCCATATCATGGGTGTTTGCATGAACTTGCTTTTTTTCAGATTCCTCCACAACCAAATCCCAACACCAATGCCTCTTTCAAAACAAACCTCAGAGGAAGTTAAGAAAAAACTTTTTGCAACCCAAATTTCCAGACACTGGACAGGAATTAAAATTTCAGCAACTGTCTCTCTCTCACACATGCACACATGCATGCAGGTACCCTCAGGCAAAAAGAGGCAGAGGCAAGCTCAGAAAACACTCTGCTCTGACCAAAGCCCTCGGTGAACCCCCATCTGAGTTGGGGGCAGGAAAACTACGTTGGAATGCAAAAGCAGAAGGGGAGAAAGAGCCGTCTACGACCCCCTGCCATCCTGGCTCCAGAAACCAAGCTTTGCATTTCCCCAGTCCGACTTGGTTGGATAAAGCCAGGGCAGTGATTCCAGCCACAGCCAGAAAAAGGGCTTGTGGCTGCAGGTGACTCCCCTCCATTAGAAGAAGGGGGGCCAGGACCCTTGGGGGGCACCCCTGTGTTTCCCCAAGAGCAGCATCCAGAGATGGGAGAATCCATCCTGTGGAACGCAGAAGGAGCGCACAGTTCTGGACTGACAAAAGTCCGAACACTTGGAAAGGGGAGTCGTCCATGAAACAGCACGGTGACTTGTTTAGCCGGCTGTGCTGAGTTACAGCCGACTATAAATCAGTTCAGGCAGAGCTGCTCTGTGTTGCAAAGACCCAAACAGCTTTATCCACGTTCCTGGACTGTGTTCGGGCTGGCCATCATCTAGATTCCTGACCTAGATTCAGATCCCTGCAGCTGACGGAGCTTTGGACTTGCAATCACCAAAGGGTCTTGACCCCTGCATTGAGACTGGCCATTCTTGAAAAGATGAAGATAAAGATTCCATTCTGCCTTCTGCATTAAACTAAACTCCCAACCCTTAAAAAAAATCAGCTTAGTTTTGATAACAAAGTTGGGAGAGCCTCAAGTTGGGGAAAACATCCACTTTGATGTATATTGCAATACTGAGAAGAGTTGTTTAAAACTCTTTGCACAGAATACAGAAGTAATGTCACTTGGAACTCAGCCACAACTGATTGGTCTTAGAAAGAGGAAAAAAGATACAGCCAAGGGATACAGATCGGCATACCAAAAAGACGAGCACCTGTTTTGACAAAAAAAGGCAAGCAAGCAGAGTGAGAATAATGCCAGTTTCAGATTCGGCTACAACTGGCTATTATTCTGTTTCTTTGCATGGGACTGCATGGCTGTTGTAAAGGACCGGATCTTTATCTTCTGCAGAAGTAAACAGAAATGCTTTTCAGGATGTGCTTGGAGAAGTTTCCCACTCCCCTTCAGGTATCACCCATGCAGCTTTCCTTGGGGTGCAGGACAGACGGAAGGTAAGACAAGGCTTCTGTAAGTAGGCTCTGACCGGGTCACCCTGCAGCCAACACCCACCCGCCCCTCACTCTTCAGGACTCACCGCTCCGGGGTAGAAATCTATGCCCCAGCTGTTCAGTCTCGTCTTGGGGCTCTTGTCCTCGGTGCCCACCAAGGTGACAAAAATCGAGTCGAGGGTGCCTGAGCGCAGGAAGTTGCCGGTTTTCACCAGGAGCTTGTAGAGAGCCATTCTGGGGCCCAGCAACTGTCGGGGGAGCTTGGTTTGGACAATCCCTGAAGGATTTGGCAGTCACGGGGCTGCAGAGAGGCGGAAAGGCTGCCTGACTCGTCCACCGCAGCTGGCGCTCCAGTCGTGGCTCTTATAAGCCGCACCGGCTTCCACCAGAGGAGACCCAGCCCCTCCCCCGGGACAGCTCCACCCCTGGGTGTGAAAGCCGGGGGCCTCCCGGGCAGGGCCAGGGCAGGGCATGGGCTTCCTGAGGTGAAGGACAAGGGGGCAGAAGGCAACCGGACTGGCTGCCGAGTTGGGGCGCAGAGTTGGCTGCCCCAGGGGTGCCAGGTGGCCAGCACACTCTGCCCCCCAGGACAGGCACCCTATTTCCTGCCTGTGGTGGGGGCTTCCCTTCACCCTGCGGGGGGCCGGCTCTGTCCCTGGACCCAGCACACCTGACGGGACGACAGATGCTTGTGGAAGGGACTTTGCAGCCGCCTCGTGCCCGGGGTTGCTCTATTTTCATTATGTCTGTGTGCAGGAGGAACACAGCGGAGGTGAAACTTTCCAGGCTGATGTTGCCAAAAGACAGGAACAGTTTTCAACTCCCTGGGGAGTTTTGGCGACTGGCAGGACAGCAGTGCAAGAGCATAATAAAATAAAGTAAAATAACTTTTGCTGTAGTTCTTACAGAGCGCAGGACAAGTAAAAACGAGGCACTGAATGCTGGGGGAATCCCAGAATAGTAGGTCGGAAGGGGCCAAGAAACTCTGGGGTGAGAGGGACCAAGTCTTTTCCTGCTCTTTTGTGACAGCCTTTGGGGTACCTGCCAAGTGCTCTCATGTCACCTTGGAGGCATCTTTCCTCAAGGCTGGACAGGACCAGTTCTTTCAGCCTCTCCTCAGAAGACCTAGTTCCAGCCCTGGGTCATCTTTAGGGCCCTCCTTTAAACTCTCTCCAGATCTTCAGCATCCCTCTGACACCTGGGTGCCCAAAACTGCTCTGCTGTGCTCCAGGTGAGGTCTGACTACTGCAGAGTAGAGGGGAATGAGTACTTCTCTTTTTCTGGAAGTGATACCTCAATCGACACACCCTAAAATACTGCCTGCCTTTTCTGCAGCTGCATCACATTGCTGGCTCATATTTAGCTTGCTGTCCACAACAGCTCCATGGTCTTTTTCTTTTTTCAGCACTGTTGAACCAAGTGTTCCCCATCTTGTATCAATCCAGATGACTCTTTTTGTTTTGGTTTGGTTTGGGGGTTTTCGGCCTGGGTAGAGAACATGGCATTTGTCCTTGCTGAATTTCATTTCTCGCTTTCCGCCCAGTGTTCAAACTTGTCTAAATCACTCTGGATCTTCTTTCGTCTTCTAGGGTATTAGTCATTACCCCCAGTTTTGAATCATCCACAAATTTAATTTTCATTCCTCGGACTTCCTCAGCAAGATCTTTTATAAAGATGTTGAAGAGAACTGGTCCCATGAGTCCTCTGGTCACCTCTCTCCAGATTATTATTATTATTATTATTATTATTATTATTATTATTATTAGAACATTTCTATGCCGCCCCTTGCCGAAGCCTCGGGGCGGCTTACAACACTGAGGATCCCTCTCCGTGACCTATTTTGGAGCCAGCCTAACAGTCATTCTGCCAAGCCCACATTTTGTTAATTTATTTATTAGGATGTCATGGGGCACTTTGTCAAAAGCTTTGCTGAAGTCTAGATAAATTATGTCCACTGCATTTCCTCTGTCCGTCTGGGTGGTAACCTAGTGAAAAAATGAGATGAGGTTGGCTTGGCGTGGCTTGTGAAATCCATGTTGGCTTCTGTTTATCATTTTCTTACAGACTGATTTTTTTAATGATTTGCTCCCAGGGATTGAAGTTAGACTGACTGGTCTATAGTTCCCCCGTTTGTCTTCCATCTCGTTCTTGCACATGGGGACCACATGAGCTCTCCTCCAGTTGTCCCCCGCTACCTCTGTTCCCCAAGATTTCTCGAATGTTATATATAGTGGCTCAGAGTTCTTTCACCAGTTCCCTTAATATTCTAGGATAGAGCCATCAGAGCCTGGAGATTTGGATACATCTAGCTCTCCAAGGTGCTCCTTGACCATTTGTCCGTTGATCTTGGGCCGCCATTTTGCATTTCCTTCTCTGTAGGCAGGTCACATCTTCTTTCCTGAGAGAAGGGTGAGCCAGCCTAGGAGCTGAGCACCTCTGCCTTTTCCTAGTCATCTGTTATCCCTTTGCTGTCCATCTCGAGCTGTTGAACTCCCCTTTCTTGTGTTTGTCTTTTTATTTTGTATGCAGCTAACTTATTGTTTCTGGCAGGTCTTGCTAGTCTCAGCTCATACCTTGCTTTAACCTTAAAGAGAAGAGCAAAAAAAGGAAAGGGCATCTGGCGCAAGGGAAGACCAGCAAAAGGAGCTTTCAGGCCAAGAAATGCGGTTTGCCTAGCAAGGCCCTTAGGGCTATTACAACAGACCGTACCTTTGAGGTTATGTTTAATTCTGATTTCAGTGATCCATGGACAAAACCATAAATTGCATCAACTATTTTTCATTCCTGAGTCATCAGACCAAAGAGTAAATGCCAACCTGCATCTTCTCATCTGTCATTAGGAAATATGTACATTTTTAACCACGGAGTTCCTTCCTGCAATGCGCCTGCCAAAGAGGAAGATATTCGGTCAGTGAGGTTTTCCAAGCATGGAAATTCAGCAGCAGCTCAAACAATACGCTGCAAGTCATGAAGCTCATAAAGACACAGGAATGAAGGCAAAGAGAAAAGTTGGCCACCCTATGCATGCCACACGGTAACAGGGAACAAACCGAGTTGCCAGCTTTTTGTGTGGCTGAGCTCATGTGTCTTCAATAGCTCCATGGCAGGTGTAAAGTGTAGCCTAGTGGTTAGAGGGTTGCATGGAGACTTGGAAGATTTGGGTTCTAGTCCCACTTGACCATGGAGCTCACTGGCTGACTTGGGCCATACATATACTCTCGGGCTGACCTATTGTGAAGATAAACTCTAGGCTATTGTTTCCTTTTTGCTTGCTATTCCTGTTGACCAAGCAGACTTCCAGCTTGTAGGGTCTACTTTGGTTTTGTTGTTTTTAATTCAAAGCCCAAGTTCCACCAACTAGGTCTTTCCGCAAGACATACTCTGAGCATGGGAGACATGCGGGCACAGACACATGTTTTCAGCACAACACCAAATCAGAATGGAACTCTGCCTTTCTGCAAAAAATTTCTGACTCCCAATTATTTCCCAACTGCAGCTCCAGTGTCCCATTTTCTGCCCTGCTGTAAATTATATTGCAGAAGCAAAGACAGTCTGGTTGTCTCTGTTCCTCTTGTTTCCCCAGTATGATTTATAGCAAAATGAGAAAGGTCGTTTTCTTGCTGCTCTTGCGAAATAAATCAGGATCTTTGCTGAACTGAACCCTGGAAACCCTTTCCAGTAATCTGCCTCCAGCGATTTATATGGAAACGGAGACATGCCTCCTCTCCGATCCCTGGGCTAGATAAACCACGATGCTCATTATGAGGATTTGGGGGGACTGCAAAGGAGACAGGTTGATTGATTGACCTGTGGATGAGATCCACAAGGCCATTTTTGCTGTTCAACTTCAAATAAGGAAGAGAGAATGAAGGCTTACTCAGAGGAAGGTTGGTCACGTGGCAAGACAATTTTATATTGTCTTTATTACAATTTTATATTGTTAATTTGTTTTATGTATTATATTTTATGTTGTGAGCCGCCCCGAGGCTTTGGCGAATGGGGCGGCATAGAAATGTTTTAATAAATAAATAAGACTGAGCAGGGTGAGAGGCAAAAACAGCAGGCCAAGGGCCAGCAAAGGTGGGGAAGAAGCAAAGGGAAAGGCAAACTGGGAAGAGGTGACTGTCAAATCGTGGGCGAAGACGGCCTCACCCAGGGCAGCTGAGGGCAGAGGCCTTCTGTTACCCAGGAACGTTCTTGCAATCAACGCAACGTCACAGCTTGGCAGCATTCCCAGGGGTATTTTGACCAGAAAATAAGTGAGCCGCACTGTGTCAGAAGCCTTTTTTGTGGATTTTTGTAGAATCTGAATGGCCTTGGATCAGGCAGCTCCTGCCATCTTCATAGAAAGCAGATGTTCCTTCCTAAACTTGTCAGGTGACATAGCTAGACTGCAGTCTCATAGCCTGCATCAGAACTTTATTTATTATTATTTATTAAAACATTTTAATTTCTTTCTGCAGGATCCAGGTGGCTTACTTGCTTGTCTACCCAGCAGCCCTGTCTTCCGCTTCTGTGCACAACTTTAGGATTCGTTCTTACACCAAGAAAGGTGACTAGCATCTCCGGTCTGTACCATTTGTTCTGACCGCTGGCTTCTCTCTAGAGCCTCTGACCAGAATATTTCTGAGCCTTGCTCCCCAAGCAAGAGAAACTGGCAGTTTTTGTGTTGCCGGTTTTTGGCAGAAACTGGCAGTTTTTGTGTTGCCAGTTTTTGGCAGCTGCAGCCCTCCAAGGGCCAAATTTGATGTGACCTTTGATGTGCATCAGTACTTACAAGTGTTTCTCCTGCTTCAGTGGATTCACAGGTTTGACTGCCAAGATGTGTGCTCTTGCAGTCATTCCGACCATTTGGTTCAACAACATTCCTCCAGCATCTCCTTTCCTCCACCACCCCCTGGAGCCCACCCAACCCCACACCCACCTCCCCAGTGACCCCACCCAGCCACCTCACCCTCTGCCCTCCCCTTCTCCTTTTGCCTTCAATCATTCCCAGCATCAGCGTCTTCTCCAGGGAGTCCTTCCTTCTCATTAGGTGGCCAAAGTATTTGAGTTTCACCTTCAGGATCTGGCCTTCTAAAGAGCAGCCAGGGTTGATCTCCTCTAGGATTGACTGGTCTGATCACCTTGCGGTCCAAGGGACTCACAGGTGTCTCCACCAGCAGCACAATTCAAAGGCCTCAATTCTTCAGTGCTCAGCTTTCCTTATGGACCAGCTCTCACAGCCGTACATTGCAACTGGGAAAACCTCATCCTGAAGGGTGCTCAAATTATTGCGAGGTGCAGGGAAGGAGACCAAGCCCAACTTGTGGGTTACCTCCAGTTTTAGCCAAATCACAGCATTCATTTAGCCATCCAAAAACAGTTGCTGAGGGCACCTGCCTCAAAATGGGGACACGGTTGTGAGCAGAGCACATCCTTCTCTCCCCCCGCCCCCCGCCCCACCTTTCAGCAGGCTCAAAATGGAACCGTAGAAGTGCCATTCTTTATGTGAAACGCACCTGGTTGCAGGGCTGTCTAAAGCAGAGTGGCTTTCTCTGAGAGAGGCAGGAGATGCATCTGCCCATGTAAATGCCAAGACCTTTTTATTTAAACGTCATTTTAATTGTTGATTTTATTTATTGATTTTAACCATTTTGGCCAGGATGTCTCCGACTTTATATAATTGTATTAATGATATGTATTTATTTATGTTTGTAAGCTGCCCCAAGGCTCCGGTGAATGGGGCGGCATATAAGTGTGCTAAATAAATAAATAGTGGGACCCAGATGGAAACTTCCCCTCCTTCCTCTTTTCCTGAAATATTTGGGCTCCGGCTGCTGGTGGGCTGGACAGTGGGAATGCCGGGCCCTTTGTGCTTGGTCTGGTCACTTCACCTGTCCTCACCTGACAAGGCTGAGGAGATCCCACTGGGTCCCTCCCTTTCCAAGGCAGGCTGCTTCTCACACTCCACCTAGAAACTTCACTAGGTAACCTTGAAAATCCCAAGTCCTCCCCGCACCCCTTGGCCTCCCCTTCAGAACCGGATGGATCTGTCCAAGCAGACTGTAACATGCGGGAGACAGGCTCACTCTGCAGACACATCTCCTCTGCACCCTGGAAATGCTGACCCTCTCCTTGTGCCCCGATGGTGGGTGCACGTGGCGCTCCAAGGGGAAAGTTGCGCTTGAGGGGGTTCCTTGTCACCCCACAGCCCTAGCCCTAACCCTAACCCAAAGCCCACAGCTCCACCAGCACCTGTGCCCCAAGCACAAAGAGAAACCGGCTCACAAAAAAGGACGCGTGACCCACACCTGTCAGAGCCTTTAGACTGGTCCTTTAATTGTTGTTGTCGATGGACAACAAGTTGTTGTCAATGGACCAGCAGTTGAGTGCCAAGCAGAATTCCCAAGTGATGCAAAGCAGAATACCTGTCCATCGATGTCACAATAACACGCATCCATATGTACATACAAACACAGGTTTACTCCTCACCTAGCCATTCCCACGCAGCCTCCCCACCTGCCACTCCCCAAGGTCTGCCAAAACAGCATTGCAAAATATATTTATATATAATGATAGATGATAAATAGATAAATAAATAAATAAAATCACTTGACACTGTTAATAATAAAGAAAAAGTACAATTTGTACACAGTCTATGAAAATGATAGACAAGTTCCAAGGGCAAGCAGTCTATGCCCAATGGGAGATAAAGTGGGTGGTCACCACTGCCTGCCCCTTTAAGGAAAATACTTTTTGTCTGGTGACAAAGAGAGCAACCGTCCCTTTAAAAAAATATACATGTGTCTTAATTAAATGCATCATTTCCTCTCGCCACTTTAGAAAAGCCACGTGCTAGGTCTTTAAGTTATTTCGTTATTTTAACTTCAGCAAAATGTTGGACGAGTGTTTTATTCCACACATTTAGCACATTTTTCAAATTCAGACGAAAGATAGATCAGTCCCCATCTTCCCTCTGAAATCATTTGAATCCGAGGACCCAAATTAGCCAAATGTATTAAACATTGTTGGGAAGTTACCAGACTAACAAAATTGCTCATTATACGAGCCCATCCCTTTTAAAAGGTTCGTTCCAACCACATTTACCCCAACTGTGGATCACCAATCCTCTTTTAAGAAAATACATTTTGTTGTCCGTAGAAATACACTAGTCCAGCGCCCCTGATCCTGGTGACCTTCCGCCATCCCCAAAGCTCCCCGAGATGCAACCCCGAATGTGCTTGCACCGGGATTGCAACCGGGGTCGTGGGAAGGGCCACCGCCTTGCCTGGGAGACTCCCTGCCCCACTCCAGAATGCCCCAGTCATGCCCCAGTTCTGCCAGGCATTGCGCACGGCTGGCGTCCTGGAAGAGCACCCGCGTTCTGCCACCACACACAGGTGTTTCCATGAAGCGACACAGCAGAATTTGCAGAGGGGGCTGGAAAGATCGTGACAGTACCTAAACCCGGGGCCGTTGGTGCACTGGGCCATTCATCCCTGTGGAACCACCCAGCACACCCTTCTGGACCCCTGAGCTCCCTCGCCGTGTGGAAGGATTCCTCTTCTCCGAAAAGGGGAGGGGCTGCTGATGTGCCCTGCACTGAGGAAAGTCCATAGCCCCAAATAGGGTTGCCCCATAGGCAAATCCCTACAGGCAAATCCCAAGTCTGCAGATGCAAAGAAACCCATGTGGCACAGAACCTAAGAACATGTGCCTGCTCGCTGACGGCGGGGTGCACTTCCATGTTGCCGGCCCGGCGCTGTCCCACACGGAGGTTCCCGCCTCGCAGCACTGTCCGTTCACCACAAACGCCGCCACGGCAGGCCTTCTCCGAGATCTTAGCAACACTACGGTCTGAGCATCGATCCTTGGAAAGACCGAGCGAAGCCTCGGATGAGGAAGGAGCCTCAACGGCCATGCTCAGGTTGGCCGACGTCCCATCATGCACGTGGCCCTTTCGAGAAGAGGCCGGCACCTTCGACAGAGTGGATTCCGGGATGGCCAACGTCCCAGCATGCACTGGGCCATGTTTTCTTTTTGGTGGGAGATTGAATAGCCTATCTTAGGTTCTGAAGTTCCACGGTGCACCTGAACCAGCAAGAGTAGCCAAGGAAAATACGTAGCGGGGGCTGCGGAAAGAGGAGCCCATTTTGATGCGTACGAGATGGCTGAGGTCCGAGGACGCGGTGGCTGCTCGGGCACCGGCTGCCGGTTCCTCCTCCTTCCGTGGGTCACGCCTGCCTCCTGTGCATGCGAAAGGCCTCATCAGAGTGAATCACAAAGTGCCGGCCAGGCCAGTGCAGGCCACGGGGCTCAGCTGCCGGTTGAACTGCACAAACAAGAGGGTGGGGGGACGGGTGGGCGGGGGTGACGCACGTCCCCCGCCTGGTGACTCTCCTCAGCCTGGTCTTCGGGAACAGGGGCGTTCTCTCCTTCCAGGGTTTCTAACCCCTCAGGCCTCTCGGCCCTGCTGAGGAGTGCCTTGGGATGCCCATCATCCTCACCGAACCTGTGCAGTGGCCAACGGTCCTGCTGGCTGGGGATGATGGGAACTGTAGCCCACCACATCTGGAGGGTGCTAGGCGGGGAGGGATGCCCGAGGCCGCGTCCCTGCGACCTGAAGGACCGAGTGGTCCTTCGGAAGTCAGATTGCATTGCATTTCTCATGCTACATAATCATGCGGAAAGCCAGGCCTTTGGGGAGGGGCTCTGAGCGCTGACCAAGGCAGGGGAAAAGGAAAGGGTAGATTGGAAGCACATGCAAAACCTACCATGTTTTGAAGGCCTGTGGGGTCGGGGAAGGGGAAGGCCACACCTGTCCGCACCTCTTGCCAGGAGGGATAAGAGGTGCAGCCAACCGAGCTGGAGAACAGCAAGAGCTGCCTCACCTCTCCAGAGCCCAAACCCAGCTAGGTCTGTTTCATTAAAGTGGACCGGCTGGCCCAAAGGTGTTTCAGGCCGGACCTCATCCAGCGCCGGGACCTTCCACATGGACAGTGTTGCCACTTCCCCACAGCTCATCCGTCCCCCATCTCACCTCCGCCTGGTGTTGCACGGCAGCCCCTTGGCTACGTCATGTCCGGGCGAGCTTTCCGAAGCTTCTTCTTCCGTTCTTCAGGAATCTCATCCATGCTTATGCCGTGGTTGCTTGTGCTGGAAGCACAGCGAGGACACGGGAAAAGCGTGAGGACAGGCATTCCCTGCTCCCGCTGCACCCGCCATCCTCCGCCGCTCCCCATTCCGGATGGATGCTCCAGTCCCGGCCATCTTACCCGGGCTGCAGGTCAGGCGGGGTGGGGATGGGCTTGTTAAACCCCGTGCGACCAATGAGCCAGAACGTGTCTTCAACGCCTTTCCCCTACGGAGGAAAGAGAGAAGCTCCGATGGGGGGGGGGGAAGACAACATTTCGCATCCTCAGGGGACCGCTCGATTGCTCTGTGGAGGTCCTTTCCTCTTCCTTGGGTGCACAGAACCCCTGGATGTTCCGTCACGCGAGGAAATGGCCATCACAGGCACGAAGGTGGGCTTTGCACCCGCAAGCCCAGCTAGGTTTGGGATCACCCCCTGGAGGAAGCTTTGGGCCGAGATAGCAGGGAGGACCGTGGAGAGGGGGAGGCCCGAAGAGGCCCTCGCTCCGGCCGCCCAGGTACCTTGAGCTCTGTTTTGCCCCGGAGATCCAGCTTGAAGCCCTCCTTGAGGGAATGCAAGATCTCAACCGTGCGAATGTTGACGTGGATTCGGTAAGCTGCAGGGACAGCGGAGGAGAGGAGCGCGGTGCAGGAGGCCGGGAGCTGCTGGCACACGCCGCCTCAGCCCCGGCCTCCTCCCTGCCCCAGCCGGATACTCACGCAGGCCTGTGGACTCCATCCGCGAGGCGGTGTTCACCGTGTCCCCGAAGAGGCAGTAGCGTGGCATGGTCAGTCCCACGACGCCAGCCACGCAAGGCCCTGCCGAGGCAAAGGGCCCCGCGAGTCCTGACACCCAGGCACCGAGCCCCCCCCACCCTCCCCTTCGGCACCCTTTGCCCGTGTGGAGGGCCGGGCAAAGCCGGGCCGTCCCGCCGGCCACGGCAGAAGGCCTCTGGCGCTGCCCGGCCACGGCCTCCCCCGCACGCCCGCTCACCTGAGTGCAGGCCAATGCGGATCCGGACGGGCACTTCTGGCATGTGACGCATCTTGAAGGTGCCGACGGCACTGAGGATGTCCAGGGACATGTTTGCGATCTCCCCGGCATGCCGGTTCCCGTTGCGCTTCGGCAGCCCTGACGCCACCATGTAGGCATCTCCGATGGTCTCCACCTGGCACCCAAAGCGGCGGCGGGCAAAGCGGCCCGGAGAGCACGAAGCAGGAAGTCAGCCGGGGCGCAGCGGTGTGGGGACCAGCCACCCCGGCAGAACCTGCCCCCCGAGCGGCAAAGCGGGCCGAGCCGAGAGGACGCTTGCGAGCTCCTTCCGCGTCAAGCGCAGCCACGCAAGGTCTGCTGCAGGTGGCGCGAAGGGGGCGCGCCTCGTGCAGCCGTCGCGTGGGGCTCCGTTCCTGGCGAGCCCCACACGCCCACCCTCCACCTGTGCCAGGTGCGGCTGCCCCAGCGGCTGCTCCGCGTGGCGCGGCAGAAGGACCTGCTGGAGGTCGCACGTGGCTCTCCAGGGATGGGCCCGGCTTGGGCTGCGGCAGGCGGTGTGGGCGAGGAACGCCGCTTGCACAGCTCATGGGGCTTGCTCCCGGCGGACGCCGGACACGGCTGCCCAAAACCCGGCCTTGGGCACCTGCAAAGCGGAGCTGAGCCCAGGGGCCAAGCCCAGGGCAATCCGGCAGGTTCCCAGGCCCAAGCAGATTCCTTGCACATCCCTGGGGGGACGGGGGCTCCTTCAGTTGCCAGGGGGCCAAGGAGATCCAGGAAGAGGGACAGAAGGACTACCCCACACTTGCTGCCATCTATGGGAAAGGAAGCCAGGAAGCCAGCCTGACTCCCCCACGCCCACCTCCCCCAACAGCTCCTGAGCCAGGTTCGGCCTCCCTGCCGAGCACCTGATCCTCGCTAGGTGAGGCCGAGCGTCAGCATCCCCTGTGGCTTCTTTCAGGCCTCTGCCCACCCCGCGGGCCTCCCTTTCCCGGCCGGCTGCTTGAGGCCGAGAGGCGGCCGCTCCACCCGCACCTTGTAGACATCGTGGGAGCCGATGATGGCATCGAAGAGGGTGTAGAGGTCGTTGAGCAGGTCGACCACCTCAATGGGCTCGCTCATCGCCGAGATGGTGGTGAAGCCCACAATGTCACTGAAGTACAGGGTCACCTCCTCAAAGTACTCCGGCTCCACTGGCGCACCTGTCTTCAGGGCCTCGGCCACGGAACTGAAAGGGTTACATGCAGAAACGTCAGGTGCGGCGGGGCAGAATCTGGGCCGAAAAGGTGCCAGTGGGGTGCTCTTGCGGGGCGCTTCCACGGAACAGCACGTTCAGATACCTGGGCCGATAGAAACGGCACAGACTTCACTGGGAAGTGAATTGTTGTGCTGCTGTGAAATTAGAGAGCCTTTTTTTTAATGGCCATTGGAAAAATAATTCTTAATCGCTTTCTCTTGCTGATCAGTGTTGGAGGCACCGAATGTTAAACATTAACGGTGCCATTCTGTGGTTTGTATTACTGTCCCAGCTAAGATCCCGCAGCAACCCTAACTCCGGATGCGGTTTTTAATGATCCAGTTAGGAAAACTGATGCAACAGATCTGGTTCTTTAGAATAGGGAAGGCGCCCCATGCCCGTTCCATCTCCGCGAGATGCCTCGTGGGCCAGAAGTGCCAGGAACGGTAGTGCAGAATTCCCACGTTCAAGAGACCCTGTGTGACACTTGGCGAGCTTTGCAGGATGTCCCTGACCAAACCTGCCTCAGAGGTGCTTGCCTGTTCCATCTACTCCCTGGAAAGAGACCAGGATGGAGTCAGAACCTGGAAGCTCACCACTTTCAACCTAAAGAAATCTGCAAAACTACTCGGGGGGGGGGGGGCACTGGCTGAGTTTGCTCATGTGCTGCTGACCTTCCCTGAGCCTCCCCTCCCAATCACCAAGGATGATTAGCCACCAGAAGTAACGAGAGCAGCGGGAGAATTAAACCCACACGTCTGTACTGCAACCCGCTCTGGTCAGGCAACAGCGGCCGTGTGCTCCCCGGGCTAAGTTGCTCCGTTTAGCTGTTCCAAGGACTGAAGAGACTCACACAGCACTTCCTGGACGGCTCTTGCGGACAGAAGCAAGGATACCTAAACACCATTTCTGCAGGAGGTCCAGGGTGCAACACTCCGTCCAGGTCTGGCAAGGTCCCCACAGCGGAGGGCAACCCAGTGCGTGAGCAGCACGGGCAGAATCAGCCCCTCTAGTGTCCGCAGAGCATCCCCTCTCGCTTGGCCTGGTCTTGCAAGCAGAGCGGAAGGCTGCAAGCTCTTCCACCTACCCAGAGGATGCTGCAAACGGCACGGAAGAGGGGCGCTGGACTCCACTCCAGGCCAGCCCCACCTGCTCAGCCTTCTCCCCCATCAGGTGCATCAGCACAATGGGGCAGGAGGGGGTGCTCCTTGCCTCGCACGTGGGGTCCGATTCCTGGGGCACTCCTCAGGGACCTGGACTCGGGGCTGTGACAAAGCAGGCCAGAATCTGGGCAGCTGAACCCCGGGCATCGGGTGGATTCCCACCCTCAAAGCAGGTCCCTCACTCACCCCTACTTAGGAGCAACAGATCAGCCAGGAGGGGCTACGAAAGGCCCCGCATACTCTGCTCGTTCCTGCAAATCGGGCAGGAATCGCTTCCCAGGCGCTCGCACGGACTCACGGGGGCAGCATCTGCGTCAGCAGCCGGTCGGTCTTCTGCTTCTCGACCTCCAGCTCTTCCGTCCGCTCCCGGATCAAGTCCTCCAGGTTGCTGGAATACTGCTCCAACATGCGCAGCATGGAGTCGATGATGTTCGTCTTGCGACCTTTGTTGATGCTCTTAAACTGCGGGAGGAGGGCAGAAGGCGTGTCAGGGGGAGGCCCCTCCGCTCTGAGGCCTGAGGCTCGATACCTCAGGATGGCTCACCTGGTCAAAAACCTGGTTGATGCTCGGCCTCCTCTCGGGCTGCTCGCTCCAGCACTGCTTCATCAGCTGAATGCACTCCATCGGCGCTTGGTCCACCGAGACGGAGGGCCGGCAGAGCGGAGGCGGCTTCTCCACTTTCTTGATGATCTCTGTTGGACGAGGACAGCGCTCCAGGTTGGTCCGGGACATCCCACGGCAGGAGGCAGAGTAGCTTTGTGTCCACGGGACCCAAAGCCCGGCCAGCTACTCTGGCACACGGTTCAGGAAATCCTGTGACCTTGGCCATGCCCAGCTCCGTGGGCAAGCAATGGTTTTTGCACGGGGTGATAACGGAAGCAGGGCGACGGGAGAGACTGCTGAACTGCAGCGCAGGGAACTGGGGTAACTCCTCCCACACCTGGAGGAAGAGGAGGAAGACAAGCCCGCCTGCTCGTCCCCTGAGCCGTGATGTGGCCAGGATGGACGGGCTGCCCAGCTGGAGGGCTTGCGCAGGCCTCAGAGGCTGGCCCTTCTCCAGAGGTGGAGCCCAGCACTACTGGAAAGGGGGGCTTTGAGGAGGGGTTTCTCAGGCAGGTTCGAATAGCTGTGCTGTTCACACACCAAGGCCTGGACTTGCCGTCGCTGTAGCTCGTGGGCTGCGAATTGGAAATAAGGAGCTATTTTGCGGGGAGTGTCTGTTGTTTTGGAAGCTTGCAACAAACAAGGGGAGACCTGGTTCCTGAAAACCTCACAGAGATGTCCATGTGGAGGGGTGGACGGGGCCCTGGGAGATCCGGGTTCGAGTCCCCACGTCTGAACCGTCTGACAGGGAAACGTCTGACAGGGAAAACGGACGTGGAAGTGCGGCATCCTGCACGGAGGGCCCGTGCTCAGCTTCAGGACACTGGCTTTACCGGCAGAAGGTCCCCCCTTCGGGTGGCTGAAGCTCCAGGCAGGGCAGGAAAAGCCACGTCTGATGCCCTGAGGAGCCACTGCCTGCCCGAGCAAACCAGGCGGGCTATGGATGCACGGCAGCAGCTTCCCACGCTCACAGTAGCTGAATTTCCTACACCACGGAAGGGGCTTAACAGAGTATTTCTGGAATTTTTTACTGTTACTGCCACAGCCCAGCGTCCCGGTAAAAGTGGGAAGAGGAAGAGGAGGGTGAAGGGCAGGAACCCTGTGGAAGGAGGTCCCCATTGGCGCTTCCTGCCCCCAAAGTACCTTCGGCGCTCATATCCAGCATGCAGTAGGGGGCAGCGCGGCAGATGACCTCCTGCATGATGATGGAGATGCTGTAGACATCTCCCCGGAAGGTGCCCTTTCGCTCCTGCACCGGATCCCGCAACAGCTCCGGTGCCGTCCAGAGCTTGTCTGGAAGGGAAACGCCAACCAGAAATCCAGCAGCTTCCTCCATCACAGATCCTTCCCTCCCTTTCGCCCCTCCAAATACCTCTGTTGCTCAAACTGCCACCTGCACACACCTTCTGCACCCCCGAGGAAGGTGCAGGTCCCACCAAAGAGACCGTTTCGCATGATATGCCTACATCTGGACTCATTTGTGGTCCACGCCGTGTATGTTCCAGCAACCCCAGCAGCTCTCTGTGGCCTGGCACTGTTTGCTGGTGATTTATAGTGGAAGGCTTTGCCTTCGTGGAAAAGCGGCACCATCCAGCGGGCAAATTTCCCACCAGGAAGCAAGCAGCAGTGGAGCTTCCTAACCAGCTTGGCCAGGCCTTTCCCCTTCCCCATCCCCTTCCCAGGTCCCTGCTTTCCCCACTCACCCTCGGGCTTCAATGGTTCCCGCGGGATTTTTTGGGCTTCTAGCAGTTCGTTGTAGCCGTGATCCGTGACCTTGAGGACAAAGCGGCCGTCGACCACGCAGTTCCGAGATTTCAGCCGTCCATGTGGAAATTCATGATGGTGCAGGTATTTCATCCCCTTGAGGGTGAAAGAGAAGATGAGGCTATCATCGCACAGTCCCACTTTATTCCTCCGACTGCAGCCCCCGTTGATCCGTCATCACCACACTGACCCTCCCTCTCAGCAAGACCGGCATCAGTCCAGGTGCTTTAACAAACAGACATTTGAGGAAAACGGATCTTGCAGCGATATAAAGTCACGCTTGCTGGATTGTGTGAGTGTGAGGCCAAAAACCGTATTCCTACCTCCGTAAGTTCTCCTGTCTTTGTGCTATAGTCAGACGCTTTGCCATGCTCTCAGATCACCTGGATTTTGCCAGGTGATGGTCAGGCCAGCCCCATTCCCCTTCCCATCCTCACTTCAAGAAAGGTGTTCCAGGAATGGGTAGCTGAGATAGGCACAATTTTACAACACAGCCCATTTTTACAGTTAATTCTTGGATAGCTGAGATACGCACAATTTTACAACACAGCCCATTGGACTCTCTCTGCATTTTTCACTGGATGTTAAGGAAAGGCAAACTGCAGTGAAAATCTCTGAGGAATTCTTTTTTGATACTATTCCTCACATAGTGACACTCTTGGTCCCTTTCCTAGAAGAAGATCAAAAGAACTGGCAGCTGGGTCGCAGTGCCGCAGCTTGCCTTGCGTCGTTCCTTTTTTAAGGAAAAAGAAAAGATGGCAAGACCACCAGCCACCTTGAAAATTGCAAGCACCTCCCTGCATCCAAAGTTCTCACCAGACCAACACAGACACGCCATCAAAATGCCCACACACAAGCTCGTCCGGTGGGTCCTCGTTATCCTCATCGCCAACGACTAGGAAGGTCTCACTCAGATCAGCCCTGCTGTACTCCAAACCACAGCAGGGCTTCCTGGGGGTCGTCTCCCCTCAATGCCGCGTCTCCTCCTCCCTCCCTAACAAGTCTTCCTGCAGAACCTCGGCTGCTCGCTGCACGGACTCCGTGGAACACCGGGATTCAGACGCCTCCAGAGTCTGCCGTGCTAAGAGCCCGGCCGGAGCCAAGGAAGCTCCCTGGTAGGGAGACGGGGTGCTGGGGCATGGAGGAGCAGGGGCCTTCTGCAGCCTGGCTGAGCTCGGAAGAAGATGAGTAAGAGGAGCTGGGAGGGAGTATACCCAGGGACGTACGGTGGGGAGAAAGGGGCTTGTTTCTCCCTCTCCCCTAAACCTGGGCCTCCGCGGAGCCATCCCACCAGGCCGGCGGGTGGGAGATCCTGGGCTGACGGGAGGAAGGATGCCTTCACACACCATGTGGGAAGAGGTTCAGGTCCACGTCCGCACGCCGTGGGGCTGGCCACCCCACTGGGTGGCTTTGAAAGGGGACTGGGCAAGCTCCCGATGGGCATGTGTGGCCTCCAGGTCAGAGGCGGTCACAGGAGGGGGCCCTGGCTCTCATGTCCTGCTTGTGGGGCTGTGTGGGCCACTGGTCGGCCACTGCGTGAGCAGACGGGTCAGGATGGACCCCTTGCCCTTACGCACTTGTGGGCTTGGCTGGGGCCCCTGGGTTGACCACAAGGGGGCAGAAGAACCCCGGGCGAGGTGGGCCTCCCATCTGATCCTGCAGGGCTCTCAGGTGCCTCTCCTCCCTCTGGCGGCTCAGCAGGGATGCTCTCCCACCTCGCAATGAGTGGATCCCCTTGATCTTCACCCTCCCCTCCCCCAGATGCCCCCAGCAGGAGCTAGGTCTCCCTTCTCTGCCCGGTCCCCTCCTGGCACCTTAATGAGGTCCAGGAGCAAGGAGGACTTGAACATCCAGTCCAGCTTCATGTCCTCGTTGTGGATGAGGTCCTCAAGGCTTCCGCGGGTGCAGTGCTCCGAGACGATGGCGAAGATCCCACAGTCGTGGAAGAAGCCCAGGAAAAGGTTCACGTTCTCGTGGCGCAGGTCCCGGAGCTGCAGCGAGGCAGGGCAGGGCAGGGCGGCGGAATTGGGGGTTGAGAGATCTTGCGGGGGATTGCGCTCGGAGGGTGCGCTGGCCAGGGCTGCTGCACTGCCCCCTAGAGGCCAGTTTGGGATTACAGAAGAGCCGTCACTGCTCCATCCTGGGAGCAAGACTGACCCGGCTGCAGGCTCTGGCGGAGGCAGCGCTCACCTTGCAGAAGGCTGTTTTCGTGGCTGGTTTGATTTCGATATGCTTTTCTCCAGGGAATTTCTTCAGCCAGACCCAGTCGCCCTGGGAAGAAAGACCAAGGGAGACGCACATGGTTACCCTTTTAGGATAATCCATATGGACCAGGAAGACAAAATACACACCTCCCCACACATGGAAAAGATCAGCACAAGTAGGGAAGCACTGATTTTCAAAGGGAAGCAAAAGGAGTTGACAATGAATGAATGAAGAAATTAACCCCACACCACCCTGCGTTGGCCAGGACGATGGGACTGGCAATGCCAAGCCAGCAGGAAGCTCTCAAGCAAGCGGAGGAAGCAGGAAGGTGGGGGGGGGGGTAAAGGGGGCCAATCCACAAGAAAACCAGAAGCAGCTTTTCTAGGCTCTCGGCTTCATCGCTCAGGAGAGGACACCTGGAGAAACGCTTCCCTCCCCCATCCAGATCCGGGTGGCCACAGTGGCTCGGAGTGCCGTCTACGAGCTCGGACTGGTGTCCCAGCTCCACCCCAGTCTGGAGAGAGCGACCGCATTTCAGGAGCCTCTGCTCTGGCAACCCCGAGCTGGATGACTGCAGCGCGCTCTGCAGGGGGCTGCCCTTGGAGACAGCCCAGAGGCTGTGCATTCTGCAAAAGCTGCGTGAGCATGTCGGAGGAATTTGCAAGGGATGTGGGCGAGTTTGGCTTTCGATGAGCCCCAACTGACAATTCAGCTGCAGACAAGGTTTTCCTGAGCCACACAGACACGTATCCAGGAGACAAGGCGTCCCAGCCTTCCCGGGAATCCCCTGTCCATACAACAACGGGGAAGCCGAGGGCAGGGCGGGGAGGGGTCAACCAGGGAAAAGGAAGCACTCCAATCCCACCATGCCAGATGTTGCAGGTGCTGTTTTGGGACGAGGGGGGGCGATTCAGATCTCTCCTCATTCAACCTTGGCAGCCGCCTTGCGCACTGTAAGCTTGGCCTCCATTAAAGGACTGGAGCACAGAGGGATCGGGAACCCCACCCAGGCCACTTGCGGGAGGCATCAGATGAGGAAAACAGGCCAAACTCCGTGCTAAGCAGTGACCGAGCTCTCCGTCTACGACGTTTGGATGACTCGGTCAGTCAAAACACACACGGACACCCTCACCTCTCTTCTCTTTCGTGGATGTTTCCCTCCTTCCCGCAATGGAACAGAGAAGGAACCCTGTGGAGAAGCTCCCGTAAAATATTTCCGTCACTGAAAGCCGTTCTCCAAGCGGCTCCCACTGCACTGAATCTACTTTCAGTTTCACTACACAACCGAGATCCAAGCTTTATACACAGAGTACTTCCTTTCCCGCTTTTCTGCTACATAACCGCTAGGTGGCACTGCAATAGAACATAATAGGGCAAATGCACAAGAGGAATTGCACTTTCCTTTGTTTTCACAATTAAATGCTGCATTTTCCCTGCTCTAAAAAAAAATCTCAGAGAAGCAGAGCTGGAGGGTCACAGAGCCATCAGCAGAATGTGTAATGAGTAGAAAATATCGAGCTCGTGATAAATGTGTCATGTAGAAAAGAACTGAAGAGGATAATTGTTACAGGAGGAAAAGGGTGTGTTTCTCACTGGGAGCTGAGCTAAAGGAAAGAGTCTTTGTACTTGTGGTGTGCTGGAGCAGCAGCAGCTGAAGTTCCCACTGGGAGGGGAATGGGAGGCCAGGTTGCTGTCTTGCATGTGGGAAAGCAGGATCAAAACTGGTGCCATCCAATGGGAAATTTGCTAAATATTCCTATGGTGCCTATTGGCCCCAAATCTGTGCAGAAGTGGCATGATGGGATGTTGGGCATCCCTGAGCTGATTGGCTGGAGGGCTCTGACTGGAGCAAACCCACACTCAAGGGCTGAGTGGGGGGGGGAGCGCAGGCTGTTGTTGAATCACAGGTTGTTGTCTGAACCTAGCAGCTCTAACAAGCCATGGCTTGTTGAACACAAGAAAGCCATGAAGAAAGCCTGCGGTTTGTTGCTGGGTTGTGAACGGGGGTGGTTCACCCGGGTTAGTTATCTCAGCTGGGTTCAGACACGTTGCAAGAACAACACGCAGTTCAACATTGACCCGCACGGGGTCCCTGAGCACGGGTTGTCTGGCCCTCCGGCACCAGTCAGTCTGAGGCAGAAGGTGAAGGGGATGGAGCAGCCCCGGAGGAATGAGGCTGTGTCCATGCAGGTGGTCTGCAAGAAGACAGGCAGCCAGTGCTCAGCCTTGGAGGTTCTTGGCTGCAGTCAAACCCGACCAGAAGGAAGACTGATTTTGCAGCCCTCACTGCCAGGTTGGGGGGCTATCCAGGGAGGGTTGTTGTTAGTTGCGAAGTCGTGTCCGACCCACCGCGACCACATGGACAACATTCCTCCAGGCCTTCCTGTCCTCCACCATCTCCCAGAGTCCACTTAAGCTCACACTCACTGCCCCAGTGACCCCATCCAGCCACCTCATCCTCTGCCGTCCCCTCCTTCTTTTGCCATCTATTGTTCCCAGCATCAGCATCTTCTCCAGGGAGTCCTTCCTTCTCATTAGGTGGCCAAAGTATTTGAGTTTCATCTTCAGGATCTGGCCTTCTAAAGAGCAGTCAGGGTTGATCTCCTCTAGGACTGACCGGTTTGATCGCCTTGCGGTCCAAGGGACTCACAGGAGTCTCCTCCAGCACCACAATTCAAAGGCCTCAATTCTTCAGCGCTCAGCCTTCCTTATAGTCCAACTTTCACAGCCATGTGTTGCAACCAGGAAAACCATAGCATTGACTATATGCACTTTTGTGGGCAGGGTGATGTCTCTGCTTTTTACTATGCTGTCTAGATTTGCCATAGCTTTCCTCCCAAGGAGCAAGCTTTTAATTTCTTGGCTGCAGTCCCCGTCTGCAGTGATCTGGGAGCCCAGGAAAATAAAATCTGTCACTACCTCCATTTCTTCTCCATCTATTTGCCAGGAATCCAGAGAGGGTACTTAAATACATTCGTTTAGGATTAGGAACTGAAGGTTGTAATGAATGGCTCGTGGCATCCATAACCACACAGAATACCTGTAGTTAAAGTAATAACACAGAACTCTTGCTCCTAAAGCAAACTTTTCTCAGTTCATTCCTTTTTCATACCATATTTTCACTTTTGCTTATTATGCCTACAGTTCTGATCTGTTCCTCTCACATGACTAATGAAAAGCTACCTTAGAAAAAGGGGATATATTCGAAAAAGAGGGGTCGTTTTATGGTGGCAGCGGAAATGAAAGGAGGAACAGCCCAGTGATGGGAGTGAGTCCGGGCAATCGGTGGCTGAAGCAGTGGGAAGCCCATGAGAAGCGGCGTTCCTCCATGAGCCTGCCCGTCGCCCACCCAATCCATAGCTCTGAACCAGAGAAACCCATTCCTTCCGACAGGAATGACCAGAGGAGGCACCTGGTGACTCTCCAAAGTTGAGAGGCCCAGGGCCGTGCCGGGATGGGAGACCTTCCAGGGACAACCTCTGCACTGGAACCCCATGTGGGCAACTCCCTTCCAAAAACAGGGACCTTGCACACGTTATTGATGGACAGAGGTCAGGGCGCTGAGCTGAGACTCGGGAGATCTGGGTGCGAAACTCCACCAGGCCATGAAGCTCCATTGCACAAATTCTCTCTCATCCAAGCTTAGCGCCCCTCCTCTGGAGAGGAGACGGGGACAGGGAGTGAGTGTGGATCCATCGCTGGGTGGAGGAAACCTTGGAACAACTGCAAGAAGAGCACTGGAGAAGAGGAGAAGAGGAGGGGATCTGTTGGCGTATGTGAGGGGGTGTCACACGGAGGTGGGGAGAGACCTGTTCTCCCCTGCAGAGGAAGGCAGGACATGATCCAACGGAGCAAAGCTCAGGGAGCCAAGGTTGCATTTAGATGCCAGGAAGCACTTCCTGACAGTCAGGACCCCCAGGGTGTGGAATGGGCTTCCACAGGAGGTGGTTGAGGCCCCATCGGTGAGGGTGTTCAAGGATAGGCTGGACATGCACATGGTGGGCATGTCGTGAGCGGAGCTGGCTGGAGCCAGGGGCCAGACTAGATGGCCTGGGAGGTCCCTTCTGACTCCTCTCTTTCTCTATTTCTAAGAGCACTTGATTGATACAAAGTACCTGCCATAAAGCAACCTAAAGATGTTAACCACATGCACATTTATGTATTGAGACCGTTTGACTGATCAAAAGATGTGTGATGAAACAACTCAGACCTCATAAACTGCAGAAGCGTCTGCTCATGTCCATACTGCAGGGGCGCTGCACACCGGCATCTCCCCAAAACACAAACGCAACGTGGACAATCCAGATCTGGTTCGATGCTCTAAAGCCCCAGTACCTCTGTTTTCATAAATTAAGCACTCATTCCGCAATCACCCACGAAAGATTTTTCTAGCAAGCGACAAGTCCAAATGTGGGTTTTTGTTGTTTTTTGCCTTCCAGTTTAAACCCTGGCTGACCATTTCTACAGAGAGGGGGTTACGGTTTGGAAGCAGGGGAAGGAAAGCAACGCAGAGTCGGGGTGGTTTTCCTCGTCTCCTCTCGGGAGGAGCAAGACTGCGCAAAAACCATCACACAGCAAAATGCCTGAGAGCGGAAATGGTGGGCGAAGGGCGGGGAGAGCGAAGGAGAAGAAACCAAAACGAAGGGCCAAGCGGGCAGGCGAAGTCACGGCGACAACATGTCCTTTTGTGGAAAGGGACTTACCTGGACGGCGGCTATTACGCCTTGGGTGTTAAACAAAAGGAGAAGCAAGGGGACATGGCAGCTGGCTCTTTGCTTGTCATCGCCCTAAGGATAGCAGGAAGCAGGCAGTCAAAAATTGATGCTGATGGAGGGTGGGGGGGGGGCTGGGGCGGGAGGGAGAGGCAGAACCCAGACTAGCAGCCGTGTGAGTTGCGGGAGGGGGTACCGAAGCTCCACCACTGCAATCTCAGCCAGGGCTCACCGAGGCATTCCCATGGAGCCGACCCCAGAAATACGTGCAATCATGATAACAGAGTGCCACTGACCACGTGCAAAGTGCATTTCCCTGACAACCGCCCCCCCGTCCTCGCACACCTTAGGGTTCCCGAGTTGGGTTGAGCCCCAGCTTGGCTCTGTTGAGAAATCAGTTGCTGACCTTTTCAGCAATCGCCCTGTTAAGGTGAGGCGTGGGACTGAGGGAGGCGCGCCAGCAGTGCCAACGGGGCCGGGATGAAGCTGTGCGTGAGCTCGCGGGGGTCCTGCATTTTGCACTGAGAAACCATCCGGCAGTGGAACAGCCTCCCCGGCCTGCAAAACCCCAGCCGACGGGAGGGCGAAGGGGCGCCATCGCCCCCAAGCCCGCATGGCAATCAGCCAGGGCAGAAGCATCACTGAGCGGGAGGTGGGGAGACAGCCTTGCTTGGCCCTGCTGGCAGCCACGGACATTTCCGAGAAAGATCTGGCGGGGTCAAATGATCTGTAGCCCCCACGCTGCCTCCCTGCTGCCACCACAGCCTCTGCATCTCACGTGCCCTGCGCCCCTGCGGCGGAGCAACCGCCCTGCAGCAGAAGGTCCGATCCACAGCATCGCTCAGGCGGGCCAGGGGAACACCCTCCCTAGCCCCTGGACAGCGGCTGCTGCCGGCCAGTGCCATCAGCACGGGCTGGGCACGCGGCGGCTCGGACGGCTCCCCTCGTTCTGAAAACAGTCGCTCGGCATCGGGCAGGCGGAGGTGTGCAAGAGGGGCAACTTCCAGACCGGTTGCAGAGGTGAGAAAGGAAGCGGGGAAGCTTTCTAGGGGGCAGAAAGCTGTGCGGACAAGCAGAGCCACACGGAGAGCCAGTGGTGGAGGCCGTGGAAATCGGGGCCGCCTTCCCAACAGGGAGGCCAGGCACGCTCCGGGAATGCGGCTAGGCCCCTCTCCCTGCAGCGAGCCAGGGGCGCTGGCTACCCCTCCGCCACTCAAAGCGGCGCCCATCACGACAGGGGTGAGCTGGGGGAAGGGGGTGAGGTGGGGGAAGGGGGAAAAGCTGGGAGCCCCGGAAGGAATCTTTGCACCCTCCAGGACGCCGGGATGTGAAAACAAAGGGACGAGGCAGCACGAGGAAGTCAACCCAACGGAAAGGGTTTCGCCCACGACGGAAGAGAAGGAGGGTGTTCTCTGTGTGTGCACACTATCAAACTTCCGGCACACTCATGGGGAACGAACTGTGCTATTTTTAACCATTCAGATTCAGAGGATGCAACTGCCGGACTGCAGAGCCACAAGCTGCGGCTCAAGGCCCTGGACCCAGCCGGGGAGGCAGTAGAAGAGATAACCCCAAGGGTGGATGGGGACACAGATCACACTGACCCCGGGAATGGCAAGGAGTTGCAGCAGCCCAGGGGAGGGGATGCTGAAATGGGAGCCGTCTCCAGCGGAGACCACCCCTCCCCTTCAGAGGTGGGCCCGCTGGCTCGGTGCCAGCAATGACTGGAGGGGGACATGTGCCTTTTCATTGCGCTCCTTCCTGCGCATTGGCACACAAGCGGACTTGTAATGGGTTTTGGGGAGCGATTGCTTGACTGGGGGTCAACCAAACGCCTTGTGCATGTTAGCTGGATGATCTGCATGTCGAAAGAATGCGGTAGTATAAGACTCCCAACACAAGGAGAGCCTAGGCCTAATGGGGTGGGAGAAACATCTAATTAATAAAATGATCATAAATAAATAAGCCATGAAGATTATTAAGCAAAGGAATAGGCTGAGGCTGGTGCTGGCGGGGGGAGAAACACAGCTCGCGACAGCCTGGCATGCCCAGCAGGACCTACCGCCGCAGTGCCCCTGCCCTGGAGCTCGCAGGCTCTGCCCCCGAGGAGCCCAGGCCTCCGGAGCTGCTGGAAGTGGCCTGCCCTGGAACGACCTTCTGGCCGCCTGCCCTGCCTCCCCAGCCACCAGCTCAGCCTCACGGCCGGGAGGAAGAAGGGTGCGAGGCTGCCCAGGGGGCAGGGGCGGCAGGCGAGTTACCTCTGCCACAGCGATGTTGGTGTTTTCCGGATTCGCTGCCACGCTCTTGATGCTTTTCATGTCTGCCACGCTTTTTCCACCAAGGCTTGGGCGGCTGTCCTCGATTTTCTGCGAAAGGACACAGGGAGACCTCCGTGAGCAAGAAGAAGAACCCGGCCAAGGTCTGCTTTGATTTTTGACTGCCAGCCCTGACCCACGACAAAAGCACAAGGCTGGATGAGCCTGCTCCATCTGGCCTGGACTTCAAGTCCCAGATCTCCCTGCCAGCAAAGCCAATGGTCCGGAAAGCTGGGAGCTGAAGCCCAAAACAGCACTGTAAATACTTTTACCGTAAGCCGTCTAGAGAATCCATCTGGACTAGTGGGCAGCAAACAAATTCATACATAAATAGAACAGATTCTAAATTCTGTGGACAGAATTTGCTCTCACACGTCCATTATTCCACTGACAAGCACCAATCTTTTGGGGGGGTGGGCATTGAGAAAAGCTGAACAGTGCTACCTCGGCTCATGGATGCCTTGGTTCACAAACAATCCACCCCCTCACCCCCACCCCCCCAAGTGGAGAGATGGCCACGATCGCAGTTGCTTTCGTGCAGGGAAGGCGTGCGTGATCAGAGGTGTGCTCCTGTAGGAAAGACAGGCAAGATCTCGGCCATCCCCCCCCCCCCACAACCAGAATGATTGCGGCCATCTCCCCACCCCACCCCATCCCCCCTGCGAGTGGGGAGAGGGCCGCGATCTTGGTTGCTCTTTGCCACTTTGCTTCACATTTTTCTGACTTGAAAAATGGTTACAGAACGGATTACCCTTATTTACATTGATCCTTATGGGGAAATGCGACTTGGGTCACGACCAACTGGGTCACGACCAGCGCCCTGGAACAGATTAAGCCAAGGTACCCCTGCGGGTTGTGCCTCCCTCCTCCCGTCGCTCTGCCGCTGCCGCTCACTCTCTCCCTCGCTGAGCAAAGCCCCACCTTGCCAGCGTCGCCGGAGCCCCACTGACCTTCTTGCTGCTCTGCGTGTTAATGAAGGTCAAGTCGTCCATGGTGAGGACTATCTTGTTGGGTCCCTTCATGAGCTGGGCGTGCTGGAACTTGCGCCTGAGGGAATTGATACAAGCGGAGCAGAAAGCCCGGAAATCAAAAGTGGGCCCCCGTGGCCGCTGGCTTGCAGCATGATGCTCCAGTATGGCTGCCGGTGGGCACAGGAAGGGGTGGCATCGCTCACCTGAGATGGAACGCGAGCGCAGTTCCAGCCACGACCAAGCCGATAACTGCCAGGAACAGGAAAAGGATGAAGCCGGCATCCACCCCTGAAGCAGGAGGAGAAAAATGTGACCGCCAGGAATTCTACCGCACTGAGGCAGGCAGAGATGGCTTAGATTGCCATGGATCAAAGCAACGGTCTACACAATCCAACGCCCTCTTCCAACAGTGGCAAACCAAAGGGTCGTGTCCCCAGGTCGGTCAGCACCCTCTCGCCCATGGTCCCCAGCTGTTGAGATATGGAGACATGCATTAACTCCCACCCCATCATTCTAGCTCTGTGCCAAGGTGTCCACCCACGCTCTGTGTGTCTCAGGAAAGGCACCTTTTGCTCTTCCAGGGGCTTCTCTTCTTCTGCTCCCACCTCAACACACCTAGATTCTGAACTCTGCCTCGCCTTCCTCACCCTCTTCATCCTCCTCTGCTTCTCCCTTTTCACCCTCTGAGGAGATCCATACCCGAAAATATCTCCCTGGCCAGCCAAAGATGGCTCTTTGGTTCCTCTGCCTGTGGGTCCAAGAGGAGGGACTCTCAAAAACCCCCAACCCCACACACACAAATGCCTCCCGCATCACTGTGTGCGATCCCTTCTCCTGTCTAACGAGACGGGCGACAGCTCAGGAGGCACCGGGTCCTTCCGGAAAGAACTGTCCCCGTGCTGATACCTCGTGGCTTTGCTATCATACACTGCAAATGAAATTGCAACCGATGCTCCACACGATAGGGGTTCCTCGTGTTTTCTCTGCACCTATGACATTCCACCAGCATCAGCCCTCTCCGCGCCTCTCCACGGTTTGGGGGTGCTTTTGAGGCCCAGAACAGCTCAGCCTACATTCCCGATATCTTTTGCCACAGGTGCCATTTTCCCCCCGTTTTTTACTCGATCTTTCCTGCTAAAATACTTTGACCAGTTATCTTTGTTCCAATCTTAAAATTGGCCCTTGTGTGAGCAGAAGGCTGGTCGCAATGGACCCTGGGTCCTGGCCAGCTTTTCTCCTGTTCCCACAGGGCCCATTCGATGCGCTGATGTGGTGCTCGAAGACACGCTGGGGAAGATGGATGGGAGGAAAACAACGGGACAGACGTCCCGGTGGCTTTACCGTCTCCACACGCCCCTGAGCAGCCTCGCTTCGAAACTTACCACCGGTGCAGATGCTCACAGAGTCAAACCAGCAGTTGGAGTCCGAGTCTGGCGTGGAGCTGTGGGGCCAATGCACCGTGTGGCCGACGTAGCGGAGGGTGCCGGCAGCCACGTCCACGCTGTAGGTGGGCCACAGGCGGCTGCCCTTGCCGTCCGTGTCCAGGATGACGTAGGGGAGCAGGGCGTCCCCGTGTTCGTCAGCCGACACGGCCTGGCTGAAGCCCTCCAGCTCGAAGTCCTTGGCGTGCTCGGCCACGCTGGTCCCCATCACCCAGTCGCCGGACTTGCGCGTGTTCTCCACCGCCTTGGCCAGGAAGTAGATGGAGTTGAAGATGGTACCAAACAGCGGATGCACCTGGACAAGAGGGGGAAAGAGCGCTAGGCCAAATCCAGTTGCCTAATGAACAACGCCAGGGCTGAAATTTGCTGCTGACTCCCTGGTCTTCCCAACTGTCACAAAGTTTGCAGGAATAGCAGCGCCATTGCCGATCCTAGCTCTGTCTTGTTTTTAAGACCATACCAGGAACTCCGGAGTAGTTTTTAAAAGCATCTTCAGAGTGCTGCTGCTGTTCCTGCATGCTTTAAACTTGATGGGCAAAACCCCAATGCCCCATCTAGTCATTCTAAGTAGGACTTACCCTGGATTTTGCCCAGAAGTTTTGGTGCAACGGGTGCCGAATTTTGTTCCACGGGCACAACTATGAACGCAGTTTTGTGCGCATGGAATGCACATGCTCAGACCACGGGCAGCTCCGCGCATTGCGCCCTTGCCCTCGTTCCACCCCACAGCGGCTCTGCTCCCACCTGGTCGGCATCCAGGTGCCCGGGGATCTCTCTCTTCGCCTGAGCCTCCCGGAAGGCCTCTCGGAAGGAGCGTTCCGGTGAGTCGATGGTGACGGTGAGCACCGCGTCGTACGCCATGCGCAGCTTCATGTTGTCTTCCAGCACGGCGTAGGACTCCTTCTGGTAGGGCATGCTGTAGGTCAGGGCGTCATAGGGGATGAAAACGTAGCTCCCGTCGGTCATGTCCAGGTCCTCCGCCTTCTCCAGCAGGAGGCGCTGCTCGTCCCCGCCCAGCAGCGCAGAGTGCATGCACATGACGATCACTGGAGAGAAGGCCAAAAGGAGGTGGGGCCTTGACAAGGGAAGCAGAGCCTCTGTGCATGCGCAGAGTACCTTTTATAAATGCAGGCATGCCCCGAACACCTCAGCTGGTGCAGAACAGCAGAGGATGCAGCTTCCGGCTCAGGCCAGGAAGCTCCCCTGCTTGGTTTCAAGCACTGGGACCTGGCTACCTGAACGAGCGCTTACGTCCGTATATGCCCGACCGCCCCTTGAGATCTGCGGGAGAGTCCCTTCTCCGGGAACCCTCCATGAAAGAAATTAGGAGAGTAAGTACTCGGAGGAGGGCTTTCTCTGCGGTGGCGCCCAACCTATGGAATTCACTCCCCAAAGAGGTCCGCCTGGCACCGTCGTTACTTGTTTTTCGGCACCAGGTAAAGACCTTTTTATTTAAACATCATTTTAATTGTTAAAATATATGATCTGGCCAGGGCAACTTTCTTCTTCCTTCTCTTTTCTCCTCCTATATTATTTATTTACTTATTTTATACTGATAATTTTAATTTTATATTATTATGTTTGTAACTCAGTGTATTTTTTGTATTTTTTGTATTTAATGGTAATTTATTATGTTCTATTGTATTTCAATGTATTTTATTGTGTTGTAAGCCACCCCGAGGCTTCGGCAAGGGGCGGCATAGAAATGTTATAATAATAATAATAATAATAATAATAATAATAATAATAATAATAATAATGCGGCTTCTCACTGGGGCGCAGGGGGCATTCAGGTCACCCAGTGCCCTTCCTCACAAGTGGCCGCATCCTGTTCCCAGCATCTTGGAGGAGGGAGAAAGCTATTCATTCAGGAGCTGCTTTAATCCATCTCTCACTCTCTCCCCCACATCCATTTTAAAATGTTAATGTTTAAACATTACAATTCTGAATTGTAAAATTAACTTTATTAATTTTAAGATGTTATATGTTTACAAATTTTTAATGTTTCTTAATTTAAAAAAATGCTCTTGGTGAGAGAAGCAGCATTTGTGAAACGACTTCTGCCTGGTGGAGCGAGCTCTACAATAGCAAACCTGGCTCGAAATCTTGTGGGCAGGACAAGAGATCCGTCTTCCAGCAGGACGGAGTGGCAGACCTATCCAGCCCCCCTCGCTGCCCATCAGAGGCTGGTCCCAGACCTCCCTCCAACACATGACGCAGCCCACCTCCAGGGCAGATCTGCCTGATGGGGGATGGTGGGGGCAGCCCTTGTGATTAGGGGTCCATCACTTAGTCCGTCATTGTCAGCTCACCACAAGGCTTGGCTGGCCTGGAACTGTCCAGATTTTAGTCACCTGAACAAATAAAGGGATTTTTTTGCCGTGGGGACATGAGAAAGAAAGAGAAAGCTTTTGTTCAAGGATAGGCTAGACATGCACATGGTGGGCATGTCGTGAGCGGAGCTGGCTAGAGCTGGGGGTCAGACTAGATGGCCCGGGAGACCCCTTCGGACTTGCTCTGTTTCTTTGAAGCGGGTCCAAGCTGTGAAGGAAAATGCATCTGCATTAGGAGACCTAACAAGGATCTCAAATAAAAATAGGCATTATTTGAGGGGTGGGTCATATTTTTACCCAGGAGCACAGTACATGGGAAAGAAAACCTTAGCGTAGGCACCAATGCGAGCTTTTTCCCGGGGACTGCATGATTTCATCAGGCCCATGGCTGGCGAAAGAAGGGTTAAGCCTCATCTCCCCGTGTGGTATACAGCCCATAATTATTATATGGTGCCTCAACCTCTGAATGTCTCAAATGTCTGAACTCTGAATGTCTCGAACTCTGAATGTTTTGAACATGCCAGAGTTCAAATGCTAAAATCTAGATAAGACCATTCCAAAAGTCGAACGATGCTTCTAAATTCGGACTGCAGGCACAGTAAAAAAATGCTTCAGTGCTTTTTTATCTGTTTTCAGTTCTTTTCAAGCATCTTCAGTACCCAAACAGGTATTATTTGGGGTCTGGGAACGGATTAATTCACTTTCCATTATTTCTAATGGGAAACATTGCTTCGGACTTCAAACAATTCAGAGTTCAAACGGCCTCCTGAAACGAATTAAGTTCGAAGTATGAGGCACCACTGCATTTGTGTATATCCCGCCTATTCCCAGAGACTTGGATAATGGAGACGCTTCCTAGAGAGCTGGGTCGTGTCCCACCTCCGTGTTCCCCACGGCAGGACTGGTGGGCAGAAGAGCATGAAGAAAAGCTGTGAGCTACAGGGCGGTTGGCCTAAAGAAAAGGTGACTTAAACAGCAAAGAACTGGAAGAAGAAACGGGATCTTTGGTGAGTTGGTGTAACGAAGTTTGGAATAGAGCTGTTGATGATAACTTGATGTGTGGGATTAGGGTGAAAAAAGATTGATAAGGAAGAATGATTTTAATGATCCATGGGGTTTGCTTATTGAATATATACTAATAAAAGGGAAGGGTATCAGAACTTCAGTGGATGCAATGCTATTTTGGAAAGCTAGAAATTGAGGCAAAGAAGAAGAGAAAATTAAGGGAAAATATGCAGCTATGGAGGGGAGAACTAAGTGTGTGTTGGGAGAGGTTGGTTCTTATTTTTACATATGTGTGTGTGTGAGAGAGTGTGTTTTGTGTTGTTTCTTTTTATTGTTTGAAAAGGAGACATGAGGGTGGTACAAGGAGAGATGGTCTCCCTCGTCCATCATACTAAAACCCAGGAGAGCCACCCGCTGCCGAGGGGCAGGAAATTCGACACACACCAGAGGAGGGCTTCTTCACGCCAGGCAGAGTCGAAACTAGAGACTCCATTTCCCTGAGATGAGGGACGGAGACCCGCTGGGTTGGCTTCGAGGGGCAGTGGACAAATTAATGGTGGAGAAGGCCATGCATGGTCCCACTCACAGGATCAGAGGCCACGTGCCCGTGGGCACCCATTGCTGGGGAACATGGGGGGGGGTGCTGCAGAACTCTTGGCCTGCTTGCAGGATCCTCTGGGCAGCTGTTTGGCCGCTGTGGGAAGAGAATATCTGGGGCGAGATGAATCCGGTCAGGGCCAGCTGGGCTTCTGACATCCTCCTGGTCTGGCTAAGCCGTGTGGGGCCGAATGGAAGGTTTTGGGCTTGGAGCAGCTTCGGGCAGCTGCGGGAGGGCGAGGCTGTGCTAGCGCTAGAATTGCCCACTCGTCTCATCACCGTTCGTTTCTCCGAGGACTTACGCCTGGCCTGTTGACTGCATGTCGGGATGCAGCACTTGAAACAAAACCAAAGGGTTAGCTGAGAGGAAAGCAAAGGCACAGTTGCATTTTTCTCCAGCCATGGGGGGCCCAGCAATGCCTAAGTCCTGCCCAAAACGTGCTGGTGGCAGCTGTTCCCCCTTAGCAGAGCTTTGTGGGAAGAGGAAAGGCAGAAGATGTGGAGGGGGAACAAACGAAGACGACCAGCGTCTCCACTCCCCAGAACAAGGCTGGGAGCATACCTGGAAGCGCCGGCATCTCTGGGCCACGGCCGGCCTGAGGGAAGCGGGCGGCAGGTGTGGGGGAGAGGGGCTCTGGTCCCATGGCCAAGCCCCCACTTGTCTGCAGAAGGCCCTGAGCTCAGTCTCTGGCCGTCGCCGGTCAGTGCTGGCGTTACTGAGCTGGAGGGCCAGTGCCCCAGCGCAGGCACCTCCTTTGCCCACTGGCAGGCGGCTTTTGCGCACTCCGGCTCTCGCCACAGCTGGCCGCATCATGCATCCTCCTGGGCATGGAGGGTGGTCTTTAAACCACACCAACAGCCAAGCCCTGCCGGGTCCCCACAGCACCACAGACCGTGGTCACGGCTGCCAAGCAGCTGCCCACCCACACCACTAAGCCCCAGGGGTGATGCAACCCATGGCAGGGGGCTGCTTCCGGATTTCTTTCTTTCTTTCTTTCTTTCTTTCTTTCTTTCTTTCTTTCTTTCTTTCTTTCTTTCTTTCCTGAAAAATTTCCTATGCCGTCCATTACTAAAAAAAGTCTCTGGGTGGCTTGCAAGGAAGGATGCTGCTGGCCTTGGCTCAGGTGTTCGGATACTGCTTTGCGTTTCTCCTACCCCTGCCTTAACCCCCACAAGCATCCAGTATCTTCTCTTCACTCAGAACCTGTAAATCTGTCTCGGGAATTCCTTAGCACTAGAGAAAAACACACGTGGATAGATGCACAGACACCCATTCCTATCCAACTCCGAGCCTTTTTCTGCAATTACCAATTCCTTTGCAACCTGCTTAACTCCCAGCCCGTTTTGCACGATCGCTGGGTAGTGAACAAGCCACAGTTACTGAAGCAACCTGCACGTGCCAGCCGCCCACATGCTGGTTTGGAGAATTACCTTCACCAGGCATGGCTTCTCTGTTGTCTGAACCAGGCAAGTCTGGCTTGCTAGGATGGTTAAGCAACCGCCAAGCACAGTACCCTGTGGTAGGATTGAGGGGTGGCCTGCCAACCTCCCCACAAACTGCCTTCACCGAGTTCAGATGGCGCAAGAAGCCATGCCAAGGTCAAGGGATCTCCAGTCCCGTGGGTGGCACAAGCCCCGTGGCTAACGAGCCCTTCCTTCCTGCCCTTCTCGAGGGTCAAATTGATCAGGCACTGTCCCAACACATGTGCCCTTGTCATTTCAAGGAGCCGAAACTCCCAAGTTCCGTGAGTTTTGCGAGGCGCCCGCCCCTTCCATGTGAACGGTCCCAAGGCAGGGCCCCTTTTGAAAACTTGGACAGCTGCTCACTAGAAACCTCCTGGCGCCCCTGGGACCACAACATCCAGCATCCAGATGTAACGGATGACAACTCCCAGCATCCATAAACTTAAGAATTGTTCAAGTCTTTAGAGAACCTGCACGAAGAAGCCATTCCCCATGCAACATGACTCAGGCCAAGCCATGTCAAGTTCATCCATAAAGCTTCCAAAACAAGAAGGACCAAAAACCGAGGTCATCATCCATGAAGGGCTCGTGTGGGAGACAAACCACTGAATAAAATAGATGGAATACCTTATTTGATTTGCCAGGCTTCGTTTATGGAGCCTCATTCAAGGATCTGTTACAGAAGGCCCCTGCTCAAAGGGACCTGAATTTTGCGGCGTTTTTCTACATGAGGCTGTTAATTGCAGCTATGCTTGTTTTCTTGCAAAATTTCCTTTCCTGCTTTTCCACTCTGTAATCTCTAGGTGGCACTGTGGTATTAACTGAATAAAGCAAATGCACAAGACCAAATCGCAGTTGCTTTCACTTTCACAATAAAATGCTGCTTTTTTCATCTTTAAAAAAACTTGCCAAAACTGCTAGCAGCCTTTGAAGCTCTTTCAGCCATCCCTGGTGAAGTTTCTCAGGCCAAGCGTGAGAATCAGCCTGGTTTGGAAGGGGAGGAAGGCTTTTGAGGAGGGGAGATGGAGTGGTTGTGAGTCCTTGGCCCAGTGAGGAGGCATCAGAAAAGCAACCCGCTCCATTGAGGGGCTTTCGCCGTTCCTGCAGTCTTGCTCTCCAGAAGCAAGAGCCCGCCAAAGGCAGAGGAGCCGTTGAGAAGTTCCCAATTTGGATTCAAATCCTCACATGAGCAGAAGGGTCCCTTTTCAGCTACTGAGGGCTCCAACTGTTCTGTAATCTGGTGAGACTCAATAAAAGAACTGCACTTTCAAAGGATGGTTTTGAGTTTGGGAACCAAAGGGAAGGAGGGAAGGGACCAGCTCACGACAACAGAAACGGGGACAGAACAAATTAACTGTAGGGATTTTGTTCAATGGGGGGGGGGTCCCTGTTTGCATAGAAGATGGAGAAGACCTTGCAACGGTCCCCCCTTTCTCAAATGTTCCGTATTTTAATTGCGTGGTCCTTTGTGAACTTGGCCTGCAAACGGGGCTGGCCATCCTGCAGTTGCCGGACTCTTTCTGCCTAACCTGCAACGGACCGCAGCACAAAAGCCGTGCCTTCTCGTCTTCCTTCCTCCTTTTCACACACTTTCTGCATCTGCTCTGCTTTTAGCCAGCTGGGCTCCCAACCGCTCCTGGACAGGCACATTCTTGCTAATACTTCCATTTAATTAGTTGAAAGAGAGAGGACTTTATCCTCTGCCAATGCTCTGGCGGAGGATGGACTGAGCCACAGCAGCAGTCAAAGACACGGAGACAAGCCGCCTGCAAACCCTCGGCAAGCACACATGCGCCGCGCCGGACGTCACTCGCCATGCGGGCGGCTTGCCAGCAGCGGGCGTCTCGCTGGGGGCCGTACGCCGAGCCTTGCGCTCCACAGGAGGGCTCCAGCTGAACCCGCCTGCATAGCTTCATGCCAGACCTAGCACCTCAAGTCACCTTTGCTAAGCTGGGCAGGCACGGTCCGCAGCCGGATGGGAGACCACAAGCGGAAGCAGAGCAAGGTGGACACGGGAGCCTTCTCGGCTCCTTCCAGCGCTACATCTGGTCCGGGCTGGCCTAGCCTAAATGGAATCGATGAACCGAGGCGTTTAGCTGTCGTACCCACCATGAAGGAGGGCCCGTGCGTCCCCTCCCCAGCCATACCTCGGACGTCGTGGGTCCTCTGGATCCTGCGGAGGGCGTCCCGCGCGCCATCGGGGTCGTTCTCCATGGTGGCCACCACGCTGACGGGGAGGCCGAAGTTGCGCAGGGAGTGGGCCAGGCCCTGGCCGACTTCCACCCAGAAGTCCTGCTCGGAGGTGATCACGGAGACGTGGGCCCAGCGGAAGTACTTGAGCAGGATATACAGCACGGCGGAGGCCTGCGGCAAGGGCCGAGCGAAGGTGCCGAAGCGCTCCACCTCGGCGTCGTCCGTCAGGCAGGCCCAGGAGAAGATGGGCTTGTTCCATGCCTTGCCCAGCAAGCCGGCCGCCTCACAGGTCGCTGGGTTGACCGGGCCCACGAAGCCGGAGGCGTAACGCTCCGCATTGACAAAGCCCACCAGGGCCTTCGAGCTCTGGCACTCTTCACTGAGGAGGACATAATCAAACCAGTAGCCCTGGTTGAGGGTCGGGTCCTGGTTGATGCGGGAAACAGCCAGCCGGGCTGCCGCGTCGGGGTAGGCTCTGGCGTACATGGAGTCGCAATTCCAGGGGCCCATCACGCCCACCTTGAACGTCGTCGGCTGGACGCAGCCGGGCAAGCAAAGGAGCAAGAGCCAGAGAGGCAGCACCTGCCGGCACGGGCCTTGGGGGCAGCCCCACCTGGGATGGTTGGAAAGGCCGAGCAGGAACCCGTGGGCACCAGAGCAAGCGAGGGTCATGCTGACGTGGAGCCGGGCGATGGCGCGGCAGGAGAGGGAGAGGAAGCAGGGAGAAGGCACAGCTCGCGGGGCCTTTAGTCCTGCAGGGGCCCGGCCCAGAGGTCTCTTCCGGGAGCAGGCCCATTTGCCGCCGTCCGCATGGTGACCCTCTGACACACACAGTCAAAAGGGGAGGAAGACTAAACCTGGAATACAAGCAGGAGAAACGTCAGACCAGCTGGGAAATAGCGGCGCGCGAGAGCACAAACGTTCCCAAGTGGCTGTTGGGTGGTGTGCGTAGAAAAAATGCATTTTTTCTACATTTGTAAGGCCACTTCCCTGCTTTGGTGCCGAGGTTAATTGCCCGTAGAAAGCCGGCAAGATGAATATGGCCAACCATCTGTCTTTCTTTGACTGCCACTGTGTTCCCAGAGGTAACCCCAAAGCCATGACCACGTTGCCTCCTCAGGCAGCCATCTTCCTTTGGCCAAACTCATCCTGCCCTTGGGGATAGTCGGTTCGTTGCCGGGCTCTCTAGGACTTCCACAACCGTAAATCGTTACTGGTTTTTCTGGAGGAGCCAAGCAGGCTGCTTCACCCCGCTCCAAACGACACATCCCACGAAGGACGCAACCATTGTTCCCCATAACAAGGAGAAAGGCCGTCTCACAGGTCATGGCAGGAGACCGTTGCTCTGGCCACGGCCCAGCCTGTCCCATCAGCCTCAGCCACTGCTCTGCCGAGGCTGCAGCATTTTCATAAACCTGCCCCCATCCCTCAAATCCTAATCTTGCATCGGAGATAAAACAGGATTAACCTTTCGTCCCCAGCTGCCTGAACTTATTAGGTGTGAATTGGCATGAGGGCCCTCACGCGCCCACGAGTGGCCGCCAGGTCACCTCTAGTAGGAGAGGTAGGAATGGGATCCCACCTTGATGCCCGGGGTGTGTTCAAGGAGCTGCTAATCGCCCTGGAGGAATAGAGAGGAGGAGGAGGGAGCGAGTTATATAAGCTACCTTGGGTCCCTTTCCAAAGGAAGGGCAGGAGAGACGTATAATGACTACATCAAATCAGTGAAACCGGCTGTTGTCGTTACTGTTACTGAGTCCGTCGCCAAGGGCATTTGTGCAGCCGTCCAAAATGCAGGGTCTTGCTTTGTCAATGTCCATGTAAGTTTCAGCTGTCAAGAGAAGCACAAAAGGAGAGCAGGTAATAGACATGGGTCATTGACACTCCGTTGCCAGCTGCCCGTTGAAAGGGGGCAGCAGCAGTATCACCCACCTGTCACCACGAGGGGTCTTTTCTCACAGGAACATTGGGCTTTCTTTGTAGATTGTTGTTATGGTTTGAGTCGGGCTTGCCTCATCTGGAGGATGCCCTCGGAGCTGCCCGATGTCCGAGCACAGCAGGCAATGCCAAAGACCCAGAGAAGCTGCCAAGAACTTTATTTTTCACCTGACTTTTCAAGAGAGACAGATGCCAAAGGTGAGATCACCTTCAGATGAGATACTCTAGGATTTTGGCGGGGGGGGGGAGTGCTTGGTAAATGCAAAGGTGTGAGCCCTTCCTTTTATGAGAGCATTGACAACAAGGTGTCCAAAGTTCATTTCCTTCTGAAATGGGTGTCTTGACAGGACTGCCTGAAGTTCTTGGCAAAGAGATATGCATTCATGGATCTCTTCCTGTTATAGTGGCGGGGGGAACCCCTGAATACTGCCCCCAATATATGGGGTACCTCAATCCACTATTATAAGCAAGCTATTTATCTCGCATAGAAGATTTATTTTCCCCTGGGTTTCTCCAGTGGAGGGAACAAGGTGAGACTCGTTTCTGTGGCTCCCACACACCAAGGTCAGATGGGACGATAAACATGGGATCACTGATTCATAAAATGTAGGGTTCCGCACCTGCACAACCTCAGAGGAGTCGCCCACAGACTTTCTGGCCAAAGGTGTGAACATGACCCTGTTTGAGCATAAAGTGGTATTGGAGGGATCGCACGATTCTGGCTGGCCATCAAGAACTTCCTGACAGTCAGAGCAGTACAGGAATGGATCCAGTGACCAGAGGAGCTGGTGGGCTCTCCCACCTGGGTGGCACCTGTCAGGGACGGTTTAACTGGAGTCCTGCCTGATCGGGCAGGTGGACTTGATGGCCTTAGAGGCCCCTCCCAACTCTACTATTCTAGGATTCTATGAAACATGCACATGTAAATACACATATCTCAGGCAAGCATTGCTTAAAAACATTACTCACTGAAAACATATCGAAAACAGAACTCATCGAAAACATAAAGTCATGTGGATCTATGCAACTTGCTCCTAAATTGCCCCAAGACAAAATATGACTGGACTCAGGCAGAATGTGGGGATGCATGCTGGTTGTTCTTGAACTGTGGGTTGTTCTTGAAACTTGGGTTGTTGTGCTGTCAGATCCCAGTCATGTTTGTTAACCCTGAGCAGCTCACAGTTCACAGCCCAGTAGCAAATCATGGGTTCTCTTCATGGCTTGTTTGTGGTTCACAAACCATGGTTTGTTAGTGCACCTGGGTTCAAAGACAGCCTGCGTTTCAACAACCCACAGTTCAAGGGCAACCATCTCCAGCCCTTGAGCGCGAGTTCTCATGCTGTCTGAATCCAGCTGATGAAATGACCCTGTCTCCTGAAAATCTTACGAACACGTTCCCAAGCTAGACTGCATTCACGGGGTCTTGTTTTTAAGGGCTGGCATATACCAGCTTCAAGCATATTTGTGACACGGTGTTTAAACCAAAGCAAACACAGGGTGAAACCTCAACATTCCCCTCTTCCTCCATAATCTTTTGCTAATAGGAAATCCTACCACCTCCCCCAGTCATGGAATCATAGAGTATTGGAGATGAAAGGGGCCAGAGGGCCATCAGGTTGAACCTACTGCTCAGGGCAGGAACTCCCACTTGAACCATCCCTTTCAGGTGGCTGTCCGGCCTGTGAGTCCACCCCCTCCCTGGGTCATTGGCTCCATTGTCCTACTGATCTTACAGGCAGGAAGTTACTCCTGATGTTCAGCCAGAGCCTATAACTTAAGCTCATTATTCCACCTCCTGCGCTCTGGGGTGCCTGAGAAGAGATCCCGGCCTTCCGTTCTGTGACAGCCTTTCAAGGACTTGCCGAGTGCTCTTGCATCTCCCCTCTGTCTTCTCTTCTGCAGGCTGAACATGCCCAGTTCTTTCCTTGTAGGGCTTGGTTTCCAGTTCCCTGTCGCCCTCCTCCGAACCCTTTCCAGTTGGTCTGCATCTTTCCTTCAGCTCTGGTGCCCAGAACTGGACCCAGGACTCCAGGGGAGGGCCGTCCAGTGCTGAGTCAAGGGGGACTAGGGAGACCCTATCAATGCAGCCCGAAACGGCATGTGCCCAGCTGACTCCTGTTCGGTTGGTGATCTACAGTCATTCTCCCTTGCGGTATTGTCTCCCCCTTGTGGAGATGCACTTGGCTTCTTTTTCCGAGGTGCAAACCTGGCATGTGTCCCTGTTGAATCCCATTCTGTTGTTTCGTGCCCAGTGCTCCAACCTCTCAAGATCCCCTTGAGTCGTCCTTCCATCCTCCAGGGAACTGGCTGTCCCTCCCAGCCCTGTCCGCTCTGCAGACCCACACATGGGCAGCAGCAACTGCGGTACAGATGCGACAACGGCCAGCAGCCCCACCCAATCTGAGCACACCATCTTGAGGGCTCTGGGGGGCTGTGTCCTTGACCCCAACCCTTCCAAAGATAGCACATGGGGGACAGCAAGACAGAGATGTACTTCCTCACGTCAGTGCCAGAAGGAACAGTTTCCCAATATCCAAACCAGAGCAAACTCACAAGAAAGCAATGCTCTTTCCTTTACATGGAGATACCGAGCCATGAATATTCTGGCCAAGTATTAGTGCAAAGTCTCTTTGGGGGAGTTATCTGAAAGGGCTGAAGAAAACTCATATCCACCTTTTGGCACTTTGCTGCTGTTTTCTGTGACACAATCTACCTTGGTCCCAGCATCCAAGGTCACTTTACTGTAGTGCCACTCTGAGCTAGGAGTAAGCTTATGCACATAACAGGTCTCTCAAATTTCCCTTTGCTAACCCTAGAGAAAGAAAATCCAGGGCCAGTTTATAATTAGTTGATTCAGGTGTGATTAATCCCGCTTTCTGGCATGTCAGTTAGAAGAATTTAGCCTTCTCTTCATCATAACATGTTGTTTTCCTGCCAGCAGGGAGTTGTTTGACAGTAATATGACCCTCTAGCTTCCCTTCGATTTGTAAACAGCACTTTTGTTTTCAGTTTTTTTGTTTTTTTGTTTTTTTTTTTTTTTTTTTAGAGCATGGAAAATGCAGGGTTTAATCCTGAAAGCAAAAGGAATTGTTTTTTTCACTTATGAATTTGTGCTGCTCTGCAGTACCACAGCACCACCTAGAGGTCATGTAGCAGAAAAGCGGGAAAGGAAACCCTCCTTGCCTAACTTCTGCGACAACCCGAAAGCGGGTGCAAGCTTTGCTGCTACGAGCAGAAACATCGGCATTGCAAAGCGTACCTTTTCTCACATGAAGGAATGTAAAAGCAACTTGTCGAAACCAGAGCAGTGCAGAGATGTCAGAGACAAATATGTAGTCAGGCACATGTTTTTTTAAACAAATTCCAGCACGAATGGCAGAATGTCATGCCTAGACAGCTTCACGCAGAGGAACAGCCAGCACCCTCATTTTAACAGCCAAATGGAATACCAAATGGAAAAATAATATTCAGAATAATTTGAAATCCAAATCAGCTATGGATTTGATGCTAAGAAATGGCAAGAGTCGGGGGATGTCTTTAGTCTATATCACTACCTCAATTTGTGGGTGGTCCTGTTAGGACTTGGGGCTTCCTTTGGGACCAGCTTACTGGTGCCTGCTAGCCGAAACTCTTACATTGCAGCAGACTCCGTCCTACCTTCTGTATGTGGTGAGCTTAAAGGGAAAATCTGGCAGGGATATTTAAGGGGCTGAGCCGCAACCCTTGGATGGCAC